GCACCTATGAAGAATTGGGTTGCCTCGAGAGAGCGGCAAGTCTCTATGAAGAATGCCTCAGACTACGGCGACAGAAGTTGGGAGATGATCATCCAGACACGCTCAAGACGATGCATAATTTTGCCATAGTTCGAGATAAGACTGGGCATCTGGAGCCGGCATTGGCCTTGATGTCGGAGTGCGTCGAGATTGAGAGACAGAGGAGGTATGGTGATAATCCTCCTCAAGACAGCATCGTCTCTTTGCAGTGGCTTGCAATATTCTCGAATAAAGCGGGACGGCACGAAGAGGCAGTCACACAGATGGAAGAATGCCTCCACATTTCGCTGGAAGCCTTTGGGGAAGATCATGCTGAAACCATCAGCGCACGAGCATGGCTCGAAGAATGGTCAAGAGAGGAAAAAGGAGAAAAGGACGAAGAGAAGGACGAAGAGAAGGAGAAGGGTTCGTCCGACAACGTTGAATTAGAGTTGCTACAAGAGGAATCAGTGAGCAAACCGTCGGACAACTCATCCCCTCGAAAGCGCTTCAAGCATGCTCTCTCCGGGGTTTTGCGTGGGAATTCAGCTACGCGCAAAAGGAAGTGAACCACAGTTCAATCCGACGGGAGGATTTGTGTCGATCGACCAGTGTTTGATTAGTCGCGGCGTTCAACGCTCAGAGGGAGATATGACCGGAACAGGAGGCTCAGTATAGGGTCGCAGGATAGGTTATGGAAACGAATGAACCTAAATAATGAATGATAAATAATGGGAACACTCTGCCGCAGCCTCGCCGCATGCATATATGTGCATATGAATATCACATGCAGTCAACGTGCATCCCACCACCAAACCTTCACATTTACTCCGACAAAGCTAAGCCAGGACCTGGGGCACGAATGCGCTCATTCAATGCCAAATCCCGTTCTTTTCAACCGACTCGCAAGTCAGCACGCAAACCCGGCCGGAGCGACCGTGAAGATGACGGTGATGCCGCTCCCGTCGTTTGAAGTCAGCGTCGACTGCCCCCCACCAGCGGAGGAGAGGCCAGGAACGAGGAAGCACTGGGAGAAGATGGCCGCCGCAGCCGCCTGGACGTCGCTCAGAGCGATGCTGGCGCTCTCGAAGATGAAGTCGTTGCTGAGGCAGGCGCCCGCAGAGCCGATGTTGGGAAACGGCTGCTGCTGCACGGGGCCCAGCTTGATCGGGTCCGAGAGCGGCGGGTTGAAGTTGTTGCTCAGGATGTCGTTGGACAGCGTCTCGTAGTCGGTAGTCAGCACCGTCGGGCCCTGCACCTCGCTGTTCGTCGGCGTGCATGTCACGCTCAAGCCCGAGGCGGAGCGGCACATGCTGAGCAGAGCGACGGCCACGACCGCGGCGGTGGAGAAGGGGAAGAGGCGCGAGAGGTTCGCCATGTGCATTGCTCCTTTTCTTTCACTCTGGTTCTTTCCCCGCAGTTTGCGGTCTTTGATGATCCAGGGGATCGAGATATGTGGCAAGGTAGCTGATGCGTCGCGAGGCTGACTGTGAGAAGAGAATATGACCTTCACTCCCTGCTGAAAAGACAAAACCTCTTCCTTTTTATGCTCTGGAGCCACACCGGCCGCTCCTGTCGGGCCTACACTTTCCTGACTTCCTTTTCACATCTTTTTTCGGACCCCATGAAGCGCAGAGCTCTGCTTTTGGCCTGGGGGCGACAGAGTCGAGACGTGATTGAATGCATCGCCATCTGCATCACCATGAAGCACTAGGACAGGTAGGTCCGAGAACAATATCCCACTACCCTTTCTGGCGTTATTTTGTGCTTCTGGATGGGGGCGAGGCCGTTCCCGTGTGTTTCTTTAAGCTGGTGCTGGCCACAGCTTCATCGTCACCGAACGAAATTGCAAGAGTCATGTGGAAGCGAAGGGGATGGCAGTCTGTCAGCGAGACCGGTCGTCGAACTGACCATCTGACCAGGAGTACGAGTAGCTAAATAGGTGAGAGATTATCTCGCAAGGCCGGTCCAGCAAATGTTTCGAAAGCGGTCAACAATCCAGTGTGATATTGAACAGGGGGTTCTATATGACCCACCTTTACAGTCTACAAGGTGCTCGTTCGAGGATAGCCACTACCTTACTCAGTAATTAAGGGCAACCGTGAGAATATGTATGCGAAAAGCTTGGCATAGCTTAAAGCACCCCGTCCTTCCCAGTATTACTCGTATATAATAATATAAATTCTTCGCCCCATTCCCTCAGAGACGCAACTAACAAACGAGCCGGAGCTCAGGTAAGCCGGTTCGGGGTGAACTCGTCCGACTAGCTACCGGAGTAACGATCAGCGATGTTGACAGCTGACTGCAACCATCGAGGGAGGTAGACGGGTAGAGCTGTCGTCTGTGCAAAGTGTTCAGTGTGCGCAGAGTCACTGCCCGTACACCTACCTATATCATGGCCACAAGTGCTGCTGTTGCTGCTGCTGACGGATCCCTCGTGATGCCACACATTTGCGATTCGAAGCAGCCTCTCCTAGTGTACACAGCAATGGTCTCGATGACAGAACCCTTCCTGACCTCCCAGGTAATCAATGACGAGGACTCGCATTTTGGGATTCTAATAACAAAGCAACTTCCAGACCCAGCTCTCTCGCGTCATTACACCTTGGGTTACCGACTCACCGGAAGTCCGCTCTACTATGCACCATTGGACACTATCAGGAATTGCGCGCCCGCCGCCTTTGGAGGATAATATATCACATACTACGTCCCACTTTCAAACCCTCCGATATGTCAATGCGAAGTCATGCCTCGTGGTATGAACTCATTCGTCAGCAGATCTAGTAATTCCAAGTTTGACGGTTCCTTTTTCGATCTGCGTCCCCCGCTATTAGTGATCAAGACACCCACAGTGCAGGAGAGGACCAGTTTTATTCTAAAATGTTGAGCTCACTTTCCGGCTCCACTGACTCGACCCAGGAACCCCATCGAACTCAACAACTCTACATTACCTGTAAGGCTTTTTTGGAGGCCCGCAGACAAGGGGAAAGAACTCGGGAGCAAAGACCAGAAACCAAAGTGGAGAAGAGAAGAGTCGGAAAAGATTACTATCAAAATGTTCTACATGTATCCGGACTTAGGACATAGGGGTCCAGCTTTGCTCCATGTTGGCTGCTACTGATCCAGACGAAGGGCTTCCAGGGTGCAAGTGAGCGTCATTGCGCACGGCATGAAATTCGGCAAGCATGTCTGTGAGTGCTACTTCAGGCACAACGGTAGGCCGAAGACAGCTCTGTGTTCCATACAAACGAGCCTCAACCCGCCCTGTGGCCAAGGCTGCGGACTAAATCGCGAGGTTATGGCATTTTGCTTGCACTCCGGATCGTCTTGGAAGAACTTGGTCAATAATTTCACCATTGGTCATGGGAGGCTCCTGGGGATCGAGAGTTGAGGACCACCAGCATCCTCCATCTGCATCGAAGACGGAACAGATACAGATAGGTCTTCCCGGCACAGTGTCGAGAGACGTACCTAGTAAACAAGAGCCCCCTCCATCGGACCCGGACCAACATGGACCGAGCCCCTTTTCTTGAAGAGACTCCACTGGCGAACGATTTGAGCAACCGACTGATAAATCGGCGAGTAATGCATTATCAAATACGTTATTGGCCAGCGTTGTACACTGACTAGCCAGATACAGAGCAGAATTAGTCGAAAACTCAGTCAGCCTCGTCCTCCGCCACCCCCGGAGCAAGATTTCTAGGTCTCGGGTTCACAACGAGTCCCGTCCACGACGCCACGATTCGCGAATGGCGGAGATCTATGGGAGGATACACCACAGTAGAGCTTGGGTAAAGCGGCGAAAGTAGCACTCGGGCGAAAAGGTCCCCCGGAATTTCCATGGACAATGCCACTTATCCATGCACAAGCATCTGGAAAGTACCAAGTGCCCACCTCTTGGGTCGAGATATGATACTCATGACAAATCGGCCTGCACCCAGTATGCCTCGTTTGATGAGTTTCAAATGGGAATACAAATGGGACATTACCCTCTGTTCATATAAAACCTCCAGATGTCCCGGAAGATGAACCTTCACCTGCCGTGTACACCTCAGAATCCCAAGGGTGATGGAAAAACAACCCTTAGACTCGAGCCTTCAAGGTCAGCAAGGCTTGGAGCAGCCATCCAAGCGGAGGTCTCGGGAATCGTCATCTCAACGAAGCTCGGTCGACATCGACATGTCCTCTTCTCCCACGCCCAAGGAAGCCGAAACGGCCACAATTACCGACGAGGTCGCGACGACCAAAGGACCTCATCAAGTTCGCCCGATCCACGGTTGGAAATGGATTTTGACCTGCGTTGCCATCTACCTCACGGGACTGCTCTACGGGCTGGACACGACCATTGCGGCAGATGTGCAGCCAAACATCGTCAAGTCATTAGGACACGTTGAAGACCTGACCTGGGTGGGAGCCGGCTTCCCGCTTGGTGGCGTCGCCGTTATCCTTCCCCTCGGATCCGCGTATGGCATGTTCGAGATCAAACGACTGTATCTTGCCTCGATCATTCTGTTCGAGGTTGGCAGTGCCGTCTGTGGAGCTGCACCGACGCTCAACGCTCTCATTGTCGGCCGGGTCATCGCAGGAGCAGGGGGCGCAGGCATGTATTTGGGTGTGCTCAATTACCTGGGTACCTTCACGACGCTTGAAGAGCGGAATCTTTACAACTCAATCATCGGGATGGTCTGGTAAGAACGAAATTTCGAGCAAGATATCTCAAAGGCAGGAATCTAACAAACCATCTGTGTTAGGGGGCTGGGTGCTATCCTAGGACCACTTGTGGGAGGCGGCTTTGCATCGTCTTCTGCCACCTGGAGAGTAAGTTCGATCTCGTCGTCAGCCCTGTGACCCAAGATCGATATATACTTATCCAATCCCGTCCAGTGGTCGTTCTACATCAACCTAGTGATTGCAGGCGTCATGGCTCCGGCGTTCATTTTCCTTCTGCCCACGCACCAGCCCGCACCGGACAAAAAGCTCTGGGACAAGCTGCGGCACATGGACTGGCTGGGCGTTGTGCTCATCGCATCCATCTACACGACGTACACGCTTGCCCTGACGTTCGGCGGCGCCCAATGGGCCTGGGACAACTACCGGTTCATCCTGACGATCACGCTGTGCGGACTGCTCCTCATGGCCTTTGTGGTGACGCAATACTTTGCCGTCTTGACCACAAAGGAGAACCGCCTGTTTCCGGGCCACTTCCTACTGTCACGCACGCTGGTTCTCTGCTTCATCAGCACGTCCGCCACGGTGACGGTGCTGTTCCTGGGCGCGTACTACATCCCGCTGATCTTCCAGTTCGCGCGGTCCGACTCGGCCATCATGGCGGCGGTGCGGCTGCTGCCGTTCATCATCTTCACCATCACGAGCATCCTGCTCAACGGCATCTTCATGCCCAAACTCGGCTACTACATGCCGTGGTACGTGGCCAGCGGGGCCTTCACCATCGTCGGCGCCAGCCTCATGCACACCATCGACCCGCACACCAGCCCCGCGAGCATCTACGGCTACAGCATCTTGCTGGGTATCGGGTCGGGCAGCGCGTTCCAGTCCGCGTACAGCGTCGCGGCGACGAAAGTCAAGCCGCACGAGACGGCCGCGGCGATCGGGTTCATCAACGTCGCGCAGACGGGCACCACCGTCATCGCGCTCACCATCGCGGGCTCCATTTTTCAGAACGTCGCCTTTGACAACCTCAAGCGCGGCCTCGCGCAGGTCGCCGCCGACGGTGGTCACAACTCGACGACGCTGCCTGCGCCTTACTCGGACGCCGAGATCCACAACGCCATCTCCGGCACCCAGTCGCTGATCTTCCAGCAGGGCAACGCGCAGGTCCGGGACGCCGCGGTAAAGGCCATCATCGACGCCATCGACGACGTCTATATCATGGGTATTGCTGCGGGGGCGGTCACGTTGGTGTCGGCCTTGTTGATGAAGAGGGAGAGGTTGTTCATGAGCGTTGTTGCGGGCGGTTAATCGGGTATAGCAATTGCGTCCCCATTACGCTTAGCCTTCCGGGATGGGGCGTATCTACATACTTAGGTTATATATTGACATCTCGCAATTCTGTGAGCGGCGTATTGTTGCTCTGCAATGAGCACGGATAGAGCTAGACAGAGATCACGGAGGGACTATATACTATGTAGTTACTAGAGTGTACAGATTTCATTTCTCGTCAATACATCCATCATCCCACTCTGCTCAATCTATCCCCTCGAGACCCTACCCGCCATAGGCAGACCGGTACCAAGAAACCAGGGCGTCGACCACAATCTCATCCACATGGTCCTTGCGGAAGACCGGCGTGTCGACGCAGACTGCTCTCTGCGTGAGCGTGTCCACCATGAGGTCGAGGTCCATGTTGACCACGACCATGTGCTGCGGCGTCACCGGCGTGTTATAGAAGTGATGAGGCGGGGGCTGGTGCTGCTGGTGCGGCCGGTGCTGACCTCGCTGCAGCACCATGTCCTCGAGAGCATGACTCGAAACCACCCACGGCACAGTCATGCCGGCGGGCTTCTCCTGGATCGGGATGCCCAGGCACTGCAGGTACGCGGTGACGGCGTCGGGGCCGAGCCAAGTGCCTTCGTACCCGGAGACGTGGATCTGGGAGACAGTCGTGGAGTCGTCAATAATCTCCGCGTCGTCGTCGGCGCCGCCGCCACTTCGAAGCATCCCGTGTCTTGTCGCCGAGAGCAACGACCGCAGCGGTCGCTTCGCACTACTCACGATTGTCCGCATCGCGCTCGGCAGCAACGAGCCAACATTCCCTTCGCGCGCCGCTTCTCGGTTCTCGTCCTCCCAATCTTCCCAATAATACAAGCTCTGATCCGTGCCGCGGAGCAGAAGCTCCTTAGCGCGGCGACGTAACTCATCGACACTCCCGTGCGCGGCGAGCGGGAATTTCAGCGTCCGCAGAACTTCAGTCCCGCGTGTGTTGTGCGACGACAAAAGGCGGTAGCAGTGCTCGATGCAGGCGCGGTGCAGGCGGCGCGAGAAGCTGGTCTCGTGGATGCTGTACGTCCACAGCGGGGTGAGTGTCGCGGTGGGATGCGGAGGGGCGTATATTGCCGCTGCGGCTGCGGTGGATGATGTGGGTAGTACGTGCTGTGAGTGTGCTGGCTGAGAGGGGAGAGAGGGAGGTTTTGTAGAGATCAGGTGTCGTGCGGTAGGAATTGTTGCTGTTGCTGCTGCTGCTGCAGATGAGGGCGGTTTGGATGGGAGTTTGTGTCCTTGGCCATGGCCTGCGCGAGGCTGAAAATCATTCTGTTGCAGCTCTGCGTAGGTCAGAACATGCTCGCTCTGCATAGTTCTGTCGTCAATGGCGCTGCCGCCGAGATCATTTGCGCCAGCACTGTCAAGGGCGTTGCCTCCACCTGCTGCACCAGCACCCACAGCATTGGCCTCTGCAGGCACATCAAACCGCACCAATTGATCCGGCACCATCGACTGTATACTGCTCCTCCCCGTCCCCGTTCCACTATCTCTCTCACTCCCACTTACATCTGCACTCCCCCTCCCACTTTCACCTCCACCTGCGATGGCCGAGCTCACACTCCTCACCAGAGCCACGCACCTAAAAACCTCGGCCGCAAAGCTGGGCATTTTCTCCACGACATCGTTCTGCACCGCGAGACGCTCCAGGCGGAGTATCGCGGCGCGGATGTCCTTCATCGCGGCCTCTTGCGATGCGAGCTTTTGCCGTTGGCGGTCGCGCCACGCGCGCTGGGAGAGTCGGGTGTAGAGGCGCCGACGCTGTGGAGGGGGAAGAGGGACTGGTTTAGCTCATATCTGGTCTGTTGTGTAGTGAGGGCGGTGATCTGAGTCGTTGTGGGGATTGGGGGAAATATTAGAGGGGACTGTGTATATATGTGTCCCAATGTGATTGATGCATGTCGAGATCAGGGCTGGAGACGGACTCGAAACTCGAAAGTAGAATATGGAAAGGGAAGCTGGACAATGCACATACTGCAAGTGGTTCTTCGACTGAGTCTGCAACCTGACGGTCCGCCAGTCGCGGGCGGCCTCGTCGCCGTCTCAACACATGAGCCTGAGTCGGGCCGTCTGAGACAATGCTGGTGCTGGTATTTGGTGCGATGGTTGCCGTCCTCGAAAGAGCTTGCGTGGTATCCATGTTTTCACGGTAGGGCTCTACCAACAACACACACGAAGCGAGGAGAGCGGAGGTCTCGAAAGTCAGTCGATGAGTCGGTGCAGTGAAACCTGAACAGTGTCTTTAGATCAGAAACATAGGCGCCCGCTTGATTTGAACTTGTACTCTCTGTACGAGAAGAGTTTGGCACATATGTTTGAGGTGATTACTATTCCTTAAGCAGCATACCAGCAGTTGTGGAGTTGTTCACTAATTGATTCTAAAATATGTGATTGGCCCGCTTACTTCCCTCTACATGCGCTAACCATCTTAAGCATCACGATATCCTAATCCAGACTCTGAGAGCTTCTGTAGTTAATTACTACTTGTACGATTACTACTCTCGCAGGGTTCGACGAGGATTAGTGTCCTACGAGTTTCAGTGGCCTAGCTAGATTCTGGGGGAAGTGACGGTCAAACCCAAAATGCAGAGTTAGGCGTGGCGCACAATTGTTCGGGGACCGTGGTTTCAGCTGGATAAGTACGGCTATGGCTAGACTCTAGTTAATCGCGCATACTCTGTATTTATACCCTTTTGCATTTGTTTATATGTTCAGCCTTATACTCAAAGAAGAGATTATGAGGGGCCACCGGCTTTGGGAAGCCACTGCCATTATATCTCGTTTATGCAGGGGTCCACAGCCCAGACGACGGTCTTGCCTTCTTCTAGTCATAGTAATTTTCATTCATACAGCCCGGATCAATCCCTCCACCAACGCCTGCGCTATTTGATTCAAAATCTATCCTTCCAGCAATGGTCTGTCTAGCCGTCATATGTCACTACGCTGGAGGCCCAACCAACACTGTGAACTATGCAAATTCACGAAAACATCACCATCAGCACACCACACCACCGACCAGTGCCATCATCAGTATCGCGGTGACCAACAGAGGTGAGCTCCGATCTGGCTTCCTTCCCCCAATCGCGGCGTTCGAACTCGCCACACTGCCAGCCTTGACTTGCGTATTCACAAACCCACTCCCACAGCCCTGATCCACCTGGCTCGCACATGGGAGGTACGTCTTGGCCAGGGGCTGCGCCGCGTTCTCTGCATAGCCAGCAAAGATCTCCATCGTCTCCTTCAGACACTGGCTACAGGTGGGTCTCGCCGATTGTGGCATCGACAAACCCACAGCCGTGTAGTAAGGGTAGAAATCGGCCGCATTGGATGAGTTTGTAATGGCTTCGCTGAAGCAGTAATTCCCCGTACTTTGGTCTTTGAGGCATGTCGCGCGATAGATCGGTTCGTAGGCCAGGAACCCCGCATAAGCTTGTGACACGAGCGGGTTCTGTTGCTTGTAGTCCTGGCCACAATTTGCGTTATCGATCAATTGTGACGCAAGATTGCTCATTAAAGGCGAGCAGATCGCCAAGGGCGCATTGCACGCTGCGTCAAGAGTTTGCGTAAGGAGTGTAAATGATCGTTGGGCGCGGAAGAATGAATTGGAATTCTGTAGGAGGAGGGACACCGGGACGCAGGACTGGAACGTTGCGTTGTTGAGGAAGTCGGAGAAGAACTCGGGACAGGACGAGCTGGTAAAGTTGCTGCCCAGGGAGGTATCGAAGGGTGTAGGTAATGGTGTGGTGACGACTGTGACGCTGGCTGCGGTTAACGTCGACACACCTGGTGTCGATAGAGAAGTTTTGGTTTCTGTGCTGATCGCCGATGTCGGGTCGGCGGAAGAGGTAATCGTAGGTTCTAAGGATGAGGACGACGGTGTCGAGGTAGAGGTAGATTCGGCCACTGTTGTCGGTACGACACTGTCCCCCACTTGTCTCCTTTCCAGATAAACATCCCGGCGAGGAGGGGCCTCCCGACGGTCGATGTGTATTTCCCCCCTTGCAGCTAGCTCTTGGTAGAAATCTGATTCATAAACTTGCGCATCCAATTCCATCACTTGGGCACAAGTCGGTGTCGCCATCACAATTAGGGCTATCATTAATGAGATAATTGTTGTCGTTATTGTCGTGTGATTGTGGATATGCCGTCGCGTCGCCGGCTGTAGCGTCTGCGTAGAATAGGTTGACATGGCAGTTGGCGTTCTTGAATGTGCCAGATTATTGTAAAAGGCGTGAGTAAAGACGATTTTGATGGTTAAAGAACGGACGCCTGGGATTCTCCTCCAGGCATGCACTATGGCAAGGAAGTTGTGAACTCGGAGGGAGGCGGTCACATCGAAATCAGGACAAGTATTGTCTGTTCGACGTTGTAAGAGCCTCAGTCCCTCGCCTCGCCGGTCTTCAAGTCGCCAAGTGTCGCAAGAGGACTTTCCTCACTGATATTCAGTTGATCCTACCCGATTTGTAGTCTGGAGAATGATGTCGCACGTGTCGTACCCTGGGCGTTGATCCTGCTGATCTGCTGCAGAACAGAACGTGGTGCCGCTTCGGGAATAGAAGGTTTCAAAGTGGACAAGCGAGGTGTCGGCTTGAGACCTGTCTGAGTCGCAGCGATGGTCAAGCGTAGAGAGATACTCGTACTCTTGTAGTAGTGTTGTCGTCGCAAGACTGGGAAGTAACAATGAATAATAACAACATTCACAGCACAAGCCTGGAGAAAACAAAGAGCAACGGTCAGACCTGCTACAAACCGGGGGGTTAGTCAACACACACCCTACCAGGAACGCTTATTTCCATATTTCCTTTGGAGATTGAGCCAGCCGAAAGCATCTGAGCGGTAGCTTGCCAGTCAGCGTTAGCAGAAGCCGACCATTGGAATGTGGGCAATGTTTGGACCATGGGAGCCCGAATTGATGCCTCCACTGGGCGTTAAGGAGGCGTACAAAAGCGGAAAGCCTCAAATTCCTTCTGGTAAGCGGCCGAACGCGTGCATGGCTTCTGGCTTGGGAGGCGCTTGTGGCGCTCTCGTGGCGCTCCTTTTCCCCAAAGTCGTTGCTGCCAGAACCGCTCAACCACGAGGGGCCGTTCATTTCCGCCAACGTAGCCTGGATTCTAGGGCCCCTTTCGTGGTCCAGAAGTGCCAGACTGTCGATCATTCACACGGTCTAACCGACATCAATAGCCCCAATCCTCTTAGCACGCGAAAGCACTGTCCAGCACCAAAGAAAAAGGTCCGTGCGGTTGACGGGAGACGGAAAGGGCTCACGCCGGGTTGGCGCTAGGAAATGACCCTATGGTAGGACTGGAAGAGGACGAGGCATGCGTCAAGACTCGACACATTCGAAGCTTGAACATCTCGATTTTCTGGGGCAGAATGGTGTGCCCTGAGAGAGCTCAAGCCAGTAAAGAGGACGGATTTCACCCTTTCACAGTAGATGTCGGTGGCTGTTCCTGGGGGACTGGATCTAAGTCGAACGCAGGGACGGAAGTGAATTTACCGCCGGCTCGCTTGATTTGCCAAGATTCAATAGTCGCTGAAGCCACTGCCGGCATGAGAGATGACGAGAATCAGGGGGCCGACAAAGAGGGAATCTGGACATCTGAGCATCTGAGCATCTGAGAGTCTCCGGCTGCGCCTCAAATTCGTCATTCTGGCGATTACTGACCTGTGTTTTCTTCGATCCTACGGCCTGAGAGAAATCGTCTGCTTGTGTGGCTCGTCGTCATCTCATTGGTCTTCTATATAATTGGTCATTTCCGCCTCTGCCTCAACCAGCGGCCAATCCAAATGCTTCACCGTGTCTACAAATCAATCTCATGTCATACATCTTCTCGGCTTGCTCCAGAACAATCATTGCATCTCGTACAATCACGATCCTCGACGTCAACTTCGTCTCGGGTCGGCATCAAGAGCGAGCGGGCCCAGTTCGGCATCATGTTGTTGGAAGCGTAATCTGTTTTCCTTCTCTTGCAGACGTCTGTTGAAGCCCATGGTAGCCCAGCCTCCCAATCGGCTGAAGAACACTCGGCCCGCGGGGTGTTGTCTAACCCGGTCTAAAAGATTGGTCACTGCTTCTCGGACTCGCCAATCCTCGTGCCAGAGGCCCAGGGCCACGTAGAAGAGTCCGGCTTCCGATATGGGAGCCAGCTCCAGCAGCTCCAGAATGCTCTCGTAGTCGGTACAATATGCTTCCAAAGCCAGATAGATGGCCCCAGCTTCCGTCGGAGTCAGGTGCAGAGTCCGTAGCTTAGACAACGAATGATACAGATCCACGTACGGCTTTGTCGGTGCTCGCGCCAGCATCTTTGTCATACTGACTGGGGACGTTGGAGAAATCGGGTCCTGCGCATGTGCCGCCAGGTCAGAGATGAAGGCGTAGTAGGAGCGGGTATTGCGCCACCCTTCAATCCTGGCTGCAGACGCTGCGAGTTCGCGGAATTTGGCCTCATCGCTCGGCCAGACATAACCATGGCCTTTCAGGCTCTTACTGGAAGTTTTGAGCGACATCGGCCGTGCTGGTTGTGCCGGCGTGGTAGCAGTTGCGTCCACATTGTCTACCTCGGTTGGGGGTATCACTGTAAGATTGCTGGCTCCATATACTGTCTCTTCAAAGGCCGCCGCAATGCGAGTGAATTTCGTGATATAGGCTCGAAATTTAGCACGGATGATGGACTCGCCGGCTCGAGATGTAATGCTTCGACTGATATCTTCCATGAAGAGCCCATCTCCTGTGGCATCCGAGTGATGGGAATCTTTGTGAGTCAGCACAGCGTGCCCGTGTTGTTGGAAAAACGTCGTCCCCTCCGTGACTGGCGCGGCCTCAATGCAGGACGAGATTTTCATTCTGCCCGACGGCAAATCACACAGCAGATCCCACCACTCAGGATGGTAGGAGAACGCAGGATTTGTGACACCTGCAATAAACCCAGGGACTTTCAGAAGCTCGTCGATCTTGGTCAGATCGGTGTAGGGAAATGCATGACGGGTGAACCCTCTTAATACGCCTCCTGAAGCCAATGCACAAGCCGCAAGAACAGCTTCCGCAACCTCTCCAGATGGTCGATTGTGACCTAGGAAGATTACTCGTTTTTGGGTGAGCATAGCATTGATGAGGACAATGATGGGATGCGTGAACGCGCCAGAAGTTGTCAGATGGGGATGTAAAGCAAAAGGCTGGGGTTGAGAAAGATGGAGATTGCCAAAAACTTGGACAAGCTTGATGAGCGAGAAATCGCCCACTGTCTCGGGCGATAAAGCTGTAGGGATCTTGACTGGGATCGGGATGCTGTTATAGACAATCTTTGACTCGAACTCATGCGTGTCTCGGGGAACCAAATATTTCTGCTCTGGCTTCGTCGGTGACTCTGGTGTGTCTGAAGTCTTTGCAAGTGCCTCGTCTGCCAACCGTTGTGCAATCATCTGTTCGAATTTCTCCACAAACATGTCCTTGACATCACTTGCCTGCAAAATGTGTCGCTCTAGCAGTGACAATCGTGGCATCAGAGACAAATCCATGGCGTTCAGAGCATTGAACAAGAGTTCCAAGGTGTCTGGCGTAGGTGACTTGAAATAGTCCTCGAGGGCAAGCAGCAAGAGCGGCTTGTATATGTGGAGAAAAGAGTGCCGCGTACAAATAGCCATAGCCTTTACAATGGCACCTCTTTTCACCGAGCTGTCCTGCTTGGTATTGACCAGGTTCAAGACATACATTAGTGGAGGGCTGTCCATGTCATCTGGGTCACTTTCGTCACCACTGCTGTCGTCTGCAGAATCTTCCCCTTCGACTTCATTCGCCTCACCGGCTTCTCTTGCGCGCCTTCTTGCTTCTCGTTGGAGTCTTCGAGCATCTCGCTCAGCGGCCTCGTCCTCGCTTGTGCCAGCGTCTTTGTGCAAAAAGAACATGGTCCAATCTTGCTGCCGGACATGTGTCTGGTCAGGAAGCATAAGCTCGGCCAACATGTTCTCATCCGGACTGATTGCACCAGGGAACTGATGTTCCATGATAGGGCCCCTATCAATGTCGAACGAAGCAACAAGGATGTATTCCACATGAGGTTCGCTCGAATGTAGAGGGTATTGCGACCTTAATCTCTTGGAGGGACGAAAAGGGCCGTCTTCGTAAACCGTAGAGACTCTTTGCGAAGAGCGGTAGGAACCCCTGGGTGACGGCGGGACTAGGGAGCTTTGTGAGGACACTTTGTAATGGGAGAAGGTAGACTTGTGAGAGCCCGAGTTGGAAGAGGTAGATCTTGGTCGGTCATGGTGCCCGCTCACGTTCACAGGGTGAGGTCGATAAACAAGGGTTTCGGTCATGGCTTCGTAAATGTCGTTGTCGTCGTCAAGTTTCTAGGCTGGGTCTGGACAGTGGTTTGCGTCGGTAGCAGCCCTGTTCAGGGTTGAGCATGCCACAGCAGAGGAAAGCTGATTGAGGAGAAGGGTCAAAGTCTCAGAAGGATATATCGACCACAATCTCTAGCGCATCCGACATGCAACGCCTGAGATACGGCCCAGAGTTTGCTGTCAGTTGTGCTAAGGGACTGCATGCAGAAGGGGACAGCGATGGATGCCCAGCGCTGCTGCGGAGGCCACCTAGAGGCTCCCCATAAATTCACCCCTGCGATCGCTGGCCCAAGAAGCCCCTGAGATCGGCATTTTAGCGCCCGAGACCGGATTGCGTGGTGCTGATTGGCAGCGACTGGGGGCTTGGGGGGCTTCGGGTTAAAGGCGCCCAGATGATGCCGCCGGCAAGCTCGCACAACCTTCCACCGATGACTTCGAATGTTTTTGCTGCCCTGCCAACATCAGCTTGTTTACACAATCACATGCCTGGACATGCTTCTCACCACGAGCTCTTCATTCCACGACTTCACAGATATTTCCGACCGACTCGACACCTTAACTCACTACGCTACATGACATCGCCACTTCCCAAGCACACTTGGACTTACCAGCGTCCAAGTTATTGACTAACTCGATCGTCAATTGAAGCGCACATAGCTGTATAGAACCCGATCGACGATGGTAGGTTCACCCCTCTTGTTGTTCGCATCTGTCCTGTCCATTCGCTGAGACCTCGTCTATCCAGTCTTCATACAAGTCTACATTCAACAACTCTCCCCGTTCGTCGCCCTTTCGCCGTCCTGGCTCACCAGGCTCACCCACCCTCGCCAATGGAGGCAGACCAGCAACTCCTCCAACAAACAGGAGCGCAGCTTCACCTCTGACTTCACCATCGAAACTCAAGCATGCCTATACCGTCTCAGAAGAGGAGGAAGACGAGATCATAGTATCAACCCCGTCAAAGTCTACCGCGGATCTCCCCTTTCGAAGAGCACAAACAGAACCCCCTCCTTCACCAACAACAACCCGCCCTTCGCTACCTTCTTCGCCCTCAAAATATGAGACGGGGCCGCTCCTGACGACCAATCCAAGGAACCAAACCAGCAGAGAACCACGCAGACTTGTGTCTAATGGTATGCTCTCTCAAAATGATAATCTCTCAAAACTCCCTCCACAACTCCTGCATAACATGCGCGAGTCCTTCTCTGTTCTCGATTCCAATTCCAATGGCACAATCGACGCCTCTTCGGTAGCCGAAACCTTGCAATCCCTTGGTCTGCACGAAAGCAACCTGTCCCAGTTCTTCCCACCCGGACAGCCGCAACAAATGTCCCTGCCGCAATACCTCAATCAGCTGGCGAATATATTGGTCGGATTATCACCTCAACAAGAGCTTCTCAATGCTCTGTCTGCATTTGATGACGATGACAGCGGGCAAATCGATGTTGCAGAGCTTCGCGCAGCGTTGTTGAGCACAGCGCCAGATTCGGGAGATCGGCAGCTGACTGGAAAGGACATTGATCGAGCTATGGAAGGCTTCACAGGAAGGAGGATTCTGGGTAAAAACGTGATTGGTATCGCGGGAGTCAGAGGCTTAAAAGACCCTGCCCCAAAGAAAGGAGGTGATGTATTTCGATACCACGAGTTTGTGGCGAACTTGACGGGCGGACCTGCAACAGATTCTGTTCGTTCTCAGAGTGTTTCTTCACGGTAATGGTTAATGGTTGTCGATGATTGCTAGATGGATGCATTGGTTGTTACGAATTGGGTCATGCGTTGTATACTGACCAAATATCATATATCCACGATGAATGCTTTGGGATTCCACAGGGTGTCGAAGATACGCTTGGTATTCATTATCCACAGCTCCATATTTTGTCCTCGAAGGGCTGCACCACGACTAGAGACTTTACTAGTCGTCTCTGAAAATCGAACGAGCCATGTGAGAATGTGCTCTTGCGAGTATAGATGCGAAAGTTTGTGTTATGATGGCAATTTACATTCCTACCTCGCTTCATCCAAGCCCAAGCGTTTGAGAGAGTTCAAGTTTGAAATTGTGCAAGTTGTACATGGATCCTTCTGGTCCCTTGAGTTCCTGTAACGCTCCGTTCGCCCCATTCCAGGGCCTTCATCCGTGACGCCTTGTCGGTGAATTGATTGATACTAAATGGACCAGTCTCTACGGCCATATCGCATATCGCCAGGCTATAAATTATCGGTTTCCCCCGGCGATCACTATTTCCAAGCCATTGCGCTCGTTGTTTCACATCTCACATCAGAAAGCTCCATAAGGTTGCATATAGTGGGAGATTGATTTGTGTCTCCCCAGTCCAGTCCAGTCCTCACTTCTTCGATATCTTTGGTGGAGGAGGGAAATAAAGCTGCGGTGTAGCTGATGTGTCCAGACTTAAGCCAATTTCGGGAGATTTGCCATTCGCCTTCTCAGAGCCGGTGCCCACTCGCTGAACGAATCCCAGGCTCATTGGGCTTCTCGGCAAATCAGGACTTCGAATGGCGAAGGAGGGAGATGGAGATGTAGTCGGCTGGACGTTTGGCGAGCTGAAGTGGTTCCGCAGCGGGAGGTCCTTCGTTCCGCCCAGCGTGTTGAAGGCAAGTGTGCGCGGGGTCATGGGGTTCAGTCGACCATTCGCAAAACCTGGTGTATCCGGCACGGGGTATTTTTGTACCGTGGTCTCGCCCGTCTCATCGTCCTGGTAGGTCTCAAATTTCGCCCAGCGCTCTGCCTTGAGCCGTTGCTTCTCGGCATATTCCTCGCGTTGTTGCTTGCTGGGAAAACACGAGTATACGGCGAACCCGAAATAGGTGACAAAAACGCCCAGCATGGCGCATGTGCATGCAAAACTGGCTTTCGCCTGTCTGCAGTACCCGATGTTGTTCTTGTTATGAGCCACGCTGCAGGATTTGGTGATGTACCAGGGTGCTCCGTGTTGAGGGTGCTCCGGGTCGGTGGTGTCACTGCTGGCTTGGTAGTCAACCGAGACGGCGTATAGGATGAGAAGGCCGGTGTGAACGAAGGCAGAGAGGACCGGTGGGAAAACGTGGAGCATGTACATGATCGACTTGACCAGCATGATGAACATGGATAGGACGGTGATTGCGACATTGTAATCGGTTATGCTATTGCAAGCGGTCAGCATTTGATTTTCGAATTGCGACCAAGGACACTCACAATTGCGACCAGACCTTGGGAGTGGTATAGGGTCGATAGTTGGCTGCTGCGTATAGTCCCGTCAATGGGCTCGAGTTGAAGCCATTGTCTGCACCGTCCTGCCACAATCTCGTTCGATAGGTGTCCGGAGAGGCAATGCCGAATAATGCCAGAAGAGCGATGGTCAATGGGATCTCAAGGGCTATCAGGCCGTAGAAAGGCCATTTGTTTGGCTTCCAACGCCGAGAAAGGAAGAATTTCATGTCGGAGGATTCTTAGAAATGGGGTCTCGTATTGCTTGTCTGGGGAGCCGCAGGCGATGATGCGTCGGTCCGCTGATTGATGAGAATTGCCTATTGATATCGTCGCATGCTCAGCCTGGATGTCGCTGTCGTGGGATGTCCAGTCGCTCAGTACCCTGCAAAAGGACACAAGGTACTCGACCTAAGGGCATGGCATGAGGAGAGAAGACGCTGCAGGGACTGCGCAGGCCTCATAAAAGCCGGCCATGGAGATGGTGGGAGGTGCTTACATGGCAGCACGAGAAGCTGGCGCTTACAGGTCGAGATGGCGAATGAGCATGGCAGAGCGATATGATGGAAGCACCAATAGGCGGGGTGTGAAGACCCAAGCAGCTGTGACTGGGGGTTGCGCACACCCAGGCGATTGGTTAGAGGGGACGTGATAGAAGCTGATAAGCATCGAATCGCCGGGCTTAAGGGAGGTGCCCCGCCCAATGCCACTCGGTACTGGGCGCTGAGTTGGACCCTGACGGCAGGTTTAGGCCTAACAACAACGAATTCCGAGTCTCCTCTTTTTCTCCAGGCCGCCCGACTCTGTGTGACTGCGTTCTTCAGGCCAATACAAATGTGACTGGCCCACTACTCGTCTCCGGTAAAGGTATTCGGAAGCGCCGCAATTCTTTCCCACTCAACTCTGTTCATGGAAAGGCCTTCGATTCAGCAAGCCTTTACTTCAGCGTGTTTCCTGCTTAATGTCCAACCCAGACACCAGTTGATAAATCAATCGCATAAAATGACCCAGCACTTGAAGCAATCTCAGAAAACACAGACCTCCAGCCAACGACGTCCTGCACCCCCTCAAGAATGAAGATCATAAGGAACCTTTGCAATATACGAGGTACCAGGTGTTCTGTCCACATTCAAAGCAGGGCCCAAGGCTGCAGCCTTGTCAGTCGGAGAATTTTGTGCTCCGGAAAAATCTAGCTCATGAGCACGTGATCTGGTCTATTTTTAAACTTACCCCTTTTCGAGAAGTTGCATTTGCAACCTCATCCACCTGATGGCCTTCGTCCATGGCTCACGTTCGCCTTCAAACACATTATTCTTTCTTCGCCGCATGCAGACGGTCACTGTATGAGACGAGTATCAGAATGTTTCCATCCACAGCCTGTGACGACATGATGCGAGTCGTCATGTCTAAAGCTGTCAAGCGAGCTCTTTCGACTGGCCTGCCCTCCCACCCCCTTGGGAAGGCTTCGACCCTTTTTCGCGATCGGCAAGTCGGAAAGGTGGGTTGATGATTGTGCTCCAGACTTGTGGATGCTGGTACTCCAGTGTCCCAACTGCTACTGGGTGCTACTGGGTGTCCATGGGGCCACAGGCTCGGAATGTCACTCGAGGGCCCATTTGGAGCCCAGCCTGGTGTTTGACCTTGTTTCGCATCCTTACCCTTTTGGGCTTCCCGAAACACCTCCTTCCCTGTGCCACCCTCAACGCGCCCACCACTGCCACCAGCCTTCTCTGTGTGAGGACACTGAGGAGCCTTTCCTCTATCCACTGCTCTGAATCAAAACTCTCTCACACATGTCTTTTCCCACGTTTCAGTCCGGCACGCATGCGCAGGCCGTTGGGAACCTTCTTTTCCTGCACAACCGTTATCATTCTTGCCTACGTTTCCTGAAAACCAAATCACCGTCTTTTCTATGGCATGAGCCTTCCTCTAGACTACGCATCCAATTTCCCCTCCGTCGATGGCCTCACGCTAACCTTCTTCGCCCGATGATCTCTCAATTTACCAGGGACTGGCCCCAAGCTTTACTGGGATAGTGCCCGCACGCAAAAGGAGCTTGCGAGTAGCGACGACACCCTTTGTACCGTCTGCACCTCATCGATCTCGCCTTCGCTTCTCGCCGTCTTCTTTCGCGACTTGACTGCAGGCGACACTCAGTCCATCCTGCCTGCCACAGAATCCAAGGCAGGATGTTCCGACACGGGAAGATCTTCCACAAACGAGAACCTCAGAACTCGGATGCGCTCACCTCCCTACCTTCTATTATACCAAACCCAACGTCAGGCCTGCCGCAGTCAATAGCTCCGAGTTCTGTCACCACAGACCCATCCGTGACCGCCTCAATCGTCACGGCTCAGGCAGTGTCTGGACTCACCACCATCACCGAAACACAGACCCTAGAACAGAGCCTCACCGGCCAAGGCATTGAAACCACCTTTACCACCGAAAGAATCAAGACCATCACCGACCCAGCCGAATATGCCTCTCTCACTTCGGCAGCTGCGGCTGCATCCTCCACCTCGACAACTCTGCGGTCCTCGACGACATCGGCGGCTGCAACAAGCAGTGCTGCAGCCCATCAGTCTTCTTCCAACCTCGGCACTCTTATCCCGGCAATCGTCGTCCCTATAGCTGTGGTATTACTGGCCTCCTTGGGTCTATTTTGGTTCTTCATGAGACGGAGGCATCAGAGAGATCTACATATTGAACCAGAGTTTGTGATGACGGGTAAGGGCGAAAAGTTGAGCAGCCGCTCAAGCAGCAGCAGGTCCACCACATCTATCCCCAGGGGGTTTGAGAAAAAGTCTCCGGCGGTCACTCAAACAGAGCTTCCATCTACCACCTCACCACCGACTCCCATGTCTGAGTGGCCATCAGCGCAGATCGGTGTTGCTCGGCCTCTCACCCCTCAAGATTCAAAATCTGCTGGACAGGATCGACTTTTTGATCAACCGAGATCTCTGACTGCCAATTCTCCGTACCGAAATATGCGTGGACCAGGCGCACCAATGAGGCCGTCAACGTCTGGCCGGGGAGCACAGCCGCCCTCAAGCTGGGAGCAAAACAGGAACAGAAGTAACAGCACGCCGGGCCAGCGTGTTCAACCTCCAACATCACGCTCAGGCCCTAGTCCGATCCCTAGGACAGCTCCGAGTCCTGTTCTGCGAAGCGGACCAAGTCCCGTACCTCAGCGGCAAAACCTTACAGAATCTCCACGACCAGGAGAATCATCAGCCTTTCGCTTCCGTGATCCCTCACCCAATATGAATTTAAGCAACCGAGCACAGGCGCCATCGCGGCTCGAGGCCGTTCCACCGGGTGCCTTCAACGGCGCCTCGTCCATATCACAATACTCTCCTATTGTGAAAGATACGCCGGTCGTTACAAAGGCACCCTCAAACAAACGACCACCGCCACCGATCAAAACTGCAAATCTTGGGCCAAAGGGGCACAAGTCGCCCACCTCGGGCAGCCCTCCTAGTCATGGCTTCACGGAGGAAAATCTACGCATTGCGCGATTGGCCAACTCCTCTCGCCTAGGTTATACTCCTGGAGAGCCCAGTCCGTCACCTAAATTGCCTCCACCTGCCACTCGTTCGCAACTGATACCTCGAGAGAGTCCAAAGGAGCATCAAGATCGCTTCTTCGGCGGAAGTGCAAACAATTCAATGATACCCCGTCCCCAAAGAGCATCAGTTCATTACAACGCAGCTCGAGCCAGCGTGGTGTCGGATGCTGACGACTATGAAGATATCGAGGCCAAATCAGATGTCAGCAGTCTCAATGAATTTGAGCGCTTTGACTTCGGCACCGACATCAACGGTGGCAGGAGCAGTGGCGGCGGGAACTCCTTGACGTTCTTTGCGGCACAAAATAGTCCAGCCAGCGAGAGAGGGAGCGCCTTTGGTACTGGAACTCATGAGCGTTGGTGATCAAGATTGAACTGTAAGAAACAGAAGGTCGAGGAACGATACGCGATTTGGCGACGTCGCATTTATTTTGTCCCTTTTTTATTAGTCATCTCATGACATTGACGATCGTTTGTGTACTACATGTTGTTCATTTTCCCTCTTACAATTTGTTCACGCTCGCTGTCAGAAAAGCAAGAAGAATTTATGCTTTTGCAAGAGCATGCGAATGATACCCATATCAAACCAAGCTTCGATGGCGAACTGGGATCAGCTTGTGCGAATACCTACTGCATATCTGGAGACGGAATCGGGGACGATATCCGAACATATAATTATCCGAAGAAAACAAAGAGTCCTGAAAGAGACAGATAAGGAGATGAGATAGATGAAGGGGGACTCGGCTCATGGAAGGGATGGAAGTTAAACTGACTGAGACGGCCTATGTAATTCAGTCGACTCCTCTCCGCTTCTAGACGAGGCGGCAAGAATGAATAAGAATATTTCTACCGAGTAAGCTTGTTGCAAATGGCGAAGAAAGGTCTTGCGTCGTGCAGCGTGCAGCGTGAGAGTGAAATGGTTTCCATTCCGAAATCCAATAAGTAGGGTTTCAACAATTTAGGAGATATAGTCCACCATGAGATGGAAACCCCCTTCGCTGACCCACGTCCATGTTCGCGATCATCAGCGAGTGATGTACTATGCACTGCGTACTGGGTAACTCCTACCAAGGACTGCGTCGTCCCAATACCTAGTACCCATGACGAGGATGTCCTCAGGCCCCAATCATTGCAATCAACCAAGGTCAATCCGCGGCGCCGGGCTCATTCAATCCCAAAGAATCGCCACTCGTCCAATTGACGTCCAGGAACAGGTACGAGATCCTCCACGTCCCCCGTCCTTGTCCTTGTCCTTGCCCTCGCCCTTGCAGGTGGCCGTGGTCGTGGTCGGGGTGGTCCTTCCGGAAACTCCAGTAATAGTACCCTCCCTCCTGGAAGACCTGGCCGATGTCGTTGTCGTGCGTGCCGCAGATGGCGTGTAGCGCGGAGCGGGCGTGCGCGGTGGTGTCGGACGTGAAGGAGATGGTCATGTTGGAGGACGAGTGCTTTCGCAAAACGGATCGTTAGAGGAAAGGGAACTTTTGTTGGCAATGTAATACATACACTAAGAGGGGAGTAAGGGCGTATATTCATGCAAAGAAAAGAATCGCCCAATTCGGATACTTGTGAAAGGTAGACCGAGAAGAAAGGGCGGGTAATATGGACTCACCAGCATGCGGTAGAATCTCGTCTCAGCAGTCATCGCCCACTCTGCGAGCCCGTCCCTGCCTCTGTGACTGCCAAAGGGATATGTGACATCGCAGTCATCGGTGAACAGGCCGGCCCATTTGTGCGCAGCAGTGTGGTTGACCATGCAAGCGTCAAGGACGTAGGCATACTCGTTGAGCAGAGTCGTTATTTGTTGATGTTCGTACAGGTATCTCACCCTGTCCTCGACGGTTTCTGGGTTCGCCAGTGACGAAAGGAGCTTCTGGTCGTGGCTCTTGATCCCATTTTGTGAACCGTTAGTTTGCGGCGCTGCTGGCTCTGAGTAGGAGTAGCATAGCGGGTGGTTCACCGCCAGTAATGCTGGCCTGGGAGACATTTCTTTGGTCGATGCCAATATGTTCTTGTTTCTTCTAGCAAAGATGTATTACCCTGAGCCCGCATGGTGTCTAAAGATTTTGATGTCTTTTGACATCGATGAATAGTGCCTGCATCGTCTTGATCGGCCTGCACGGGGCGTGCCCCAATAGCTGTGAAGGATTGTTGACAGAGGTCGGGCGGGACTTGCGCCAGACCTGCATGCATATTTTGGGGCTTCCCCATGTTGCGGAGTCAGTCGCTCCACGCATTCCAGTTGGCCGAAGCAATAGACTTACACACCCAGGTGGGTGCCTGGGGATTCTGCGACCTGCTCCCCACCAGCAGAGGTATCGGTGTCTTTTCCCGGTCTCGATTTCCAGGAAACATGATATATGGATTGTAGAGCCCATTCGATCTAGACCCTCGCTGCTATCCTGCGTCGGGAGAGCCGTAGAAATAGAATCCTTCGCCCTCGGGAATCCAATGAGGATTGGCAGTATTATCTTCGCGACCCTCCAGACCCGGGAGCTCGCCTTGTGGTGGGGTTCCAGAAAAAGCCATCTCAAAATTGAATCGTGGATTATCAAATGCTGGAACGTCGAATCCCGGGACGAAGTTCAGTATTCGGTCCGGTGACTCCAGGTTGGGGACAGCGAACCCAGCATGGATGTCTGTCGTGGTGCTCGGTGTGTCACTTGAGACATACCCAGTCGCTACCTTTTTCAACAGCCGCCGGATCTTTTCAGACGCCACACGAGCAAATGCTAAGGCTTCCTGATGCCTGGCGAAGAAGACCGCGGCAGATTCGATATTGTCGATGATTTTGCTGCGCTCGGGGATCATGGCCGCCAGAAGATCATATGTGGATTCACTTCTGACATAAAGTAGAAGCGTGAGCGTCGCATTCCAAAGATAACCCATAGTATGAAACAGGGCTGCTTGGAGGGTACCAGAACTCCCGGCGTTGATAGAAGTGGTGGTGACATGGATAAGTGACATGGCCATTTCGATGCACTTTGCAGCCGCCACAACTGGTTCTTCCTTCACTTGCATCTGTTTTTCTCGTTTCTGCACAACCAAGTTGAGGAACGCTCGGTACAGGAGGATCCTAAGATTTAGGTAACCTGACATAACGACAATTAGAGTCGATAGAACGAGACCTGAGCTGAAGGATCAAATACGCACGCAGCCGAATAATAAGTCCATGAGGCTCCTTTGACCATGTCGAGTCATGATACCAGCCATCATACCAAGCGCAAATGGCATCATCTGCCGCACGAAGAGCCGCTGCGCGTTCACTGACTCCAGTGTGCTTGAAAGCCAGCGAGTAAACTTGCTCATAGGCATCCCAAGCCAAGTAAGAAAATTGCCGCATACGTTCCAGATACTGGAGATCAATAGGCGAGGTATCGAGAGGAAAAGGTCTCACGTCAACCTCTCGTGGTTGGATGCCACAAGGGCGACCAGACAGAGTAGCGAGTTCCCTGCTGAGAGATCAGAAAGATCAGAGATTTTACAGGAGTAGCAAACAGACGTTTCATATATGAACAGGCACCTGTTTCTGTCTCAGCAAGAATATTCGACGGGTTGAAGTATGCGTAGGACTCACCACCAAGTTGCACACCAGCCATTCGTATCAAGCACATGGATATCAACTGGCCTGAGCTCTCTGTGTAGACCAATGGCGTAGCCAATCCTGGCTGCCGTTCCTAGCATTGCATATGCTTCATGAAGCCTCTGTTGGTTAAAGAGCCAAACGAACTGATTGTAGTCTTAATACTCGATGAATCAGATATTCCCTGGAAATCACTTACCGCAAGGAACATGGAGTTTACAGCAGACATGTCGCCACCAGAAAAGGGTACGTCGACAAAGGTCGATTTGGCCAGGTTGAAGCAGATCTCCCCATGTTTCGAAGCAAGAGCATCGTTTCTGACTCGATCATCTGGGTCGACCGTACTGCATTGATGACCGTGGGCAAGGACCATGTACAAGACAGCTGCCCAGAGTTCATAGCCTTTACCTTCTGTTGGCAGGCCCTCCCAGAAGTTTCGGTAGCGTTCCATGAAAGTGATACGATTCATGATAGGATAGAGCCTATGGGCAGTTTGAAAGTAGCGGTTGACATAGTCATCTGCGACGGATCTTGGAGGAAGTGATGATCCTGCGACTTTGGCAAACCTGAGACTCGCGGCATTTTCAAGCCATAAGCTAGCTCTGTCGAGGGGCGATTCTATCCGAGAAGTAGACGGCTGGTCTTCCGATTCATCTGTTGCCTCCACGGCGCTGATAATAGCATTGGACGATGAACCTCCGTAGAACTCGGGGTTCCTTGAGATGGTCAGATAGTTCACACCCCGCAACAACTGAGCCATATCGTCCTCATTCCGGCTCGTTTCGGTCGCTGTCCCGTATACTTGGTCGGAATAGCGAGGAGGGCTCAAGCCTGGCTCATTTTGACTCTGTCCGGTGGTGTAACCTTCATATACACGTAAGCGGTCTTCAAGCTGAGCAATTCTCCTAACACACAGGCCATTGTGAGCTGCCATAGACAGAACAAGAGTCACCAAGAACTCACTTCATCGCTTTTGCCAGCGTGAGTTTCTCGGGGGCACGAGCGTCGCCTCCATAGTGGCACTGAAGAGAATTCTCCAGACAGGTTTTGCAAGGGCTTCCTCCGTTGCACTTTTTGAGCCCCAATCAGACATTTTCCCTCTGAGAGCAGCACTATTGAATGCGGAGACGTACTTTGCGCCGCAGCGCTCTGCAATTGGAACATGCCTGTTCAGTTTTTGTTCTTTTGACATTGGGTTGTGGGGGTGCGAATGGTGTGGGAATGCCCAGGTCCGATGGGTCGTGCTCTCTCTTGCGGTCAGGAGCGATCTCTCTAAACTGCATCATGGCATCGTCGCGGGCAGACTGGTTGGACTCTGGCTGGACAGGGTTGATGGGATGATGGATCGACGACATGTTGCTGGACGTTGATGTGGAGTGAGAAGGATGAGCACAAAGAGTTCGGCTGCGTCTAGCGTCATGCACCCCACAAATTGTCACTTCTCCTTCTTCCCTCCTTTTTACCTCGCATCTACCATCTGCCTTCCACTATGTTGCAACATCCTCTCTTATGACTACGGGAGCATACGGAAAGTGATCAGCTGAAGCCTCTACCCCGGACCGTGTCTGCCAGCCCGTTCTGGATCTGGTGCGATGTCATTGATCACGGAATGTACAGCCATTTCAACTAAGGCAAATGGGTGGCACGTTCCTCCCTGCTCATCAAGATATTTGACTATAGTTGCCAGGCTCTCCTTTGGCAACTCTGACCCCAACAGTGGTACTATATCCCATGACTGTGCACCAGATGAGTCAGGTTGACACCACTCTGATCCTCCATATGTCACCTGCAAGTGCTGGTAGCCGGCTCATCCTGTTCTCCTACACACCATCTACAGATGAAATGACACCAGCATGTTTGCTCTCCAAATGACGCACTTGCTCTGCCTTTTCCGCCAGAGTATCCGTCACGACCTGGTCTTTGACAAAGAGAGTGTCAATCTCCTCAAGTGTCAAACCACGAGTTTCAGGATAAAGGAACCATACTAAATTTCTGTCAGTATAGCCAGTCAGAGAAAGAAGAGCGTGCAAATCTTACCAATGGGCAGTTGCAGGAAGGTAAAGATTATGAACACAATATACAATCGCCAGTGGATGTTGGCAATGCCAATCGGGCCCACCTTGACTATGATGAAAGTAAAGGTCCCTGGATTGACCGAATATCAGCATTGACTCGGCATGTACAAGCATGTTCAGTCTCTTGGCTAGCTCACTTACAGTTTGCAAATGCATTCAACGCATTGCCGATGTGCCTGTACCTCACAGGTACAAGCTCAGGCCCAAGGCACCAAGGACTGTCACACGTTAGCCATTTTCCAGAGCCTCGACAATTGCACACTTACGCCGGCAGCCAGCTCCAACCGAATGCCACACAGATCAGGCACGTTGCTCCGAAAGCTACCCAGAGCTGCGCAGTCCCTCCATTTTTGACCATGGGCGTGTAGATGCAATACCCAATCAGCATGGGGATCGTCCCAGAAATAAGCAGCTTCTTCCTGCCCACTCGCTCGATGAGTGCAATGCCAAACACCGAACCCACCCAGAAACAGATGGACGCAATGCCGCCTAAGATCAGAGAAAGATTCGCAGAGATTCCCAATTGCAAGAAGACAGTGCTGGAATAATAGATGACGATATTGACCTGGAAACAAGTTAGCTCTGTGACGGCCGACTCAAGACCGGGATGCAACATACTCCGGGCAGTTGTTGGATCATCTGAATGATAAACACGAGAGCCATCCGGAAAGGAATCTTCTGACCAGATCGATCATAGAAGATGGTTCTGAGACTGTACTCGCCAAAGTGGTCCTCTAAAGCAATGGCGGCGAGAATTTCGCTGCGTTCGGCCTGGACCACTTCGTGTTCGATTGGAAGAGCCTTCAGCGCCGACATGACTATGTCCGCCTCTTCAGTTCGACTCTTGGAATACAGCCATCGAGGGCTTTCCGGGAGCCAGAAAAGGCTGAAAATGGTGACGATGGCGAACACGGCCTGAAAGGCTGCCACAAAGTCAGAACCGCTCAACGCAACGATAGGATGGTCCGACGTACCAACTGGAAAGCGCCACACAACCTGCCCAGTGAGATGGAAGAAGCCGTAATTCATCCAGTACGCGATTACAATCCCAAATGCTGCAATTGACAGCTGGGTTGCAACCAACTGCCCTCGATGTTTGGCCTTGGACGTCTCAGAGACCCACGTTGGCACCGTCCCAGTGTTCATCCCGTTGCCGATGCCCGAGATAATCCTCCCGACAATCAATTGAGCCACACTGTATGATGAGGCCTGCAGTACAGCGCCTGGAACAAGTGTTAGTCCCAATGTTTCCACTACGGATCATTCTACTTGCCAACCACCATTATAGACATTCCGATTCCAATTGTACGCTTCCGACCAAGAGATGAACCCCAAATCGCAGCAACAAGACACCCGACCATGCAACCGATGTCGTAGATGGAAACAACGGTGGAAAGGGTATCGGCATCAGTGGCCTTTGTGAACTAGTCAACACCATTGTCTGGGAAGAGACGAGCGAGATACCCACTGCGATGTTGACGGCGTTGAGGAAGAAGGGAGTAGAGATGATACTCCCCATGATTCCTTGATCGTAGCCTGGAGAAATGTCGGTCAACGTCGTCCTTCTTGGTCCTTAGGGATCGGTCCTACCAAACAGAAGAAACGCGCTGGCAGAGCACAGGCTGATTGCCCATGAGAGAGCACTGCCCTCAAGGCCCAAGAAAGGTTTGCCGCGTGGAGACATGGTTCCTGCGTTGCTTGACACTTTGCAAACTTCGTATCCTGGTTACCGAGAGAAAGATGGACAGGACTCGACATATATGCACTCCGGTAGCATATCCATATGCATGGTGGGATCCCCTGTGGAGTTGCCAACCCACCGAGGCACCTCATGCAGGAGGCGAAAATGTGCATCCACACATCCCCATTGGACACTCACTGTCCCTCCACGTATTCCTATTGGGTGGCAGCATCAACCCCACAAATTCGACGGCCTCGTGGACTCACTCTGGTATCGATGCGGAGTCGGTAGACGTCTGGAGGAAACTCTTTTAGCTACCCCGGATGTGTTCGATGCCTATTTAAATCCAGCCTCCGGATGAATCATGGTCGCCTCGAAGAACATCCAGAGCGAGCACGAATCAGGTAGAGCTGGCCATTTGGACAGCGGGGACATTTGTAGCATTTTTCTCCTGACCTTCGGAAGACGACAGAGAAGTCTTGTTTGCAGGCCTTGGGTCCAGTCCGAGCAGTGGCAGCTTTGCTTCGACCACAGGCTGTCCGGTCATAAAGAGCACTGTTCGTGCCACGACGCCCGTCATTACTGTTGACATTGAGTCTCCACGAATACGCAACGTCAGTCATCATCACCATTCTCACCATGGCCGACACAGAGAAGATACTCGCCGAGCTGGCGTCCTTGCGGAAGACAGTGTCGTCCCTCCAAAAATCGCTCTCAGAGACACAAGACATCCAAGCCGTCCAATGGCTGCTCAACCACTACACGGCGCTGCACGACGACGCGTGCTTCGACCTCGAGAAGCGCCAGGAATGGGAGAACCTGTTCTGCGAAGACGGCGTGGCGGTCTACCCCTACGGCCAACACGTCGGGCGCGCGGGCAAGGGCGCCTGGGCGTTTGGGGGAGTGAGCTACTTTGAGCGCTGCCAGCTGCTCTCGTCCAACTTCGACATTGAATTCTCCCCGAACCGCAAGCGCGCGTACGTTCGAACAAATTGCATCGCGCAGTGGATGAAGCGCAAGGACGTGTACGACGACCACTTTGACGAAGGCGGCTTCTACAACTGGATCCTGAGGAAGGACGCCGCCGACGGCCAGTGGCGCATCGAGAGGGTGCATTTGACCATCACGTGGACGACCGGCGAGGATCCCACGGGTGTAGGTCCCAAGACTAAGACGCCACCAAAGCTCTAGAAGAAATGGAGGCGCGGGAGAAGGGAAGACAGACGGATAGATGTTCGAGCGTAGCGGGTTCGGGGGCGAATAGCCTCACGATCGCCACACGGTAGCGATGATCGTGGCCAGCGTTTGATCGACCTGATGACGGCGCCCAGCTGGAGGCCATGTATACCGAGCGGCATGAAATAAGGGGTAAAACAAACACATCTCTCCCGTGTTCGATGATCGGGGCTTTTACTACAGTTGATGGCGAGTTCAAAAATCAGAATTGTCACTGGCATTGTCCTTGTTGCCTTGGGGTCTTGTTGCCTGGTAGATTGATCTATCTTATCAAAATCGCATTGGCCAAATTGGCTTTCGAAGAAGGTTCATTTCCATCACCCAAATCAGGGGGGTTTTTTCATCCCATCATTCCGTCGTAAAGATAAAAGTCCATGCGCATGCCCTCTTTCTTGCTTACCCCGTTCCCTCCATCCTCCCAAAAAAAAACCCCCTGGAAAAACCGAAAAGCCAAAGACAAACTTCTCTCTCTTTCTCTCCCTTTCACACACACACAAAGGACGAGAGAGGTATGATGTGTGTGAGTGTGTGAGTGCGTATGCGACCTCTTCATTCTTCGCTTCCCGCGCCGCCCGCGACAGCACCGTGACGGAACAGATGGCGGTGCGCCATGTCTCTGGTGCTGCGCCTGTGCCTTGCCAAGTGGCGTTTAGCGTGGGCCTCGTCGAAGGAGAAAGGCGCCATGACGTCCACGGACGACGACGAGGACTTGCCAGACTCTGGCAACGGCGCGGCCTCGCGTCGGCTCTCGTGGTGGAAATCCTGATAGCCCAGGGCGCCGACGGTCTCTGAGGCGGCGGCGGGCGCCGGGGAAGCAGTAGTGGTGGTGGGCGATGGCGACGCCGGGGACTCTTGGACCTCGTTGATCGTGCCGTCCGAGGCGACCGCCACGGCCATGGGCGGGCCCACCGTTGCAGTGGCAGAGGAATCTCGTGCGTCGAAGGACACCGTTGACGACGACCCCGAGGCCGAGGCTGCGGTTGTGGAGGTCGCTGGTATGGCTGCAAAGTCCGCCGCCGTGGCACCCGCCGTGCCGAATGTGAAGCTGTGTCGCCCGTTGCCGCCGCGGCTGAAGCCCGTCGTAGGAACCGAGATGCTCGATGGAGGTGTAGGAACCACGGGCGGCGGGATGCCTGAGGATGGTGCACCAGGAATGCTGACGGTGGGCGCTTGGGTCGACGCGGTGGGGAATGGCGCGGTCGGGATGCTGGAGTTCTCGGCTCCGCTACTCTGGAAGACCTTGAGCGAGTTGACGGACCAGTACGCATCCTGGAATGCAGAGGGGTTGTTCTGCACGAAGTCATTGCAGGTCGCCGCTTTGGACCCGCAGACAGGGTCGGAAGTCCACACGTTGCCGGCCCAGTCGCCGCAAAAGGTCGTGTCAAAGACGATCTGGTTGTTGTTGAAGAACTCGTCGATATTGCATCCTCCCTGGAACGAGGCCAGCGGTTGGCCCCAGCCACTGGGGTCCGGTGACCCGGAGGATATATCGGAGGGGATGGCCGAGCGGGGGAAGAACCAGATGCTGATGGCCGACGAGGTCCATTCGGTGGCGTAGACACCGCCTTGGCCATCGTTGAAGCCCGTTCCGAAGGTGGCGTCGTTGGGGGTCGAGATGGAGCAGCCTGCGTTGGTAGCCTGGCCTGCGGCGTTGATGTCGCAGTTGGACGTGGCTACTGAACCCGAAAACATGCCGTTGTTCGTAATGCTGCACCCGGCGCCGGTGTGCAGGGTCATGGCGTTGGATGCTTGCGAGTTGACTCCCTCGATAATGTCGATTTCGCCTGCACTTGGCCAGTTGGGGCCGACGGTCCAGAAGGCTGGCCAAGTGCCGCAGATTCCGCCAGGCATGTGTGAAAGATCCAGGATGATGAGGCCTTGGTTATACGACTTTTTGCTGGTCAGGCGGACGCTTTGGCGGCCGGAGCCCGACGCAACATTGGTATGGTCAACACCCATATAGACGGCGCCGTTGTTGGTGTTGATGAGCCCGCCGCTTTGAGCGGTGTTCTGGTCCACATATTGCACGTACCCATTCGTGGGGTCAGCAGCCTGATACTTGGGTCAGCACCGAGAATGGGATCAATTGACAAAAACTGGGACCTACAGTGAAAAAATCAAACATGGAAAAGAATTGATCAACGCTGTAGTCATCCTCCAGCACATATCCAGCTGTGCTCAAAGAGACAAGTCCCGCCAGGGTGACAAGAAAAGAAGAAGCCAACATGTTTGCTCAGATTGGAAGAAAAGATTGACAGAAAAGGAGCGACGAAGCTGCAAAGACGCAAGTTCAAATGGAGAAAGGAATGGACGCAAAAATGCTGGCTTGAGAGAAAGAAAAAATGACCTGTCCACGAGGGAGAGTACGGACCAAGTCGCAAGGGCAAGTCGTTGAGATATGTATACCAAGAGGGGGGCCTCGGGTACGTGTAGAGAAAGGGGTGATGCATGGTCGAGATCCCCTCCTGGGCGTCTTTGTGCAGGCGGGGCCAAAGCGGAAGTATCCATAAGTACGCGTTGAGGCTGGCATGCGCAGCAGCTGACGTGCAGTAGAGCTACTGGCTCCATGGATTGGTGCATTGATGCCTGAAAGCGCTGTTGAGGAGTAAGGGGGACTCCGTATACGCTCATGTGAACGTGGACCGGCGGGTCATGCAGCGAAAAAAGCCGGAACTATCAACAACATACCGGACACGACCCCCATGCTGCAAGGATTGGGACACCCAAGGACCCCCAAAAAGAAGGCAGTGGACTGCTGAATGGCTCCAGAAGAGCTAATTAAGGAGAGGTGAGACCTCCTCCCTTCGCTGAGCTGGCAGAGCGCTGAACGAGCTTCGAGAGGATACGAGCATTTGCAAACTAGGTCAGGAATGAGCTTGAAACGATGGCGCCAGATGCAGTCCTCGCGTCCCCTCCGCATATTTGAAACTCGGCAAGGACGGATAAGCCTGATAACTTTAAAAAAGGGCCGGAGCGTTGACCGTCGTCGTGGAGTCATGAGAGTGGATTGTGCATGGCCTGAATAGGTCATGGGTTTGGCGATAGGGAGAGAAGAGGGCGAAAAAGGGAGCGAGGGAGGAAGTAGAAGCCTTCAAGGGGCGCTGAGGTCGTTGGCCCTGGCCAATGAGAGCGCCGAAGGGGCCAAGTCACGTGTCAGGCTGGGGCTCATCCGCCCAGTTCGAAACATTCGACGTCTCAGCGCCTTGGCCCGCGTCCAAGGGCTCCACCATGTCAAGCCATGTCCAAAGGGAAAAAGGAGAAGTCCAGCCAGGGCCAAAGGGAAAAGGGAAGATAGATATTCTTTTCGTTATTATCACTATCGAGCTATACGCAAGCCGGACAGACCAATTGAGGAACACCATCTTCCACGCCTGCCTGTCCCAAGCATTTTTGGTGGTACAGATGGCGGCAGGAAAACGCCACAATTGGGCCGAGCTCCTCTGCCAGCTCAGTCGCTACACCGCCACTTTCCCCCTCTAATGGCTCCTGCGCGCTCACACCGACTGTGGCTTTGCCTTTGCCCCGGGTCTCATCGTCTTCCACCACAGACTCGACGTCCTGGATCCGGCGCCGGCGGAGGAGTCTGGCTTCTTCCTTTTTCTGCCATTGCTCCCAAACCTTCTCGCCGACGCCCGGGCCCCAGATCCGTCGTCGACAGACTTCGCATACCTGCCCTCGAGGCCTCCAGCCGCGCTGTCTAAGAGCAGCCACTTCGTCCAAGCGTACAAACACGTCCTTGTCCAGCATCGCGTTCGAGAGACCCAGCAGAGACTCCTCATAAGCGTACGCTGAAAAGATGGAACTGATCACACCCCGGAGTTCTGAAAGAGACGGGCTTGCTTCAGCAGCGTGTGAGAGGAATGCCCGTAGGATGCGTAAAAATATCATGTCTTGACCTGATGCCCCATCGCGTACCGATGTAGTACTTGTAAGAAGTGAAGTGAAGACCTGCTGAATGGTTAATCGAAGGGCTTGCGTGATTTCGAGACTTTTGTCGTCTTGTGTCTCTTCGTTCAGCGGCGCACGGATGGAGACATCTCGAGCTATCGACACCACGCAGAGAATGAGGTCAAGCCAGAGATTTTCTTCGAAAGACAATGCACGCGTCGCACTGGCAGATCTCCTCGGTGATTTCGAAACTGCCAGTGACTTGGGAGCATTCTTCATCTGCCCCTGACACAACCAGATGCCCACTCGAGTGTATTTCTCCAATGATTCGAGAAGGTTCGTGGTCGGGTGTTGGACGGATGCATCATCGCCCTGGTCAACAAAATCCGACTTCACGCTCTTTAAGGTCGAGCCCAAGAAGGCCAAGTGTCGAGTTAACCGATCCATTGCTTCCTTTACTTGGCCCTGGCGAACTTGCAAGATCACCACAGCGTCGATAATGCCACTATCCTCGATGGTCGGAAGAACTTCTGCAAGTCGAATGTCGCCTTCCTTGACACTCTCCACATAATCTCTGACGTGTGAAGGGTCAAACTGGCAAAGGAGGCGGACATAGAGCTCCATAATCTCATGGTCATAGTTTCGACGCGAGCGCAGATGGTCTTGGGGCTCCAGGAGCGTCCTTAGATACTCAAACTGTCCAAAGAGATCATCGGTCATTGCTTGCAGGAACACGTGGTGCAAATCCGGCGCCACCTCGTCAATAGTGGCGGCACACCTTTGAACATTGATGTTGATGAGGTCAAGCGCGTGTTTCTCTATGGTGTCCCTTACCTCTTGTCGCTGTCGTTGTGCTAGAAGTGATTCTGATCGGAGACATTCGACGATAGAGGCAAAAACCCCCACTCGGTCTTGACTGTCCATGAAGAACGTCGATATCATATCGGCATATTGACGCTCTTGCTTGAAGACAGACTTGAGGACGCGGTAGAAACTGGCTTCGCGGAGTAGCGGAACAAAGTCGAGTACGTTGGGTGGTTGGTACACGGAAAGGAGGTATTCTATGCTCAGCTCGGCATCTTCTTGCATGTCGTCTTCCGGGTACTGACATAGTCGAATAAAGATCTCTTGCAGGACCGTACCCGACAGTACCATGTATTGAGGGTATTTGGCCAGGTTGCGCGCGATGAACATGTCCAGATAGATGGTGTCATCAGAGTCGAAGCCTGACGACATCACCTCCAACAATATACGAACGATGTATTGGCGGGTGTAAGTACGCATGGTTGCAGCTTGGTTTAAGGTGAGGCTATTGAGTGCATCGTCGTCACCCAAGTTGAGATAGCTGTCTTCAAACGCCTCGTTCAACGCCGCGATGAAGCTTGCGGTATCGAAATGGAGCACTCGAGACAGATGCCCAAAAGAGGCTGCACGTTTCATGATGGGATCGCTCCTAGCCACTCCGTTTGCACCTGAGCCCCCTGAAAAGAAGAAGTCATAGACTTGTCCCTTGGCGAGCACCGAGTCCTCCTCGCCCAGCATGTTCCCAGTAGGGTACACGCGACCCGTCAAGATGAAGGAAACGTAAGGGAAGATCTTCTGGGCGACATTGTATCTGTCAACCACGTTGACGGCTTGATGACGTGGAAGATCTTCACTGTCTGCCAAGTCCAGTAGCATCATCAAGGGTGTCGTGAAGTCACGGAGGGCCATTGTCCAGACATAGATGTAGGCGTCATACAGGGCATATTGCTTGCATAGAGTGGTCACTTGATCAATGTCCATCGTGGAAGTATCCAACATGCAGATGATCTCCTCCAGCACCGAGGGAGTGTGCGTCTCCACAAAGTGATTGATCAGGGTCTTCAAAGCGGGCGGAGGCACCGAGGAAATCCTTTGATCGAGGATGTACGGTTCAAGGACATCTACAAACAAGGGTCCATGGCCATGGTCCTCATACCAAGAGAAGACTTCTTCGAAGAGGAAGTCCTGATCGTGCATGATAAGACATGCCTTGATGCAAGCATCTGCAAGTTCGGCCATCTGGGGCTTTTCGATTTGATCACTTCCGGCTTGCTGGTTCTTACCAAAGGCGTACTTCAAAGAGGCGGACATCATCTCGTCGAGCTTTTCCTTGACAACACCTGCACGAACGTTGTCTTCTTCGGGAAGACCAATAGTGACCTTTTCTCCTTCACCTTGGTAATACTGGGTAGCAAGCCGGATGGCCCCAATGAAATCGCCGACGTTTATCATGGCCAAAAGTCGATCAGCCCAATTCGTTAAGACGCCAGTCCAAACATCATTGAAGCCAAGCAAGAACAGCCTGCCTTTGTACGCCCGGAAGCTCATGTGAAAGGCATCCGCAACCACACCGTGCATGGACGAGTCTTCTTCGTCAAGCTGTTCGATGATAGCTCGGAGCTGCTGCGAGTAGAGATCTGCGTGATATATGTTTTTCTTCAGCAGGTCAAAGGCTTCAGTTACGTGCATGGTGAGGTCTTCAATGATGAGGAGCTGTTGCGTAATGGTCAAAACGGCCAACACCGATTTGTTCAGCCATTGGACAGCCACAATTGCTTCGTCGGCTTGATAACGGCTTCGAGCCAGGAATTGCAGGTCAGGAGGTTTGTTCTTTTCAGTGTCGTCTTCTCCTTGGGTTTCCTGGACTTCCAAGATTGTGAGAATGTTAGACCAGGCATAAACAAGCTTTGTCCTTGAGACTTCGGAGTCCTGAGATTTGAGCTTGATGGCTGGAAACCAAGCCAATGCCGCAGTCATTGCACTGTGCGCTGCGACCTCTCTGGGACGGGCGGCTTTATGCTGCGTCTGTGCTACAGGTGTGGTCGAGACAATGACAAGTAAATATGGTGTCAGCATGGCCACGAGGCCCATACTATCTGTCCTTTGCTCTATGTTCCCCAGAGGCAACGGTGAAAAGGCCAGGACAGAACTTTTCTTCAAGGGCTTGGACGATCGCGAGACAACTTCGGGGTATCGCCCAAGGACTCGAGTGGTACGGACAACGCGGCCAACAGCTCCCATCCCGCGTGTTGCCAGATGGGAGAATGCCATGCCCTTGTCATCGGCCGAGACAAGCGCAGTATGCCTGTAGCCCAGAAACCCGATGTGAAGAACCGCGCTGTCTGATATATGACCGTCTCCTCTTCGAGCTTGAGGTTGAGAGACTTCAATTGGCTGAATGTGTAAAAATGGTCTGGAAGGTCTGGCTAGTTCCCACGTGAAGATGTGGCCATTTGCATGGCCAACAGCAATAGTGGTATGATCAGCAGAGATTGCAAGTGCCGTTACAGCGCCACTCTCGGCGGCTTTCGTGCCGCTGCCAATGATTGCTTTGTGATTCTGATGGTGATCAAAAACCAGAACAATCCCCTTGGAGGTCCCCAGCACCAACTGGTCTGACACCGCCAGGCATGTTGGGCTTCCGAAATTTCTCTTGCCGATTTCCGAAAACGCTTGCCCAGTGATCTTTTTAAACTTGCTCCACCTGATCACATCCCACGGATTTATAGTCTCGTCTGGCTCGGAGGGCGTGTGTAGTCCCTGACTGGCAGTAGAGGAGTGACGGGAATGGGCACCCAGGAAGGCAGGTGAGCTCGAGCGTAGAGGTGAGAGCTGGGAGCTTGAAAGCCGAGATTGAAAGCGAATATCGAAAGGACGATGGATGGTTGCGGGGCTACCTCTGCGAACAGGACTGCGGATTGAGACTGCATCGCTTCGAGGAGAGGAAAGCACCGAGCCTTGTACGGAGGGTGTGTCGTCGGGTGTTGAGACCGAGTCGTCAATATTCGGGATATCAGTCGCTTCATTGCAGGGAGGAACATTGTCCGTTCCATTGGTTTCCGGCAGCACGTCTGGTGGCTCTTCTCCTTCGATGTGAGCAGAATCTCCGCGATCAACCTCTAGCGCTGCATCGAGTGCATCAACCACGTTCTCCGCCGGGACGTGTGGTTCGGGCGCAACTATGTCTGGCACATCGTGGTCGTCCTGCGCTCCTAACTCTTGACCAACCTCGTCCTCCCGCTCACCATTATCCTCGTCGCGCAGGAAGCTCTCGCCCTCATCCGGGGTCGAGTTCATCGAGGTATCGTCGACACAATCATTGCTTCGTGGGCATCGTCACCACCGGATCGAGTATGCTGCAATCTTTCCAACTGACGAAGCACAGAATGCCTAGCAGGCAGAAACGAAGCAACAGTCTCGAGTCAATGGCTGTGGAATGATCGGATCAGAGGTGTTCTGAGAAGGGAGAGAGGAGAGGTCAAGGACACATCTATCGCAACGACTAAGCAGGACGAAGAGGGACGAGAAGTAAGAGAATTGGGTGCTGCAAAAGGGACGAATGCTATACCCGTGGATGGGCTGGATGGGTTACAGCAACCACCATGATGTGTTACGACGCTTTGGGGGACACGCCCGTGAGGATTGGAGAATGGTGCGGTTGATGGGCCAATGCTCTGCCGTAGTAGATACGGAGGACCATATCGCTGAAATAGCAGCAAAACATCGAGGCACAAGAAGCGCAGCCGCAGCTCAATTAATCACGGCCGACAGTCTCTTTACGTAGGTAGGTATACCTCGTACCTCTGTATGTATACTCTATGCTGGCTGGGTTGCAGCTCCATCTGAAGAGAGAAAACTCTCCAACAACATATCCGACTTCCGCCGACAAATAAGCGAAGGAGGGCGGTGGCCGCATTTGACTCGGGAAAAAAGGCCCTTCTCTCACCAACCCTGCGGTCGCCGACTCCGCCAACTTCCTCGGCATCTTTCTGCTTTCTGCGCATTTCCAGCCTCTCGCCTCTCGTCTCTCGTCTCTCGTCTCTCCCGCTCTCCCTCTTTTCTCCAGCGGCGGCGAATTCATGTGTCAGCCCCAGAAAAACCCACCATTACCGCGACCACTGTCTTCCATTATTTCCTCCCCCTCGGCCGTAACCACAACACCTCTACGTCGCCTCATCTACGGTCGACAGCCCTCTTTCTGCCATCCTGTTCTCCCATCACAACCACAACAAAAATACCAGACGCCAGAGAGAAATGACGAGATAACAAAAGTATGACGACAGTTTCGCCGCCCAAACCTTGGGAGCGTGCTGGATCATCCGGTAAAATACTTCTCCAACTGCACCCAGCTTTGGTAAAGAGGTCGATATTGACGAGTGAACCACGACAGCTCCTTCTGGCACAAGCACACCTATAACCTCTTCCGCCATGACCGCGCCGTCACCCCTCAACGCCTCCTCCACTTCCACCTCCCCAGACTCCGCCGCCCCAGCTCTCCCCGACCGACCCTCGACGTTAAACAATGTTGTCAACCAGAATGCGTCAAACTTCACCAATCAGAACCGCTTCGGCATGAACAACACTCCTTACTCTGGACCTTATTCGTCCTATTCTTCCCCCTACTCAAGATTCGGAGGCGGCATGTATGGTGGAGGCATGTATGGAGGTGGCCTTGGGTATGGCGGAGGCATGTACGGCAGTGGCATGTATGGGGGATATGGAGGCTACCCAGGGATGCCAGGCGAACCAAATAATCAGAGTCTCACCCAGACATGGAACAACAGCACAGCCGCGACTTTTCAGATTATGGAGAGTATTGTCGGCGCGTTTGGCGGGTTTGCGCAAATGTTGGAGAGTTCATACATGACGACGCGTTCTTCATTTTTCGGTAAGTCATTTTTCGGGTCACAACATCCTCGAGGCTGACCGCTCTGAAAAGCAATGGTCTCCATGGCCGAACAACTCGGGAACCTACGCCAGACCCTTGGTTCAGTTCTTGGAATTTTCACACTCATGCGCTGGCTTCGGACCTTGATCGCAAAACTCACTGGTCGTCCACCACCTGCCGACGCAACAGCCCTTACACCCGCGGCCTTCTCATCCTTCCTCAATGGAGGCCACGGTTCCACCCCTGCAACACTGCCTGACGGCTCTCCCGCCCCAGCCCGCCCCTCGCGGAAACCGTTCATAATGTTCGCCATCGCAGTCTTCGGCCTGCCCTATCTCATGAGCAAGTTGATCCGCGCCATGGCCCGTTCCCAAGAAGAAGAAATGCGTCGACACCAAGAAGCCGCAATGACATACACTACGGGTGAGAACGGGGAGCAAATTCCTATCGACCCCAAGAAGCTCGACTTCTGCAGAGTGCTGTATGACTACACTCCCACGCCGCAGTCTGGAGGGATGGACCTCGAGGCCAAGAAAGGCGACTTCGTTGCAGTGCTCTCCAAGACGGACCCCATGGGCAATGCGAGCGAATGGTGGAGGTGTCGTGCGCGAGACGGTAAGATGGGATATCTGCCGTCTCCCTACCTCGAACCGATCCAGAGACCCATGCCAAAGGCCACCCCACAAATCACCGAAGGGAAGACGACGCCACAGCCGACGGAAACGGACGAGTTGATGGCTTCATACAAGCCCAAACTCCTCCGCAACACAGGTGAGGTAGAGCCCGAGTCCCAGGCCGTAATGGACGCGCTGGACGGGCGAGAGAAGGAGTACAAAGATCGGTATAACGCTCTATATGCGCCAGCGACAAAGAAGAAGCCGGCTGTCGATGTCAAGGGACCAAAGATGGACAGCAAACCCGGTGATATTTCGGCAGAGAGTTTCCAGAAGAGCGCTTTTTATTCTTGAATACAAGCAATCGAAGCAAGCAAGCTAGGGAGCAGGAGCCGGGGGAACCAAAAAAAGGGGACCAGTGTACGGGTGAAATGGAACGGGCGCTTTCTACTTCCTGATATCCTTGAAGCTATTAGCCGCTCAGCAGGCGTTACTTATTCATATAATATATGGTTGGAAAGAAGGAGCCCGACCGTCTTGTTTCACGTTATTATGCCTCTCTCGCGCGCTCTCTCTTCTTGCACACACGTCGCGCACATTTCAATCCTCTGCGTCCCCAGCCCCCAGCGACGTCGACCCTTTTTCCCCCCCTTACCCTCCCGTCCTCAAGTCCTGCCTGATCCTGTACCTGGGACGCACCTGGTAACCAGAGAAGGAATATTGTACCTGCAGGTGGCCCAGGCTCTACTACCTACCTACCTACCTACCTAGGTACCCAGGTATTACGATCCAACTATGTAGGTAGTAGAAGAAAGTTCGCGATCTCGACTCCGCTCTTTATAGAGAGAAAGCGGTCATCTTTTGAGCCCCTAGCTCGGGAGATATTGTGCCCCTTTTTCTTGGTCTCCTCCCCTCGAAACAAAAATACAAGACTCTCCATTCCAATTGTCATCAACGACCTCGAGTAATGCAAAGCTATAATGGTAGTTCTAGTCTCCGGCTGGGCAAAAAGCAAAATGGGGTTGGAGCTTTATAGTGTTGACATTGGTCGTCGTCTAATCTTTTCGGAATAGAGTGTGTAAATTCCCAAATGAACAGGCTGACTAGCCCTCTGATACAGGAGAATATTTATCCCATCATTGCGGCGCAAGAACAGTAAGTTGAGTGCTATAGTCGGAGCCTAAATAGCTAGCTAACAGCCTCGGGGGCATCAAACAAAAGAAGGTCCGTCAATGGGTCATCCCCTCAACGTCTGCAAACGGTATTGAAGCGAACGTAACGTTCTGTGAACCAAAAAAAAGAAAGCATCAACTTTTGAGTGAGCGAAATCACAAAGTGGGCAAGCAACACATCGCAGCGCAGCGGGAAAAAAGTGGCTGTGAAAAGCTCGAGAGCACTGCAGCCAATGCATACAAATAAGCCCCATGAAATGAACGCACATAGCATGTCTCGTGGGCTTTCAAAGACTAAAGTCTCTTGCCGCTGCTCCGAGTGCTTGTTGCGTGCCGGTGTGTTGAGTTCGAGTCTGTTTCCTCTGGTTTCTTATGAAAAATATTGTGGTCCAACGTGCATCAAGCCGGAAACCGCGGACCAGACGCATCTGATGCGTCAGAGAGACTAGAGATGTGCAGGGTTTCGGTAAATTTAGAGCCTGCCTCGATGGTGCATGCTCCTCTTCTGTAAGCACAGTTAGGGCAATGTTGCTTCTGGCTGGGAGGATCTAGCATCAACATGCGTAATATACGGACATACCTGTTGCACGCCATCATAGTCCTCGTCATTGTCGTGGTCGTCATCCTCCTCCTCGTTCTCCTCGTCGTCCTCCAGCGCGGCACCTTCATCACTGCATTCACCATCATCGCTACTGTCGTCACTGTCCTCTGCGGATTTCTCGCCCCAGCTACCTCGCCGAGTAGATGAACTTCTTGCACCATTGACGACAAGTGGACCTTGGGGGGACGTCGAGCCACTGCTATATCCTGTTCTTTCCCTGTTAGATCGAGACGGGCCTCTTATTGATTCTTTCGCCGGTGCGGTGCGTCTTCTGGACTTCGAACTGGTTACCTCAGGAGAGGATGGCTCCGCACTCTTCCTGTGCTTCGATAAGAAGCCGCCACCCTTTGTCTCCCGCAGCGCAGTCCGTGATGAGCCTGAGCTTGAAGGAACTGTGGTTGTTGTCATTGAAAGCTCGTCTTTCTCCTGTTTGACGCTGATTTTGCGATTAGAGAGATATCTACCGTCAAGGTCGCGGACGGCAATGAGGGCTTCGGCTGGACTTTTGTATCGTGCCCGTGCAGTGCCCTTGTTCTTCCCGGGGTTGCGACTATCAGGATGGATCTCAAGATAGATAACGCTGCCGTAGCGTTTGAGGAGACTACGCAGTTCACTCTCGGATTGGTAATATGGTAATCCAGAGATGAAGATTTTGCTGCCGTCATTGACCCGACTGACAGGAGGAGGTGCGGCCGGCGACGATGGAGGTAGTCCAGAGTCATTAGAGAAGCGAGTGCTGTATGGGGTTGGTGGAGAGATGGTGTTTGCATAAGTCGTAGTTGGACCTAGAGTGGGAGTGAGTGCAGGCACACCCGGTTGAGTAGCCCAAGGGGTCATCGTTGCATACTGTGTTGTGTAGCTCATGGACGCTGGTGGATGAGCAGCGGTGGTGTAAAGAGGGTTTCTTCAACAAAGTCAGAAATGGACGGCAAGTTTTACTGAAAGAGACATACGCAGAAGACCGTGTTGTCGCAACAGGTCCTTGTAGAGTGGGATGAAAAAGTCCGGATGGTCTCTCAGAAGGGACAATACCATTGCTTTCTTTGGGTCCCTCGATTTTTCTCAAACTCCCGTCCTTCTCTTGAGCGACCAACTTGACACGCACACGATGGCCATTCCAGCCCTGAGTACAGAGATTCTCTGTGTCTTGTAAGCGCCCGGATGGGGATTTCGAGGAGTGAACACACCATAGACTTTGACAGCGTCAGCCTTCCCCTTGATAGTGCAATGTCCCATTTGGGTTCCATCTCCAACATTAAACACTTCAGCTTTCAAGCTCTGTTCCCCTCCAAGACTTCTAGTCATGTCCTTGAGCTCTTGCCATCGGCAGTGGCGTGGAATCTGTGAAATCCAGGTCAGCCTCGGGTTCGCATGGATCGGACCACCTTGACCTACATCTTGAACGAGGATGATGTACGGTTGCTCGTCCTTGTTCGAATGACGAGGTCGATGACGTTCCTGCTTCTGAGGCATTTTCAGATAATGTCAAAACGACTGATAACGTCAATGCTTCCAAGCTAAACTTGGGCGCCGATCAAAGCTGGCGGCTGTTCTATTCGGATCCTCCACCAAATGACTGGAGATGGGCCAGTGGATCTGACACTCTTGCTGGCAAACGCCTTCACCGCAATTGTGTGGGAACAGAAGGTGAAGGTCAGCCTTTATAGATTCGAGCTGATGCATATGGATCCGATTGAGAGTGGAGTCTCTGGCCGCGTTCCCCTCAAAAGACGCAACAGGGTCGCTTGCTCTAAGATCACCTGAAGAGGAAGAGGCTATCAAGCAGTAACAAGGTAGCCCTAGGGTGGACAAGGGTCAGGAGGTGGAATCATGGAGCTCTTTTCCGACTAGGTGGCTCAGCAACGAAATACGAGCTCTGCTTTCATGGAAAAGCCAGAAGTAGTAGGCAAAGCTTCTGGCACAGAGAAGATGCTCTGGTTTGAGGAGAGAACCAACCTTTGAGCGAGACTGAGGACTGATTTATAGACTTGACCTACCCAGAGCTCTTGTCACCATGCTACACTGTGGCTTGAATCCTCCATGCAGTACATCTCTTGTCCAGTGGAGGACGTCTGCTCGACCACCACTTGCTTCAGGTTCGCCATGGTGGAGAAGATGGCATTGAAGCTGTGAGTCGAACCCAATAGGAGGTCCAAATGCATAGGCCGCGTTGAAGCTCGCAGGTGACCCCCATCGGGCAAAATGTGATATCAGATCGCCTCTGGCTTGCACATTAGGCGATGAGGCATCACTTTCCTGGACCAAGCGACCACAAGGCAGACATGGCAGCTAAGCAAGCCTCCCATTATACTGAGAGGCGCTGCTATATCGGACACGGGAACTCGGGGATATCCTTGTTTAGCGCTCGACCAAAATCCAGTTGATAGTTTGTCTGCAAGCCTTTTGGAGAGGGACCGACGGCGTCCAATCGAAGTCTGTGCGGCAGCGAGAGGTCAGTGAACCCATCCAGAGCTAGATGTCTCGCGGAGAAAGGTCTTGACAGGCATGTGGAGGGACCCTTAAAATCTGTCAAAAACAATAGTCGCCATTCGGAAAGAAGGGGGTCCGTGGTCTGTGCAGAGATGCTGGCTGGAGCAATCCCTGGGAAGAACCTGACGTAAAAAGAAAAAGGTCTTGCTGCAAGTCAAGACAAGATTTTTTGGTTCGACTGGGTCCGGGAGCTCTCATGAGCTTATAAGATAGCTTCAGGCCAAACCACTAAGGGTCAATTCGGTCATGAAGCTGGAGAAAGCCTAGTGCCAAAGACAACATGGCCGTGTTCCCAATGTCTAGACACGTTCGCGAGGCATCCGAGTTTTGACCCCTGCTGGGATGATCGTGCCCCAACCTCGGGTCAAGCGAAGCCCTCGATCTCAATACAGAAGCCATTCAAATGTCCAGCCTGTTTGCCTCATAACGTAGAACACTCTCTTGGGAGAGCACACTAGAAGCAAAGAATGCTCTGGAAGGCTTCTGGAGGGGAGGACAGTGTAATGCCACACGCTTTGGTAGGCTGTTCGTATCCAAAAAGCTCTCGCGTAGGAGCGCATTGGTGGCTTGCCAGGGTCAGCTGGGACGCCAGAAATCTCGGTCCTCAAGTGTCCCGTGCACATGCAGGAGGCGCCCAAATTCGGCCTTCTCAAGGACAATGCCGCAGTCAGTTGCAAGGAGGAAGGCCGGGGAAACGGAAGACACCATGTTTGTGACTGACATGCCATCATCACACGGGTGATAACTGCCGACGAGCGAGTCTGGTACGCTGGCTGTTGCTGTTTGACACGAGGTGCGGTGTCGCCCATCTTCCCTCTTTCGGTACGAGGTATACCCAAGTCGACCAGATTATGGCGGCCTCTTCATGACATTTGGGGGGTGGATTGCGCCCCATTTCCACCTGGTCGTACAACAGAGCCAAAGGATCTCTAGACTCTGGGATGCGCTCTTGATACGAGGTCGGAGGTTCAAACTCGGTGCATTTATGTGCGACGGTCATCCGATCCCGATACCCAGATGTTGGGAGAGTTTATCTCATCGAGATCTGGACCGTTGAACCAAGGATTGTCCTCAATCTCATTGGAGGCTCTCGCTAGCTGCTTGTGCGACTTTCCGCTCGTGGGCAGATGGGCGATCGTGAAACGACTCAAAGGAGGTGGGATGAGGCTTGTTCGAATGGAGAAGCCAAGCAGCGATCATGTCGGCCACCGATCGGCAGAGTTGGTCGAGCTGTGATCGAGCTGTTCATTCGTTCCATGGGGCGACGCTGTCGTTTTTGAGAACTGGATCTTCGATCAATTGACCAGTCAGGGTGCCAGAGAGACAGACTCTTGCATCCAGCATGCCCCTAGCAGGTTTGCTTTCCGGACTGCAGGATCTAGTGTGTGACGCAAACAATTGGAGAAGAAATGGTGGAAAAGTGGAGGGAAGGGGTAGAGAAAATAATTGCAACTTGCTGAAGCTAATTCTCAGATCCTGCCTGACTGTAGCCATATTGCCCAAGAAAGGTCTGTGGAACAAACAATGAGATGGTGCTAAATGGCTCCGCAGGTTGCCATGTACATAATTTGCAAAATAAAAATACATGCTTTCAACGCTCAAAATGTCCTGAATGCACCAAGTGTGCCTGCGCAGTAATCGTTGCGCCCTCTTGTCCCGAGAATGTGGCAAAGATAATATGCACTTGTACGCCCGTGGCCCTGCCAGACTGCACAAAGTAGTAGCAGCCTCCAGCCCTCCGTTTGAAGCAGTACCCTTTGAAAACAGCCTAGAGCCCACCACCGGGGCTTTTTCATTGCAAACAGCCAACTCATCTCGCAGCTTTGGATCCAGCCTCATGGTCCACTTTGTTGCACCGCTGGAGATCATCCTGCACAGTGTCGCCCACGACAGGTCCCGAGTATCCGTTTCCTTGAGTAATGGCCAATAGGGCCAAATCCACGTTTGCTCCGTGTGCTGTATCCGTTGTAGTACGAGATGTCCTTTGTTCCCCGATTGTCTTCATCTCCCCATCTTACTCGCTCATCGCATGTCTCAATCGTACTTGATCTTTCGCTCCGAGTGTTCCAGGGTGCAAATTTAGGGGAAATGACAATCGGAGGAGGGTGAAGGGGGACCCTCTGCGAAGGATGGCCCCAAACAGAATAGATCCATTCATTTGACAAAGCCAACCACGTTGGCACATCTTTGGCAGTAGTATGAATTCATGCCGAATCTGACCGCGCCACTGCTCTGAGCAGGAAGCGAAGTATCAATGCTCAAGGACCGTTGACACCGAGAGCAGCGAACAATGTCAAGGGAGGATTTGGGTGAAGCAGAAGCGCTCGATGACAAGGTGTTGATGCTGTCGTCGCTCCTATTGGCCTTGGGAGTTATTTTGGTCGGCTTGGAGCCATTGGCGGCCAGTGTCTGTAGTTGTAGTATGGAGGGATGCGAAGACGAAGCCATTTGTGAGAGCCGGATAGGTATTCCCGGGGGTTCTTTGGAGGGCACTGAAGAGTCCTCAGCGAACTCGGCTCTTGCTCAGACGACAACAGTATGGGATGAAAGCGAGGGGAGAAATACAGGAAGGAGTGGCGGCGACAGAACGGGAATATGGCTCGAAACCAGATGATAATGCAGAAACGGAACAAGGGATCGGGATTGCAACGGGTCGTAATATGGATATTGATGGCGGTCATGGAGAATTCTTGGACGAAAGGCGATGAAACGCGACCAGGGGGGCGGATGAGGAGTGGCTAGTGCAGGTCGAAACTGGATAATGACGGGACGAAGGGGCAAATGAGGGGGAGAAGACGATGGTCAAGGAGGCGCACGGAGGCATGAAATCTTCGATGGCATGGGAAACAAACATGGCATTCTTCCAATCGGTGGAATGTGAGATTTTCGATGACCAGCGACCAGCTCGATCGCGGGAGACCAAATCGACGTTACGCGCGGCGGCACAGTGAACCTTAGCAGGGCTGGCACCCACTGGCGGGTGACTGGCCTAGCAACTCCAGGCTTCAGGCCCCTTTCCAAGCCTCACAGTTGGAGGAAGTGGGCGCTTTCCCATGTCCCATCCGGGGCCTGTGGTGCTTTTCCGGCTGTTGCCCCCCAATCACTGCAGTCCATGGGCTTGGGAACACCCGACAGTGCCTGTTCCGGCCTGGGTTCTTCACTGGCGGCCTTGTATTCCGGGTGGCATTGGGCCTCTTATTGGCGGGCGCCACACCTGGAGGGGCAGCTGGGGGCCCCGCTCAGGCTTAATCTTCCGTGTTGGTCGTCACTAGCAGTCTTTCGTCATCTCCGATCTCTGGCTTTTAGAGTTGCTGGACCGAGAGGAACCGAGGCGGTCGCATGAGTTTACATTCTTGACGAGTTACAGAAGATCGATCTGGTTTCGGAACGCAACTTCGCGAAAATGCCACAGCAGCCAGGTTCTCGGCAACTCCTATCCGCTCTCGAGCACGTGTGGAAGGTCAATGCGAAGATCAATGCGAGTTTTGTGAAGGGCGAAGAGTGCCAGGAAAGACCGGAACCATGATCCACAAAGGCAATCCGCATCGATGGTCCGTCCACATCATAGAGTACGCATGATCAGGCACGAGGGCTTTAGATACAAGGCATGAGGGTTGAGGCATTCTCAGGGGTAATCACAATCGACAAGAATATCACTCACGGCGAGCGAAATTACTGGCCAGATTCTTTTGTGATCATCAGTCGAGCGAAATGTCGATGAGCCTGCTGCCACAGAGCACAACATCTCGTCCAGTGGATTTCCTTTTCCGGGCTACGGGTGAGGACATTCATTTCCAGGCTCATCTCATGGGAACGGAAAGACCGAAGAGGACTGCAAAAGACCTAGAAACAGAGGTACAGGCCATACCGTACATTGTACATTTACAGAGGACGGAGTGACCTCCATTGCCAGGGATCTTCCCAACAGACGCTTCGCTCAGAGGGCATTTCGCACACCAGGAAAAATGCTCCGTCCTCCATCATTTGTCTGCAGGAAATTCTCGGTAAATACGGAAGCCACTGCAATTCGCATTGGACGCTTAGTCATGCACTTCAAGCAAAGTCAGCAGGCCGGAGCTTATCACTTATCTGCCCAGCTGCTCGGGCTGTCCAACTCGATAATGTCTTGTCTGACCACCGGAGTATCAATGCATCCGCCGTGCCGCAATGAGACAGGCCTTAATGGCACTGTCAGACAAGAGCATTCATGACGTCAAACTTGGGCTGCCACCAGGCACCTTATCCTGCCTTGCCTGCCCACGTTTTTTGATCGACGACTGCGAACTTTGCGACAAGTCAGGTATATTTTCTCGATTCCTCGAATCTGCGCTCAGACACTTTACCCCGGTTGATCTTCCTCAACTTCACCCTCCTTTTGTTCCCTACGCTCCTTCTTCTTGCCTAGAATTCACGAGTTAATTGGAACTCGCTCAAAGCACGTCAGCCAATTTCCGCCCGAAGACAGCCCCTCATCCGGTCAAATTCCCCAGTACAACTTGATCTTGGAACGCAGGCGACCTTCCTCAAGTGATCCTTGCCTTCGTCCGCTCCTCAACTTTCATCCGGAAGGACACCGTTGGACGGAAGACGTATTGATTTTATCGCGGCCTGCGCTGGGGCCGAGGAACAAGTGAGCCGTCACGACTTCCGGGAGTTGACCCCGCCAAAACGCCAGAAAAAAAAGATGGGCAAACAACCCAACCTCTTTAGCTACCCCACCGTCGACGAGGTCGCCGCGCATCTGCGCACCTACGTCCTCTCCTGCCAAAAGGCGGCTTTCCACCGACACGATTGCTTCAGAGTCGCCGTTTCAGGCGGCAGTCTTCCCGCGACCCTCGCAAAGGCGCTCCTCAGAGCAGGTCATAATGAAGACCCCGCACTCGCGCCCCAATTCTCGAAATGGCAAATTTTCTTCGCGGACGAACGAGCTGTACCTTTGGACCACGAGGACAGCAACTATGGGCTGCTGAAGAAGGATCTTCTCGACAAGATTCCACCCGAGCAAGGGACGCCCACTGTTCATCCCATCGATGTGAAGCAGCTCGACAACACCCAAGAGCTGGCGGACCAGTACCAAGAAGTCCTCATGTCGATATTTGCTAACAAGGACTCTGTGAAACTGCCCATCTTTGACCTGATCCTCTTGGGCTGTGGGCCGGATGGCCACACCTGCAGCCTGTTCCCCGGCCACGAGCTGCTGCGAGAAGCAGATGCCTGGGTGGCCGCAATCGAAGACAGCCCGAAACCGCCGCCTAGAAGGATCACCTTGACTTTGCCCGTGGTGACGCATGCCCACAAGATCGCATTCGTGGCCACAGGAGGTGGGAAGAAGGATATTCTGAAGAAGATCCTGGAAGCGGATGATGAAGGAAGGAGCTTGCCTTGTGGACTTGTCAATGAGGGCGGTGGTGAGAACGTGAGCTGGTTTACAGATGATGCGGCGGTCGAAGGAGTATCATTCCCTAGGAGGGGTAGCTTGTGAAGAGATGGCTTTTGAGCAGTCATCCATATCCCGAGTCTCCAAACTTCTCGAGTCTGACCACAAGTTCCAGCTGCCAGCTCCTGGAAAGCGAGAGATGTAATGGCCGGTGTCACGATTTCTTTCATTTCTGTTCAATTCCATTTCACATTTCTTGGCTGCATGCTTCCCATGGAGTATGATTGAGCCAAAGTACCTTGGATAGAGATTACATACCTACAAATCACAATCTTCAGGATACTTGGAATGACTTCAGAGGACCCAGGGTCGGCGAGACGGCTTCATGATCGATCTACCATTCCCCGGAATGCGGGCCAACTGGCCGAGTCAAGCTTTGAGTTTAGAGATCTCTGTCAACGGCCCGCCTATCTGACAGCTATTAGTTGAAGCGTATCGTGCTTCACGCCCAAGTGGTTCCGCAGGCACCAGGTACGGGGCACCACTTGAAGTCTCCAGGCAGCCCCGCGGTCAACTGGCAAGCTGGATACCTACCTAGGTACCTACCTTCTGAGACCTAGAGTGCATCCCTTGCCACCTTAGCCACCAGCCCCCTAAGCAACCCAAACATGGCTGGCTTGTAGGTACTTAGGTACTTAGGCACACAGGTAGGTATTCACTTTGGCCAGTTGATCGGACCTTTTTGACCCCAGCTTCTTCCTCCCATTCCCCCTTGTAACGTCGTTTTAGGCAATCCGTATATGCTGACGAAGTGCTTGCCCTATGAAGCTGGGCGCATTTGTAAAAGATGCATAACGCCTATTACAGAGCCTCCCCTCCGAAACAGAAAGTCTCACTGGCCGGCTCGATGGCAGTCCTCTGTCACATTCGATCTGGAGCATTTTTGACCAGAGGCTCAACCGGTGCACAGCAGACAGAGACTCGTATACCGGGATCTGCGGGTTGATGGATAGAACGACCGCACACCTACATTAGTTACCTATACCTACGAGGACCTACCTAGCTACTACTACTATTAGTAGTACCTGGTATCCACCTCCCGAGCTCGCTCCATCCCTACTACTAAATACGTACCTAGGTGCATACAACTCTCCTCACCGTGCACAGTCCGTCTCAGTGCGTCGACAGAAGGATCGGTACCATCTGACCGCATCATCGTGCATAGCTTCATTTACTTCTCTCCACCCTACATACATGTGCAAAGTCGCCATGTTCAAGATCAGTAATCACCCTGGCCAGCCTGGCTTTGCAAGCTGACGCAGGTCTTGATACAGGTGGTCGTTGTTGTTTGCGGCGATTGGACTCGCGCGTAAAGTGAACCAAGAGCTGCAAGAGAATCTGCGGGCGGAGTCAACAGCTGCAGTGGATCGCAAAGCCGAGGCTCGGGTGCCTGGATGCTTACTTGCTTACGAGGTACAACTACTTCCTCCCTTGCGTGGGTGAGGGTATGTTGTAGACACAAGGGCATCTGGTTTATTAAGGCCCCTCGCCTGATTCGGTGGATTTTTAGATGTTTACTTTCTCTCAATCCAGGAGACAAACCTAGGCACAACCAACGAGACGTACGACATATATAGACGTCAAAGCCTTCCCAGGACAGCAACACTACACCCCTCCATCTGCGCCGACGGAACAACAACCAACGACGACCATCCCAAGGCCAGGAAAATGTCGGCACCCATCACATCCCACACGTTCACCGCACCCACCAGCGCAAAACCATACACCTACCTCACGGCCGGCCCCTCCGATGGGCCCCTTGTCATCCTTCTCCACGGCTGGCCGGCGGTGGCCCTGACATGGAAGCCGCAGCTGCTGTCCTTGTCGAGCTTGGGCTTCTACTGCGTCGCGCCCGACATGCCCGGGTACGGGGGCACGTGGACGAGCGACGACCCGAGCGAGTTTGCGCTGGAGAAGCTCGTGCCGGATCTGCTGGAGCTGCTGAAGTCCCTGGGCCGCCAGGACGCCCTCTGGATCGGCCACGACTGGGGCTGCGGACCGCTGTACGCCCTGGCGAGCCACCACCCGGAGGCATGCCGCGCGATCGTGGGCATCTCGGTGCCGTACCGCACGCTCGAGCTGGGCCTCCCCACGCTGCTCGACCTGATCGACCGCGACCTGTACCCGGAAAGCGAGTTCCCCTGGGGCCAGTGGGACTACCAGGTCTTTTACGAGCGGGACCCCAAGGCCATCGACCGACAATTCGAGTCCAACCCGGCCAAGAACCTGAAGCTCGTCTATTCCCGAGGCAGCGCCCAGAACGCCCGGGGCATCGCCCGCACCGCCCAGGTGACCAAGCACAAGGGCTGGTTCGGCGGACCCGACGCGCCGACCCCAGACCTGCCCCTCGACAAGACGGTGCTGGACCAAGAAATCTACGACGCCCTGGTCGCCGGCGTGCAACGGAACGGCTGGAAGGGCGCCACGGCCTGGTACCTCAACCACGCCGCCAACCGCAAGTACACGCTCGAGAAGAGCGTGGACCAGGGCGTCCTGAAAATGCCCGTCCTCTTTGTCCACACCGAGTACGACGCCGTCTGCCAGACCGCCCACAATCCAAAGCTCGTCCAGGCCATGAGAGACCACTGCCGCGATCTGACCGAGTTCGTCATCCAGGCTGGCCACTGGGGCAATCTCGAGTGTCCCGAGGAAGTCAATTCGGGCATCGCCAGTTGGGTCCTGAAAAGCGTCCGGGACTGGTGGCCTGGGCCGGAGCTGAAGAGTCGGCTATAATCATGTACATCTAGGTGGTTGGATACTTTTTTACAGGAAGACAAAAGAGACAGAAAAAGAGAGAGAAAAGATGGGGAGGGGGACAATTCCTCTCCAGACCAATTGATTCCTTAAAGTTATATATTTCTAGCATTGGGACTTTGCTTCTATTCTACCTACCCCTTCCCCATCACGCCGGTTTCTCTGAGCAAAAGGCAAAGGACCGAGGATAGCGCAAGGTATATTTTTCCCCCTATAGATTGTTTCCTCCACGCCATGTATAAAGATCTTGGATCCATTGAGTTTACCGGGTCGTTCAACTTCTTTTCTCCGCAGATGTAGATGAGGATGGTGTATACACGGTTTTCAGATATGGAATATACTAATGTCGCCAGCGAATATCCCAGCGCCGCCACGGGTACCTCGCACGGGTACCTCGAATGGTCACTAGACGAAGCTCGTTGACACCAAGCAATCTCGCTGGAGGTGACATGTCGAGATATTTGAACTTCGTCCTTATTCTGGTGGAGTCGCTATTTGATCCATTGAAACCAGGAGCACACTTCAACAATTAATTGCACTCGGTGATCCGGCGGTTTGTGTCTGCTTATGATCGTTGCTTTGCCCTTGATATATATAAGTTGCACCTTGACCGGGAGACTTGTCTTGATTCAAGCCATCAACCCTACATCTGGTCTTCCAGCAAAGGGAAAAGTCAGGGACGTCTGAGCTAGCGTTTCAGACTGCCACTGTTGACTCGTACGGTGTTGTTGACTCGGACTGTCTGAAGGCAGGTGCTTCTAGCTTGACATGATCACCACCTGTGACGACATGGGGGCAATGTGTAACTGTGATAGATGAAGGCCTGTCGGGCTGTTTCTGCATCGGGGGCAACCAGGGGTGAACACCGAGTACTCGGTCTCGCCAGCCTGGTTTGATGGGGAACCACCAATCTTTGCTCTGGTCGGCACAATAGATGCTCCTGATGAGGAGAAGTCAGGCTGCGTATTATGTTCCCTTCAAGGCGAGGATCAGACTATCACTTCGCTTGGGAGAGTGGCCGGCGACACGTTGGCTAGGTATTCACTTGGTGATTGGGGAAAATGTCAAATAGCCGCCCGGGATACAAGGTCTTGCGCAAGGTGCGAATATCTTGACTTTCAGCCCGTAGAGTTCAAGGCGCAGCGACTCAGGACCCGTCCTTGCTGGGAACCACTCCTCACGGTCACCTAAGGCTGTTGTCGCTGTAGTCATGAAGGCGTTCGAGCAGTATGCAGGTGCCGAGTTTGCGTGGTTGCAGATGTATCTTGTCGCCTTTAAACACTCGAAGGATGTCTATACATGCGCTGAACGGTAGACAGATTTGTCGACAGTTGGGAATACTGCACTGTATCTGCTCGGGTAGTCACAACGTACTATTCAAATCTCATTGGAAGGGCCACAGGCCGGAGGGATGTGGCTTCGGAGTAATCTGGAAATCTCACCAGTCCACAAACCTCACCTCTTCGCCCTTTTTGGGACATGCGAAGTTGCGGAAATGTCGGTGGTTGCAGCTTCAGCACCGTCGACAAGCTTGGGCCAAACCTTGGATTGAAGCAGCTCATTTGCATGCGGGCGATGCATGGGTTGCCACGAAAGCATCTTCTCAAGCACATCGGCGATAGACGCCGGTCGGGATCTCAAGTTTTGTATGATATCTTTATGAGCGGCACTGCTGACACCTTTCTCCCATCTGCAGGGCGCCTGGAAGAAAAGCTGATACCCCGAAAGGCCCATGGCCCAAACATCCACGCGGCAATCGTATGGTTCCGGATTCAGATTCTTATTTTGATACTTGAGCTTGAGAATCTCCGGCGCAAGATACGCGATAGTTCCGCAGTAGTGATCCGTCGAAGAAGCATCGAAAGTGGCGCTCCCGTAATCAATAATGATTGCGTGCACAGGCGAGTACGACACGATCATCATATTTGTGGGCTTCAGGTCTCTATGCATGATACCATGTTGATGAAGATGGGCAAGCCCTTTCAAGACCTGGTGGAGTGCAGATATACGAACTTCGTATGGCCTGTTTGAGACGGTCAAGTCAAGGAATGTCTGTCTGGCCAGCGGAGAATGTACCAGGTAGACATCGTTAATCTTGGACTTGCCTGTGCTGTATTCGTCGCCTCCAGAATATAGATCGGCCATTAAATGGCAGAGATTTCGCTGCCCACGTAAGTAGATGCAAGTCACAGATTGACGGGCCTACTCACATGATTTCCTATTTTCTTGTATATTTGGATTTCAAGTTGGATTCGGGCGACCGTCGCTGGCGTCCGCTTCACACGTTTAATGGCCACTGCCTGACCGGTAGACTTTTCAAAGCCGGCAGACACCACGCCACTGGCACCAGATGCGAACGGGGAATGTATCAGAAATCCGTGCAGTTCATGGTGGTGCTCAAGTGGTGTCAACTCAAGAGACATTGGAGGCACGTCACCGTCAGGGTGGAGCTTGGTGAACAGCTCCCCTAACTTTTGCCGGTAATTGTTTTCATTTAGGCCTGTAAACTCCAAGCTGTAGGATAGATTGCCGAAGGACAGGGCAGTCCGCACAGACCCAAGAACTCGCTGCGAGCCCTCGAGTCTTTCAATGCCATTGACAAGGACAACCTTGCCTTTGCCAACAACCAGCATCAACGCGCCATTTTGAGCATGATGGACCAGCCGAGCATGCCGACCGTGAACATGATGTCTGTTTTTCTGGAGGGTCAACAGGAAATCAACGCCACCATTGACGAGATCCTTTCTGCCGCTCCCAATGACCCAGCCGAGTCTAGTGTGGTTGGTCAAAATCTCTAAGCTTAGTCGGTAGTAGCCCATCAACACTTGAGTAGGGTGCCCGCCTGTTGTATCGCTGGAGGCATCACTACCGTCCCATTCAGGAGAAAGTTGTCGGGGAGTTTCCTCGATGAACAGGAACTTCCGAATGTGAGGGTTCCAGTCAGGTTCAAGCCTCGTCCGTTCGGCGATTGAATGGAATGCAAGGACCGCCGCATGGTTCACAGGGACTAGACGAGCGAAGTCGCCCTCCAGCCTTGCGCGGGTCCTGGGGCTGAAGAAGTGGTCATCCAGGGGCACTGTATCTGGCGTGTTGGGTAGGGTCTCAGGACCCTCCTTGTCCGCATCAGCCATCGTGCATGTGGCATGCCCAAGAGGGAGAAAGCCTCTGGGTTGTGCTCGGGGGAAACCCGTTGTTTATATAGAGACACTGTTCGCAAAAGGCGTCAAGTGCAAATAGGCAGACGCACCACGCGAGGGTACCGCTGTGGTTATCGCTTCAGCATCCTCTCATGTCATGCTTGACACCTGCACCATGATTTGTATGACGGCACTCATCGAATGCTGGACCAGGGAATAGTTCTCGACCATCAACCATCCAATTGCTTGTATGCTCAGTAGTTGTTCTTGTTGACAATTGCGCAAATGAGTCGCGTTTGCGCTCGGCCAGAACCGGAGTTTCCCGTGGTTGCCGGCTTGGCACCCGATGCACATCACGTGCAATGGCTCGGCTGGGCTGCACACCGAATTGCCGCACCTCATCACAACGACAACCCAACGACAACTTCCACTCTTCCCACACTCTTCTACACCTGATGCCTCGAAAAACCCGTCCTCATGTTGGATGATAGCGGCTGGCGAGAATCAAGGACGCGTTCGCCGTCTGTCATCCCAGACGATGGCATCCGCGGCTTCCTTGAAGAGAAGACGGCACACCTCTTTGCCACCCAGCTGCAGTCACGGCTGGACGCCCTTGAACAAACCAGAGAAACACCGAGATTCCTCAGGCGCAACTCCTACAACCTGTATCTTGAAGGCCACTTCGCCCTCCTCGACCCACGCGAACTCGAACGTACCACCCTGAGCCCCACGCCTCCCTCCAGCGACGAGGACTGGACAACGTCAGAGCACACCCCTGAACCCAATTCCAAAATCAACCAGTACAAACCATATCTTGTTGAAATCTTGTTCCCGAGATCCAAAGCTCTCCACGGCCGAATTAATCGAAAATCACTGCGCGGGCGAGATAAAAAGAACGGCAAAACACTCAACCCAAATCACCGCATGTTACGTCGCTCCAGAGATAAGCCCAATTCGCTCTTTTACGAGCTGGACTGGGTGGGCAGGAACGCAGTGGCCGTGTGCCAATTGGCGCAGGACAATTCCGAGATGGGCAACAAGAAAGGCTGAATGCCAGAGAGCCGCACCTGGGGTCCCTTGCTGGGACCCCACCACCACCCGCAGAGAGTCTCAAATATCCGCGTTCCGCGCCAGGCATGGTGCTTTTCAGGAGAGAAATGTATTCCTCCACGGAATTTTCTCAAAAAGCACAACGACGCAACGAGATCACGTCGCCACCAGCGCGAGCCTTATTCCATCCGCTTACTTAAGGCACAACGCCCGTGGGGGCCATACCTGATTGGATCTTTTCATTTTCGAAAGCAGTCAAAAAGATCCGAAGATGTTCCCAGGATAACCTTACCGCTGTGGCACAAGCGGCCGACAGTGCTATCAGCAGATGGACATCAAGTGGCATTGATCATGTCGAGACATCTCCGACAATCGGGCATTGAAAGAGTTGGAAGTATGGCTGTGGAGGCAAGGTTAGATATTATTCTATTGATTGTGTATAGTATTCGGCTTTAGCGGGAGTTTTGCTCGTTGATACTCGATTAGCGATGATGACCTGTTGCAGAACACACGATGTCTGCTCACAGTGCTACAAATTTCTTGGACCCAAATCCTCCAACTCCTCTTCGTCTGACAAGTCTGCTTGATCTGCTTTTCGCAATTTTCTCCATCAACGTATCTTCCTTGTATATCGTTATTTTTCACTCTCCGACGCTTCACCTCCAAATCCCTCTTCCCAACATGATTCTCTCATTCCCGACGACTCTCAGCATCAACAAGACCAGAACAGCGGTCGTCAACGAACTCAGGACGGCCACCAGGATCAGATGCTCCGGAGTCAACGCCCTCGACCGTCCTTTTGAGTGGCCATTCGACTTCGAGGAGGGCGCATACGGCCCGACCATTTTCTTGATGGGCTTGACGTTGTCGGTCACGGCGGTGTTGACGCCGCGCTGGAGGCCGGGCAGGCCGTCCATGCTCCATGCGTTCTTGTATGCCCAGTATCTTCAGGAGTAGCAGGTTAGCGTGTCGGGGGGGGGCGAGCCCAAGTGCAACGCTGGAAAAAGTAAGAAGGGAAAAAAAGAACTCAACACAACGTACCTCTCAATCCCGTCCTCCCTCTTGCCGGCCCTCTCGCTCGCGGCGCGCTTCTCAAAGAAATCGTTGAGCGTGGGCCGGAAACTGACAAAGTCGTAGCACGGCATGGAGAAGCCGCAACTCGTGCCGACCTGGTGGATGTCCACGAGAATGATGGAGCGGGTGCCCGGGATGATGGTGATGTTTTGGGACCGGACGATGTCGTTGAACGCCGGCGTGCCGTACTCGAGGGGCGTACCTTTGCCAAAGATCCTCAAGATGCGCGGCGGGCCCGAGAACGCGTTGAACATGACCGTGATGCGCCCGTTGCCCGGCTCGTGCAGGTGCGAGGTCGTCTCGATGCCCGAGCCCGTCAGGTCCATGTACCAGAACTGGCGGATCACCACGTTCTTGTCGTTTGCGGTTGTTGCTTTCTTCTCCTCATCATCATCATCACCGTCATCACCGTCACCGACGGATGACCTGCCGTTCTTGAACTCTTTGAGGACTCCAAAGAATGGCCCGCCCTTGTCCGAGACGCCCTTGGGAGAGACGTTGACGTGCCCATCGCCTGAAAGCGGCGCCGAGGCGATGTAGAAGACTTTTTGCTCCAGGAGCCAGGGCAGCAGCGAGGGCGGGAGTGTTTCAAAGAACTGGCCCATTTTCTTTTTCTTTTCCCCCCACCCTTCTTCTTGTCACTTGGTTCTTCTTCTGGGTTCGGTGTGAGTGATGATGGGAATGAGAAATAGTGTCTTGCTGACTGTGTGGCGCCTGAGACTTGAAGCTGGGGGAAATAACTAGAAAGAGTCCTTTGGTGACGAAATAAAGATAGAGGCGGGGGTGTTGATCGAGGGAGTGAGATTCCCGCAATAGAGTTCAATAGATGTTAGGGTCTCCTGGATCCCGAGGTCCTGGGGATTTCAGATACCCTTCTTCATTCGGACTTCCGCTGGGCGGAGGTATGTACAGACCAGACGTATTCGCAAAGTCTCCAATACGAAGGGGCTGACTACTATTTGATATCCGATGAGTCAAACCCTGCAGGTGGTGAAATGGTGAACCCCGCCGTTTCGGATCGACCACAACCATCCCGGACTCTGGGGTGCAGCCGATATCGGCAACTGTAGAGGACGAGGCTGATCGCTCCCAGAAACTTGTGTATGGGGTGACTCAACAATATGCAACGTTGATTGACTGTGTACCGCTTTGATCTAGCTGTCAACCACTGAGATCAATACCGAAAGCCCTGGTGTCCCATAGCAGAGTGCCACAAGCCGCTTCCCATGTCGACATCTTCAGCCTGGTGATGCCTCGGTTCTGCAACAATCATCCCAACGACGGTACGAACGTATCTAATGCAATGACTTCAGACCTTTGCTCGTTTTGCAGCTTCGGCGTCCATCGCCGCCTCATCCTCCCGTTTCCGCTTGCAAAACTCTTCGAAACTATTGCCTTCCTTGATCCACACGTCTTTGATTTCCCACGTGCGTCGATCCCATTCTGCGGCCTTGACAGACCATTCCCTCATGGCCTTTTCGTTTTCTTCGCGATTCTTGTTCGTGCGGTCAGTGTATGGCTTCTTCTCTTCCTCTGAGAGTGCAGCCCACATCCTCCCAAGCTCAACTCGCACCTGATCACGCTCGGACTGCTTGGTTTTCTTGCCGCTCTTCTTCCGTTCTTCTGCAAGACGGGTCTTGACCTCTTCCCAGTGCTCTCCAGAATACATCAGGAAAGAATTCACATTGGCTTTGGTTGGTTTGACCGGTGGAGGGCCCAGATCATCATAAATCCGGACCCACATGGCTGCGTCCCATGCTTCATGCAGAGCATTGTCTTTCTCCTTTACAGGTCGTGTGAAGGTGCCGGCAGGGAGCAGTTCGTCACCTTTTCTTTTGCCGGCTTGTGCCATGTGGGTTTCCATTAGTTTTAAATCGACCGCAGCGGCCGGTTTCTTTGCGCTGGCCGAGGGCACGAGCGTCGGTGGAATGGCTATCGGTCCCACTAGTGATTCGAAGACCTCGTGCGCGGCGCGAAGACCAGACAAATATGCACCGTGAACGGTCGCTGGATGAGTTGCAATCGTTGCTTCGCCGGCAAAGAAAAGATTTTGTATGGGCGCCGCAATGAGGTCATAGTCGCCAGGTCTTGCTTCAGCTGCGACATAAGAATAAGTCCCTCGAGCGAAACGATCCGATCCCCAGCGAGTGACAATCGACTCCATAGGCATTGGAACATTTGCAGGGCCGAAAACGTTGCGTAGTTGATCAAGGCATTGTCCAACAAGAATCTCGTCGCTGAGCTTTTCGGCCTCGTGTGCCGCCTCGCCGGCCATCAAAGCAATCAGGACGGGAAGCCCACTTGTGTCGATGCAGTTCCAGAACAGGTAGAACTGACCACGGCCTTCTTTGTAGTCTCTCTGGTGGGTGCCCTGTCCGTTACGAGGAGCTCGCAGGAGACCAAACATGTCTCTGCCGACATCCCAGAAGGGCTTCTCGAATACTAGGATGACTTTGTTGAGTAAGCCAAAACCCATCCTTCTAATGGCATCGCGCTTCCATTGAGGCAGAGGTGGATCAAATTGAATTGATTGGTCTTTCAGCACTCCAAGTGGAGCAGCGAACACGATCTTGTCCGCTTCGATAGATTGCCCATCCTCACAAGTGATGGTAGCTTTCGCCTGCGAGCCCACGGCGCTGTATCGAATGCTCTTGACGGGCTTCCTTGTTCGCACATCGAGTGGCTCTGGATGGCGCCATAATGCACGTGGGACCTGCTGATAACCACCGACGACTTGAGCATGTTCTCCTTCGAACTCGTTGCCAATGTCCTGATCCCAACCACGGAGGCTCAATTTGTCAACATTTGCTGCGTTTGCGTATTCAAGGTTCGCAAAATGCCAGTTGATCAGCCGCAGAGCATAGGGCTTGAGGTCGAGAAATTTCTGGTACTGGTCAACACCAGTATTCATGACAGCGCCCAAAGATTGGTTGAGCTGCGAGGCAAGGCCATCTAGCTCGAGCGTTTCATGCATTTGTGTTGTCTTTCGTAACAGGAACCCAAACTCCTTGGCTGCTTGAGCCGCGGGAAGTTGCATTTTGGTTTCCATGCTTGTATCCACTTCTTCTGAGGATTTGTCTCCCTTTGCAGCTCTATGGCCTGCGCCACGTCTTTTGGACTTCTTATTTGGCAAGAGCTGATCAATTGTGCCCAGTGCAGTAGCTTCTTCAAACTGTTTGATGGTGATTCCGTCCTCGTCTGGAGGATCACGTCCCGCTTCAATCAAATCTTTGTCACCTGGCGCAGTTCTCTTGACAGTGTGCTTGAGCCGGTAATGACCGGTACGCTCGAGAATGTCATTGTATAATCTTTCAATCATTGCATCATTCACACCGTTGACAGGCGTGCCATCAATGTCATAGAGGGTGGAGAGGTCTCGCAGGAGGTGGTATTCGAGAGCAAGCTGCCCACGAATTATAGGGTCGAGAGGATTGCCACGTTCGAAGCCGACAATGATGTGTGCGCCCATCTCAGCCGTAGGCCTCTGATGAGGGGCGAGCCTGGAAGATCGCATGCTGGTAAGTGGATGTGAGTAAATTCGCCCACCAATTCTGTCACGGCCTTCCAGGACAATGATCCTTGGAGCAGCACGATCAGGATAGTGCCGAAACAGGTTGGTGAGCTGGCGTGCGGTACTGAGTCCAGCCATGCCACCGCCAATGACTACAATGGTCTCTCGTGATGCTTCCTTCTTACGGCCACGGCCAACACTTCGGCTGAGGAAAGGTGGCTCGACACATCCGAAATTGATGTAGCCTCGGCGCACAAGCCACTCGTATGCAAAACAAGCAAGACGGGTCCATCTCTCATCTCTTGCACAACCGATAGCTTCATCAAGGGTGACGCTCACGCTTGGATTTCGAGTCCACAACCTGAGAATGCCATTCCGTATATTCAAATATACTGTGACGTGAGAGTAACACAACTTGTCTTGCAACAACCTATGCTCATCTTCGTGCAAGGCAAACGGGTCGAGCCTCGAGGCTTCGGCGGCTGCCACACACTGATTGGCATATTCGGAAGGGGATAGCCTCGGAGGAATAGATGATTTGGGCCGGCAGGTGGTCGAGGCTTTCAAGAACATGTACGGGCTTACATTGTTCGAGTTTTCCGATTCGGCTTTCATCTTGAGCGTGATTTTAGTCTTTTGTTCTGCGGTCGAAGAGGTGACTGAGCCCGAGGTCATGGAGCTATTGGGAGAGTCTCGGTTCTCGCTTTCAAGCTGCAGACTTCGTAAAACTGAGGCTGGGCCGCTTGATGAAGCATCGTCCGAGTCGTCTTCCATCTTGACGACAGAATCGTCGTCGGAATAATCATGCACAGTTTGAGGATGGCTAGGCTTGATCAGTATCTAGAAGACCACCATTATGTTTACTCTTATGCGTCCGGGACGCACAAAGCGAGCCAGCATACCTTGAACCAGCTGCAATCGACACCTTCGCCACATCAACACCGAGTATTGTGGTAGACATGATTTCTTGGGTGTTTGATATTGCTATTGCTGCCGCCATAAAGTCATATGGTCATCAACGAGTGATTTGATATTGACGACTGTCAGGCCCAATATATGGAAAGACGGGTCAGGAAGTAAATAAAATGATCGAGATCGGTCTTTCAAAGGAGTGACTGTATACCATTAGTATGATCAGGGTGAAGTGAGTAGACTGGGTGTGGGAGGCATCGGTTACCTGGTGCGCCCTCCCTGAACTCGGTGGTATGATATGCTCCACTAATATCGAAAACTCTTTAAGCTGGCCTGTCGAGGCTGTCCCAATCTCGCCCTTGATCCTCCACGCCGGTCGCAAAGGGAGTGTAGGTCGACCACAGTGCATTATCAGACTGGGTGTGCTGGAGGGGAGGTATCGGCAGGAGTGAGGTTGAGAGGGAGAGAAAGTCCCAGCCGTGTCGCCGCCCACTAAATTGGAGCATCTCGGCTCTGACCAGCTGAGTTTGATGCAACCGCAACATACCCATCATCTCGTCTTTCATCAAATATATCGCCCATCATATCATCAAGGCACTTGCAACAAGGCATATCTTCTCATCCATCTACATGGCGATCCTATCTGACAGCTTCTTATGCTCTCTTCGTGAGACAACCAGCTGCGTTCGACTCCTGCCCTGTCCCCTCGGGTGCACCCATCACAGCCCCTCATTGCTACAGCATCTCGTCCTGCGCTGGCCTTGATATATCCTGAAAACATTGGTACGAACGGAAATTCATCAGGAGAAATATCTCAGACCTTTACGGTCGAGTCAACACATATTTTGGACCATTATATGCTCGTTCGATGGACATCTTGGTGCATGTCGTCGCCATGTGAAAAATTTGTCGCCACTTAGCTTCTGGGACATATTCGTTTGATATGGGTCCTAGCCCTTCATCTATCAAGATCCCTTCAGAGAATCGATACCTATGTCTGTGTATCCGACGATAACGATTCAATTGATGTCCATACATGATGGCTCGCCTGGGGGACAAATGTCGCCGGTCCCGAGCCACAGACGAATACAATGCTGATATATATATGGAAAAAGTATGGCCTCAACCCGATTAAAGAGCATACTTAGCTACTAGCCGTGATATGGATCATGCATCCGAAGGTAAATCAACGAGGTCTGCTTGATTTGTTCGTCTTGGGTGACATATCTGGAGCTATGCTGACACAACAGAGCTTGTCCATCCCATCCCGTCTGATACTCCCAGGGCCCTCTTTAACATGCCTCCAAGCCACAGCATTTCATCCCCTTCCACAGTCAACCGTCTCTTCAAATCACGCCCCGAGCAACCAGATGTCTGCGAATCTCGATGACTGGGCCCGGAGTTGAATTGGACATGATCAAGAGCGTAGGTACCCAGGGATGGACCAAAAGCAAGAAACCCATGGATGAAGGAGCAGGTCACAGAGGTTCTAAAGCCTCTCAGTACCAGGACAGTCGGTAATTATAGTGTGGCTGGGTCCGGGAATGGTCATCGAAAATGTGTCGCCTGGCTGAGACCGGCCTGTATTGGAGCGCAGGCGACTGGGTTTCTATCCCAGTTGCCTTGTTCTTGCCTCGTAGTGAAGGGAGACGAAATAATCGAAAAGATACTAAATACAAACCCGTATTAGAAACAAGGTACATCTCGTAATCTCAGATATTGTACTTTATGTGACCTTTATGTGCAACAAGAATCTCGTTGACCTTTCAACATGACGGTCCCGTATCCATCGTCTGTACTTCTGGCCCAACCTGATATGGGGGCAGTTCACCTTACTCCAAGTACCTCTTCCCAACCTAGATGCCTTGGACACAGTATGTCTTCTATGTAGAGCTGCGCCTGCTTGTCGATATCAACTCGCCGCAGTTTCATATAACCTTAGCTGGAAGGACGCAGGCGGGGTCATCCCGAACTCCCGCCATTGACAGCGTCACCCACTCGAGCTCAACCCTTCGACTCTCATTCCGAATGAGCACCTTCAACAAAATCCCTGTACGGCCATGACAAAGCTACGATGAGCTCGACCAGACCTTGATCCAGTCCAATTATGTTATGAACTCATTTGCCCGATCCCTTTCATGTGGGGCGCGGCGAGCTGTCGAACCACCGTTCAAGCGTCTAAGCTGGACTACTCTCACACCTTTCCTTTCTCTTTTTCCTACAGGCTCGAGAAGAAGGATGGCCACCGTAAAAGACTCGGTGCCCCATATCATCAGAACGGCCGAGGATCCGCGGCAAAGTGGCATATGGACCGCTCGGTTGAGCAAGATTGAACATGTCAATTCCAAGATACGCTTGCTGAGACTGAGTCTGCAAAGAGATGGAGTATGTGCCTCTTTTTCAAATCACGTTATAACAAGCCTCTGTCTCCTTGCAACCGGTCTCCCCTGCCTTCAGACGAGAAATGCTTGCTTTCGGGATGTAACTCAACCACTCCGAGGTGCTTGTCCTCCAGTAAGGAAAGTTGCTCAGCGTACAATGTTGCTTCTGTGAGAGCATTCAAGTTCGATTGACCAAGCCGATTGCTTTTTTGCTTTTCTCAATGGGACTCTCACGCTCACACACGGACAACGATTCTAGTAGCCACCTCTCCGCCATCTTCCAGGTCAATACATAGACCTGTACATCCCCAACATCGACGTTGTGGGCGGCTTCACCATCACATCGCCGCCTCAATCGACCTCTCCGTCCCAAGATGACCCACACATAGAACTGGCCATCCAGTCCTCTCCGTCAAATCCGCCAGCGGCATACCTCTGGCGACCCGCACACGAAATCCTCGACTCAACGGTAACGTTCCGCGTGGGTGGGAATTTCGTCTACCCGCCGCCGACTTTGAACCAAGAAGAATGCCGGGCATTGGATAGAGTGGTTTTCGTCGCGGGAGGTGTGGGGATAAATCCCATCATGAGCATGATCTCCGCGATGCATGTGTTGGGAGCGGACAAACTGGGCGGGATGCCAAGGACCGTCAGAGTCCTGTATGCCTCACGACGAGAGAGGAATGATGAGACCGGCGCAGAAGAAGAGATTTTGTTCGAGAAGAGGTTGAAAGGCATAGCCGAGAAGTGGAGAGACCACGACCGCGTCGACTTCAAATACAGTCTTTTCGTGACCTCCGGGACAGAAGAGACGAAGCAAGACGAAGTCGCAGAAGGAAATATAGCAACGCGGTACAGACGGATCAAGCACGATGACCTCTTCGACGCCCTCGGCCCTGAAGGCAGCAGAGCTCACACGGCCGTCTATGTCTGCGGCTTGCCAACCATGACGGACGAATTCGTGGCTCTGCTGCAGAAAGCGCCCGGGATGGAGGAAAGGAGAGTGCTCTGCGAGAAATGGTGGTGAAACCAGTTCCTTTCCCCTGTAGAAAAACAATTCTCGAGCGACTCTTAGGGACTCACGAGGCCAGGCCACAAGCCAGGCCCGGGGTTCAAGGGAGGGTGAATGGATGAATCTTTTATATTTCTCTCTCTCTCTCTCTTAGGGTATCATGGCTTTCCTTCCTCTTGGCCGTCCCGCCGTTGCGCGACCGCTTTCATTTGCTTTTTTTTTTGGTTCCTCGTCATTGCTCTCCAGTCTCTCAGTATCATGTTCAGTCGAAAGCCATTGAATCACGATAGACTGATTCAAGCCAGCAAAAAGCAAAACTTCCAGGTTTGTAATCCATCCTATCCCAGCCCCGATCTTAACGCTTGAACGCCATGCGACTCGATGAAGAATCCTATACTCGTGACAAATCTCGCCTTCCCTTCCGCAGAGAACAACGATATAACAAGGAATGGAGGCGACATCATTTCTTTTGTTCGCATCACATGCCGGTAACGACCTTCCCACCATCCACGACAATCTGCTCATCAATCCTTTTCTTGAGTGTCTCTTCATCGGCTGCCCACTCCAGCCTCTTCCACGTCGTTATGCGCGCCTCATTCATGTCCATTTCAAAGAATCTCACTCGTCTGTGATATCCGTAATACCCGCCATACCCACCAAACCCGGCCCCTCCGCCATAACACATCCACAGCGCGGCTTTCTTTTCTTTGTTGTTTGCGGGCAGGCAGTAATCGTTGACGTGGTCGTGGCCACAGCTCACCAAGAGAATGTGCTCTTCAACGAGGGCGTCTTTGAAGTTGGAATTGTATGCGGGTGCGGTAGGTGGTTCCGTCCAGTTGCCCACCCAGGCCAAATTGTCCGGATTGCGATACTCTGGTAAGGGAATGTGGATGAACGCCAGGTCCATGTGTATGTGCGTGTATTCCTTGTGTTTCCTCTTCAGGGACTGAGACGTGCTCTTGAACCAGTCGATCTGGGACTGTTTGAGCCAATCGTAGCCGTGGTAGTGCTGTTCATCCGGTGAATAAGAGTGCGTGTCGAGCATGTACAAGGTCAGCGCCGAATGCGAGGTGGATCCCCTGCCCAAGATTTCCACCACGTAGTTGCCCACGCCGTCCACGTCCTCGGGACCAGCGGTGGAGAGGGAATAGGGCAGGCCGTCCATGATGGCCATGGATTCGGCGCGGTTGAGGTTCCCCTCGTCGTCGTGGTTACCGAATATCCCTGCGTAGGGTATCTTGTGTCGCGCAAACATTTCAGAGTATTTGAAGATGGCGGTTTGAGCGTCCGGCGCGGTGTCCCCGTTGACTTGGTCGCCCGTGAGGACCACAAAGTCCGGTTTCTCGTCTTCGATCATGCGGGCGAGGAAGTCGAGCGTTCGCGGATCGGCCTCGCATTCCTGTCCTTCGGGGAGTGCGTGGCGACATATCCCCAAGCCGGTCGCGAGATGGAGGTCTGCCGCTTGCATGATCTTGAATTTGCCGTCTTTTCGTATTCGAGGCACCGGTCTCTCGACTTTCATAGCGGGGCCTTTGCGGACCGTGAGACGAGGTTCGGCGGACTCGCGGTCTGCATCGATGAATAAGGAGATGTCCTGAATTTCCCAGTTCGAGCGAGGATCCACGGCATCGGCGCCGAAGAGGACGTCGACTCCCGTCACCATTTTATCAGACCGTTTCGAGGACAACTTGATCCATATCCCCGCGGGACGCGACTCCCATCTTTCATCCTTCGAGGTCGGGTCGACCACCGACGGCTGCAAACGACCAATCTTGACGTCCATGACCACTTCGGCATGGGTGTTCAGATCATCTTCGCGCTGCCTTTGGACATAGAGGTAGGCTTTTGACAGGAAACCCTTCCCGAGGTACAAGTCCTTTTCGACTCGGTGCCAATCATCTCCATCGACCGTACATCGGCTAAAGGGGTTTAACGATGAGCAGGTGACGACTGTCAGATCGGTGACCACAAAACCTGGATGGTGCGCAGGCAGGTGGCTGTGGATGGCATTAGGGAGGACTCGGTATCTGTTATCGAGGAACACGACAAGGAACAAGACGATGGTGACTATCAGGCCGAGCTGGATGCCCGTGCGTACCTGTGACAATGGTCAGCGATGGACGCATCCTGGATCGACGCCCAGGTCGAGCACGTACAAGTCTCCTGGTCATGTTCGCATGTGCAGTGAGGAGGCCGCCTGAGCGGGCTCGCTCTCTCGACTGATCTGAGCCGTCGCAACTTCAATCAAATGCAAAGTAAATATATCAATGATCATTGAAGACTCTCCGGACTCTCTGGGACAGGGGTATTGAAACATCTAATGATTTACTCCGACAGAATCTATTCGTCTGCGCTGCCTGGCTGCCCATACGTGCCATGTCGATTATCCCGAATATTTGGGCAGATGAATGATCTACTTAGTACCCTTGCTTTACCTCAAGTAGACTAGTAGAATCTGGGGTTTCGGCCGACTTTCCTCAATGATGGTATATGCTCTGGAGAATTCCCAGCGCAGGCACATTTGGCTTTCCATTTGGCTATTAATACCAAGAGGGAGGAAGACTTTGGGAAAGTGTTGGGTTGAAGTTGTCGAGTGGTGGCATGTCTGGGGTGGTTCGATATCTGAGACAAGTTCTTGGACTCTCGAGATCCCCGGACAAGAAGACCCCCAGCATCCTCCAGAATGGTCTCGGTATCGCCAGAGATTTGACTCGGTTCACAGAGGGTGACAGAGTGCTTGTGGATGGATCAAAACTCGCCTTTCTGCAGCGGAACGCAAGGTTCGATTTGCCAAAGGGTCAGCTCCCCTTGAACGACATTATCGGCAAGCCTGTCGCCTCCACATACGTTCGATCTTCAAAGGGTTCTCTGCACAAGATCGAGCTCCCTTCGCTCGAGGACTATGTCACGCTCACCCCCAGGCTCGTGACGCCGGTCTACTCCAGCTATGCTTCGTCAATTGTCTCCTTGCTAGACATTCACCCTGAGCCACCTACCACAATTTCGGACAGTGGCGGCGTCCCACAACCGCGCGTCCAGATTCTGGAAGCAGGTACCGGCCATGGCAGCCTCACTCTACATCTCGCTCGAGCAATAGCAGCTGCGAACCCACCTCCTCCGACTTTTCAGCTCCCTACTCTCCGCAGAGTGGCGGACAAGAAGTTCACACCTGTGGCCGAAGACGATTCCTCCGAGTCGAATGCACTCACGCGGGCGTGGGACGAATGGAAACGAAAGCGCCGCGCGGTGCTACACACCGTGGAAGCCGTTCCAGCGAACAGCATCCACGCGGAAAAGATAGTGCGCGGGTTCCGACGAGGTCTCTACTGGCCACACGTCGACTTTTACACAGGAGACGTGAAGGATTGGATCGCACAGAACGCAGACGGCGAAGCATTCCTCGACTACGTCCTCCTCGACATGCCCGGCGTACATTCTCAAATACCACACGTCGAGCCCGCGATGCGTGACAGTGCAAAGCTGGTGGTGTTTGTGCCCTCGATCACGCAGATTGCGGATTGTGTGAAAGTGGTTCAAGAGCTGGCACTGCCACTACAAATGGAGAAGGTCTTGGAATTGGGAGAGGGGATCAGTTCCGGGAGGAAGTGGGATGTGAGGCTTGTGAAGCCGAGGAAGGGCTCAGGCTCCATCGGTCACGAGCAGGAGGTGCCCGTCCAGGTTTCAAGATCGGAGAGTGAGAACCACAAGGACGTCGAGGACGACCCCCGAGGGCCTCCCCCTGACGACGAAGGCGAAATCTCCTCGACAACCCAAGAAGATCAACCAGTCATGATCTGCCGCCCCCTCGTTGGCGAACGAACCTTTGGAGGCGGCTTCATCGCACTCTTCAAAAAGACATCCACGACTCCCACTTCCGCAGCGCTGGCCGCGGAATGGCGCCAGAGCCAGACGGGGAGGGCGAAGAAGCGCAATCGCTAGGTTGCAGCTGTCTCCCTTTTCAGCAAGACAAACACACCTAATATCCCGGAGACTGATACTCGGTACTTGGAGCGGACTAAAAAGAAAGCCGAGAGAGGATCGACAGCATATTCTCGGTACTGTAACACCAATTAACATCATCGAACTTTATGTCTCGTGTATATGTAGGATGAAACCCAGGATGCAGGTGGCTTGTACAATACTACCTTGTACATTACCACTGGTGCTACATGGCCAACGCGAAAGAGTCGGCATGATCTCGCTGTAAATTTCAATCAATTTTTTTTCATTCGAGACGGCTTATTTGGACTTGGTAGGCATGTAGGTTCAAAGTTGCGCATTAAGGTCTTGACTCTTTTTCTTCATCGGCTCGCTCTTTTCCTGTCTTCTTCGTATTTGCCTCTTGAAAACCTGCCTGCCGCCTGATGCTACAGTCTAGACACTGACAGAGGGAAAAAACCACTAAACTCAAGGCGTCCGGCGTGCATAACAAAAAGCAGGAAATTCATCCCACATATATAGACAACCGTACAACGCCATGCACACTTGGTAAATGCAGATTGATCTTTGGCTGGCCTGTTGTCTTTGCCCAACCACACCAAGATCTTTCCCAGAAGCTCTCAATCCCAACTCACTCAACATGGGCGGACTGGGTACCTCATTTGATGGTAGCAGGCACACTCGCCTTTGCCTTCTGCAGGACGTTCTCCGCCACGGGCATGGCTCGGCTCTTGAGGATCTCCGCGTTCTCCTTGAGCTTGGCGGCGGCCTCCTTGAGCTTCCTTTGCCTGATGATCCGGACGTAGGAGAAGAGTAACAGGAACAACAGCTCCACTCTTTCCTTGGTCATCATGAGGATCCCTTGCACTAGCAGACCCTTCATGAGTTGAGGGCCCATGCCCTTGAACAGAGCGCGGGGACCTTCATGCTCGATGATGTATGCCATCACTTCGGTAAAGGTCTTAAATGGTTTGCCTTCCCGGGCTGGGGGAGGTCGGGATTGAAGGCCGACTTTGGCGACGATTAAAGGCTGGGTGCAGATGGTGGCGATGGACTTAGAGATTGCTCCAAGAACTGTACGCGCGTGTCAGTAGAAGGGCAGAAAAGGATCCTTTCTGACTCACCGAAAGCCTCCCATGGATGGAGTCGATCCCGACCAGGGAACATAACGTCCTTCAGACGCTGATAAGCGCCATACGTGATTGCGGGGTTGACACACAGCACCAGAGAGGCCTTGAGACCCCTCCAGAGTCCAGACCAGCCATCTTCACTGTGGACAACCTCCTTGCCTGTCTCCCACAGGCCCTTCTTGTGGCCCTTGGGCTGTGTCTGCTGCCGCGTGGTGATGACCGCCACGGGAATTGTGAATATTTGCGCAATGGCGCCCGCAACGGCACCCAGAGACAACTCGACAGCTGTCCCGGGGTGTCCTCCCGGGGCGACTCGGTATTTTGTGTATAGCGACCGCACCACTGAGTACCAGTAGAAGTAGGCGAAGTTTGTGGAGGCGACACCGATCAGAGCACCATTGATTCCCGAGTATAAGCCGATGACGCCCTCATGGTCGACAATCTTCTTGATGGCGTCCCACGTGGAATCATAGTGATGGTGCTCGGCCGTGTGCTGGTGTACATGGCCTTTCTTCTTTATCTGCACTTGTAATCTTGTCTTGACACTGCGGACCAAGTTAGTAGCTGATCTGGGATTCTCCAGTCTCGGATTTCCCTACATGTCAAGCGGATAGACCAGCGCATTTGCGAGGACAGCACCGGTAGCACCTGCAACGGCGCTCTCCCATGGCGCCAGCTCCCCGGGTTTCGTCATGGTATTGTCTGGGCCGTCGAGGCCGCTCTTGGAGCGTTAAAGAAGGAGTGGAGGTGGACGAGGCGGGGAGGGTGCTCCAGCTCAAGACCGGACTGTTGCGCAGTGATATAGAGAGACGGGCAGCAGAGTGTTGGAGGAATTGAGTTTGTTTCGGCTGGTCCAAACGTCAGAGATAGAGGAGCTGCGGAGTATATGGTCGAAGGAGAAGAGTGGTCGCGTAATTATTTTGCTAGACTTGCCCGTCGAATGGATCATTCCTCATCTGCCCGAGAGGCATGGGTTGGGATGGGCGATCTCGCATGCGAAACCCCCGTGGGAGTCGGCGGGACATGGATGATTCGACTCTTTTGAGTGGCTCGTGGCTCGGCCGTGGTAGCTTGACAGACGCAGCCGAGGTTGTGGCAATTCCGCTTGTCCAGCTTTGTCCGCCTGCGCTTCTTCTCTCACTTCAACTTCTGTCACACTCCCGAATCCCGGCCCGCCTCCGACTTTTGCCCTTCGGCCTTCCCTAGCAACCTAGCCATGGCCCGCTGACGTCTGCGACTCGCCCTTGAGAGCCCTTTGGAGCCCTTGATCTCGAGCTAGTTGCCTAGGTAATGGCCCATGGATGACCGCCTCTCCAGGCTTGAAGAGCAGGCGCGCTCAGTCGAGAGGACAATCCCTTCCAAATCCACCGGCAAGGCAGTCCTCGATGCCACCATCGAGACTGCTGAGTTGTACTTCCAGGCTCTTCGCCTCGCTGACAAACCTGAAGACAAGCAGAGGCTGGACGCCAGGTTCAACGAACTCCTAGCCCGGGCCGAGCGGCTCAAAGCAGCTCAGAATGAACAGCAAAGACCAACCCCCGCGGAAAGGTCAAGACAAGTCCTCAAACCACCTCGCTCAAACCGCGAGCTCACCACCAGAGAAAAGATCATCCTCTTGGAGAGTGGAAAATTGAATGGTTTCAAGTTCAACCCTTGGACGGCACCACCGTCCTCGGACGAATTTGCGCTTCGTGATGGCGGCCTTTTATTCACAGATTTGAGCTCTCTGCCTCTATCCCCGGGCCAGCTTGAATCATTTGACGGTTGGAAACGACCGCAGCAAGCACTTCCGTCTGTCCACAGCGACCTCAATGGCTCCAATGGCCACAATGGCGCCGATGGGGCCGTCATGTATTTGCCAGAGTCTATAGATCTCGTGCAAGATATGACATCCGACTGTTCAGTGGTTGCAAGCCTTTGTGCTCTGACCTCCAGGGCAGAGCGCGGCTTTCCAAAGGTAGGACGGGGGCTCTGACCGACCATCTCGTCACTAACCACTACTCAGATCTTGCGGGACGTAGTACATCCGTTCAACTACGACACTGATCGAATGATACTGTCGCCCAACGGAAAATACATTCTCAGGTTATATTTCAATGGCTGCTGGAGAAGAGTGGAGATTGACGACTATCTGCCTTCCTCCAAGACTAGCCGAGTCCTTCATGTCATTGACCGCCGCCATCCCCGATTGCTATGGCCGGCCCTGGTTGAGAAAGCGTACCTGAAGGTCCGTGGCGGTTACGACTTTCCTGGGAGCAATTCTGGTACGGATCTTGCCGTTCTTACCGGGTGGATTCCTCAACAAGTCTTTCTACACGACGAGGAGGTCGAACAAGACCACTTGTGGGAAGAGATTATTGCCCAGTTTCGGAGAGGAAACGTTCTCGTCACCATCGGAACCGGAAAATTACCCCGTCGTGAGCAACGGCATCTCGGTCTTGCAGCAGAACATGACTACGCGATCCTGGACATGTCTACTAATGGTCATGCCAAAGAAATGCTTGTCAAAAACCCATGGGCTGATGGAGATGTGTGGCGGGGAGCAGCAAGGCGGCGGCCGAATCGAAGTGACGAAGAATCCTCGGCTAGCACGCCTGAAAACGAGGAGATGATGCCAGGCACTTTTTGGATGGATTTCAACAGTGTCTTTCAATATTTTGAGAACATGTATCTCAACTGGAATCCTGGGCTGTTTTCTTACCGCGAAGACCTTCACTTTTCTTGGGACCAGGCCAATGTCACTTCAAATACTAACCTAATTGTCGACAATCCCCAGTTTGCGGTGGCAACTTCTGATCCGGGCGAAATCTGGTTGCTACTACAGCGGCATTTCCGAACAGGAGACTACACACAAGAGACTACAAGAGAAAATGGATATATCGGCCTATACTTATATACTCGTGATGGCAACAGAGTCATCTCGAGTGAAGGCGTAAAGATACGAGGTCCATTTGTGGACTCTCCCAATACCCTGTTAAGGTTCAAAGGTACGGCTCAATCGTGCTATACTGCAGTTTTGGTATCACAGGATCTACCACGTGGGAAAATGAACTTTACCATTTCGGCTCTGTCAAAATATCCGGTAGCACTATCAGAAGCTCGACTGCCATATCCTCAGAAGTCCAGCCTCAGCTCCGCCTGGACCAGGTCGAACGCTGGAGGAAACTCGGACTCAGCAAACTACTTGTCCAATCCCCAGTTTCGAATGTCCCTGTCAACTGAGCAGAGGATTGCACTAGTCCTGCGGCTTGTCGAATCCATTACCCCCGCCGCTGCCACGAAGCCCGATATCAATGTCAAAATCCTGGTACTTTTCAGCAACGGGTCAAGGATTACCCGACTTCGCCCACGGGATGTTCTCGCGCACTCGGGAGACTATCGACGAGGGAGTGCTGTTGTAGAAACCAAGCTCGAACCTGGGAAGTACACAATTATCTGCTCTACGTTCGATGAAGGCCAATGTTCGGATTTCTGCCTTGACTTATACTCCTCCTCTGCGGGAGATGGTGCAACGTTGACTCAGCTACCAGCGGAAGGTGCCGGCCGATTGAGCATCAAGAGTACCGCCGCAGTGTTCCGGAATACCACCAATCGCCTCCTGGCTCCTCTTACAGTCTCGAGGCTATCTCGGATTTCGTTCGTCGCACGATACGACACCGTCACCTCTGCTCAAGCCGCGAATTCCTCACTCTTCAAGATGACACTTGAGCGAGGTCAAGGACCATACAAGGAGATCCTGGCGACCAGCGAGATCGACAATGAGGAATTCAGCAGTATCTCGTCGGGCCTGCGGATTGTTGATATAGATCTGCAGCCGTCGTCACTGAGCGCGGCGCCTTATACTGGTGCAGCAGGTGGTCTGTGGCTTGTTCTGGAGCGGTTGGCGCAGGGTGGTCAGTGCGGCGGTGACGAGGAGGAGGGGGTGCTCGCGGGAAAGAAGGATGAGATTTTGAGAGTGGAGATGTTTACGGATGAGAGAGTCGAGTTGGACGCTTGGGGGCTGGGGGACGGTTGACCCGGGCGCATATCATCAAGGAATCCGCATAGTGACAGAGGGTGTCTGGATAGAGGCATTGGTATAACCAAGCCGTTCGCGTCAAAGAGTGGCTCAGTAGCCATCTGCTCTTGAAAATCTCCCGAAAACTTTCCCCCTTTTGAAATCTGCAAGCTGAACTACCTATTTGTACGAAAACGAAATTTCCCATGATCACTGTCCGTCCGCGAGTAAGCCCCCTTGATATATAGCCATATCTACCACCAGCCAACGTTACAATGCCCGAAATCGCACTTTCCTATTTTCCCCTCAGGGTGCTAAGAAGCCTGCCTCATAATCAAGCCCTTCAACCCCGGCACAATCCCCGAATCCACAACCTTCATGCCCAAACCTCTAACCCCACCAACCAGACTGCTCAATATGCCGTCTCCGCCACTACCCATCTGATACAACCAATTCAATGCATCAACACCGCCAGCCATGACCAACCCCTTCCCAAATCTGTCGGCATTATACCTCTCCAGCGCGAACGCGGAATCGCCAACGTCCATGCCGTGCTGGACGGCGTAGGCGACCGTGTCTGCGAGAGATGCCGCGTCCGCGAGGCCCAGGTTCAGACCCTGTCCCGCGAGGGGGTGGATGGTGTGTGCGGCGTCGCCGATCAGAGCGACTCGGGGACCAATCAGGGAGGTAGAGTGGCGGAAGCGCAAGGGGAAGGAGGCGAGTGTTTTGTCTTGGACCCCGGTGATGATTGGGACCGGGCGGGAGGTTTGGGGGGATGGAGTGTGCTGGAGACGCCAATGCAGTTCGTCCGAGTGTTGGTCGGGGGAAGAGGGAGGGAGTGTGAACAGGTATTTGATGTCTGTTTGTGAGAGGCGCAAGGCCGCGTTGATCATCGCTATCTGCGCTGAGGGAGGTAGGGTTTTTAGGTATGCTGCGTTCGCAGGCGTGGTCGACCATACGAGAGAGGCGTGGTTGTTTGGCAGTGGCAATACGGCGATGGGCCCGCCTAGCTCGGGCAGGAAGCGTTGGTACGCGGTTGCGCGGTTGGAGAGGGGCTCTTCTGCGAAGAGGTCGAAGTCGTCAGTTTGGGAGGTGTTGTCGGGGGTGGGTTGCACGGTGAGCGTGGCGACCACGCCGTGCCGGTTGTAGTCCCAGCCGTGAGAGGCGATGCCCGCGAAGGCGCGCACGGGCGAGTTGAAGCCGTCGGCGCCCACGAGCAGGCGGGCTGCTATGCTTGACGGATAAGACGGTGACGAGGAATGGGATGGTGGTTGTTTTGATTCAAGCCGCAAGACCGGCCATGTGGACAAATTGAGACCCTCCGGGTCATCTTCGCCGTTCACAATGGTTGAAACGCTAGTATTGGAGAAAAGCGACGATTCCGCCCCGAGCTGGGCGATTCTCTCCAGAAGAGCCCTCGTCAGGTTGGCGTTCTCGGTCATGGTCGCTACGGTCCTCGGCGGCGCGTTATACTTGCTCGTCTCGGCGTGCCAGTCGAATTGAATCGCCGCGTCGTTGGCGGCATCCCACACTTGCATCTCGTCATAGGCTTGCACGCGAGACTGGTCCACGTGGTCCCACGCTCCCGTTTTCTCGAGAAACGAGACCGACGAGGGCGTCAGGCTGCTGGCGCGGTTGGAGTACTGATCCTCTGGGGACTGCCATTGGCGGAGCCTTGAGAGATCTTGGGTCTCGATCAATGCCGTTTTCAGATGCGATGTTATAGGCGATGACTCTGTAGAAAACCGGGTTAGTTGTTAGATGTCACACCCTGCGTGACGACTGGAAGGGAGGGAAAACAACGGACTTAATGCTGCGAGGAGGGCTAGACCAGCTGGTCCGCCGCCGACTGTCACGATGTCGAAAATCTCAGGAGTTGTTGGTGATGATGCATTGGGTTTGGTTGATGCGAATCGTCTCCGTCGAGTGGTCGAGCTCAGGGTTTTCCGGCATTGCACGCAGATAAAGCGTGTGTCCGCGACAGACAATTTCGCCGGCATTTTTGCCGGGCGGCGGTATTCTGATGTTCGGGGCAGACGAAACTCAGTAGATTCGGATCTGCAGCATCGCTCGATCACGAACGTTGATGGAATAATTGTGGGAGATGAAGCTGGGAAACAACTGTTGAGGTCGGAGAACTGAATATTAGACCAATCATAATCGATCTTGGGACAGCCTTGCTCAGCCTTGCGCAGTAGCCTCGAGGGACCAATACCTATTGGGTGCCTAGGAGGCTGGCAACGGGTGACACCAGTCCACAAGTATACATTATACAGGGCACTTTACTAGACTCCAGACAGCTAGCCCTAGCACTGAGTTCCCTGCGTTCTGATCGCTCCTGCGGATACAACCAAAAGCTTTCTCGCTTCCTTTACTTCATGGCCGATGTGTGAATCCTGAAGGGCTTTGGGCGTAGCGGCCATTCACATAGTACAAACAGACATCCGAGTCAGTCACGCGTTCCCATCCATCGACAACACGCTCCACTTCGCCAAACAGAACCATGTGATCTCCAATTTCCACCGCCTTGTCTGGGAGGTACCGACATCTGATCTGAAATTTTGGGAGACATTCAATGACAGGAGGTGAATCAGATCCTAATGCTGGCGCTGCGTCGGACGACGGCTCCTGCGCAAACCAAGCCAAAGTCCCATTTGGGAGGTGAAAAGGCGAAGTCGCGTTGCCGCGGGCAAATTTCTCAGCGATTTCCTGTCCCTTTGGATCGCAGAGAAACAGGTGAACATTAAATAGGCCGGAAGCCTCGATGGCCTCGTATGTCGAAGACAACTGCTTGATGTTGAAGGAAACGATCGGTATTGGATCTAATGTCACAGTGTTGAACGAAGATACCGTAGCTCCTCGCCATGCGGAAGGGTCGCCATTGGTGCCGACAGATGTGTCAGTCGAAGTGATAACCGCAACAGGATGGGGCACATGACGCATCAATCCTTTAACTTGCTCGCGGAGAGGCGTCTCCCGCCTCGTTGTCCAAGCTTTCGAGCTGCTATGTCTGGCTATGGCATGGCCATTTGTCTCCTTTGGGTTGGGTGGCGTCGGTGGACACGCTCGCGTCGAGATTGGGCGTCGACAATGGCCAAAATCTTTATGCAGCAAAGTGAAGCTGCGACTAGAGCCCCGATAGAGTTGGTGAGATTCAGTTGCTTGATAAGGTCAATCCAAGTGAAATCAAGTCCATGCAGGCATTGTGGTCTTACACTGTAAAGTCTTGCTTTTAGACAGCTGTAAACAGATAGAGTTCAATCCAGGTAGATTTTCCAGGAGGCGTAAGGTGCTCATGTCAAGGACTGGAGAGGCAACCGGAGCCGATACCTCGCCATTACATAGAGGGTCCTACTATCTGCATATCGTGCAATTATGACCGAGAGACCTTTTCCCAGTACATTGGGATATACATATACGTTGACAACTGCATGTGCCAGCAGCAGCTTTGCAATCCAATAGGAGGGTCTTGGCGGATTTGCCGCGTTTGTGGGCCAACCGCTCCTGCATCAGCCTTACTCCTGCATTCAATTTGTCTTCGTCCCTCCTAACGCAATAAGACAATGGAACAGCTGCATACGGTGCCTATCCCTGTGAATCAGTCGATGCACTTCCGACTCTCAGCGTGTCTAATGAAGATAGCGCAGAGTAGAAGACGCCCTTTGCGGCTTGATCGAAGACCAAACCAATCCACATGAACGAGTCCATCATATCCCGGAAATCGTCCCATAAGACAACTCCACATCGTTCAATGGCTGATTTCAATCTAAGTTTCAGCCAAACACTACCAGGTTCATCGATCACTGCAACACCACCGACTATAAGAAGCCAAAGCAATAGTGGCGGCCACTGTTCTTCGAGGATGTCGAGACCAACAAGACTCTCTTCGTAGGCAGCGGACAAAGATGTCCTTCTTACCCTGAAGTCCGGCAGTTGCAAGAAGACCTGTGAGGAGAAGGCTAATAATCCGAGCCGGATGGCTGCCTCAAGAGAACCGGTCGAAAAGCTCATATGGAGAAGGCGATACATGACCGAAGCAGTTGCTTCGGGCAGAATTTCTTCAGAAAGCTTGCGTTTGGTCCTGGCCGCGCGGTTGATCTGTAGGCAAAATCCCTTCATGGCTCTCCAGACCGTAGCCAGCTCTTCATCGAGTGCGCTGAGAAATTGCTCCGAGTAAGGCCAGCAAGTCACCGTACCGTTTGACTTTGGCATGGACTCGGACATCTGGTCTGGAAATGGCCTGAAGGGCTCACCAGAAGAGCTAGTCGAGAAGAAAGTAGGCCTGGCACCGGTTTCGATCGCTAGCCCTATATCGCATCTACGCAAACAATTAGGTATCCTCCGCAGAGAAGTAATCACAACAGCAGGGTTGCCAGGACGTTACAAGGGTTCATACCTATAGATTTCCATTGCCAGCCTGATCTTAGGAGCAATGGCGGCGATTCCTCCTCTGAGATTGATCATCATGCGAAGGCCTTCCATGTGATGCTTTGCTGTGTCATAGTCGCCAATCATACGAGCGTGAAGTGCAAGAGCAATGACCACCATCATGGTAGGATTGGCAATTTTCAGGTCCTCGTCTGTCGAGTCGAGTCGCTCGCGGAGAAGCTGGAGCGCCTTGGAGAAGTGTGGTGAGGTAATTTGAAGGGCATTGTGATCTTCACGTCCTCGCATTAGTTCGATGTATGCATGAGTTCCCAGCGCAGTGGCATGAAGGAAGGCAGCATCGGACGCCATAGGGCCAACGAGGACTCTGTCTTTCCTGTCGAAAGCAATGCATTGCTCCAATGGAATAGTCGCTTGCCGTGCGAGAGAAGAATCTGGATTCCCCGATGCGGTGAGTAAGCGCTCAAATTCTAGAGCATTGAATCCCCGTGCGCGAGTATGGACCTACAGGTCAAGATATCCGCGATTGCAGACGGCTCGATTTCGGCTGCCAGCTGGGTGAACGACCACTCTGACCCAACCTTTTTCGGGATAATCGAGGACGATTGCTGTGTTGTTGCCTCGCCGCCACCGGAGGAGTCCCAGCTAGGCTCAGCATCCCGGGGCAGGGGATCCTTGGGCTTGGCCCGTCGAGATTTGCCCAGGTTCTTTCCTAACATCACATGGCTCCTGATGAGCTTGCGTGTCTGGGCATCGTCTCTCTTCCTCACGCCCGCCGTGACGATGAACGGCATGCCTGCTGTCAAAGTGGGGGAGACTTAGCATTGTGGCCATGGCGGTCCTGTTGGTTGCACTGGGGACTTACGCGACGAGTTTGTTTGGGGCATATTGCTACCATGGGCAGAGTCAATCCACGGACGAAGTTGACTTCACCAGAATGGTGATGAATCATCAAATCAAGTGTAAACCGTAGGATGCCAGTTGAAGAGGTGGTGATTATTGGCCCGAAGCGACAGCGGATTGTTTTCTCCTTCTAGTAAAGTGTTGAAGATTCTGGCGCGGGCAACACACTGTAAGGCCTATTAGCATTTCCCTCGACTGTGACTCTTGTCTCGAGGCTGCGCGTGGTTTGAAGTTTGTCTCCAGGCGGGGAACTTCATGCACATATCATTTGCTACTTCGGGTATAGTCTGGCCTCCTTAAACCGTTTTCGGATCAGGGGAACATAGCGAGATGACTATCAATTACCCAGCCTCGCAGTCGTGACATTCCCATGTCAATATCGGTCTACATGAGATTGGCCTCGTCTTGGTCCGCCGACAGATGGCGCTTTTGTTACATCGACCGGAATGTTGTCAACTCGGCGCCGAAGTGATGACCATTGCGTGAACAGCGCACCGGTGAGAGCATGTACTGAGCACATATATATACGGAGTGCACCCAAACTGCCTCTCTCATTGTCCGTCAATCCCAGGTTGCTGCTATCTGATTCCTCACTTGTATCTCTATTCATTTGACGTTGGATCGGTTCGTGATGCCCTCCTCCAAGGAACTGCCACCTATAACCATCCCCTTCTTTCCAAGGCTTTTCATCCGGAACCAGTTCCTTGCCAAACCTCAGCGCCTACCTCAGGGCACCGACCTCTTCGGGAAAGTTGTCATTATTACTGGAGGCAACACAGGCAAGTCCTCTTTCTCTTTGCATCCTACTTTGTACCCCGTGCATGTCGCGATCGTGGCCACGACAAAACCAAGGTGGAGGCTTGCTAACAAAAATATCCAGGCCTGGGTTTCGAGAGTGGCCGTCAACTCCTCTCTTTCAACCTCTCACGTCTGATCTTAGCTGTCCGTTCTCCTCAGAGAGGGGCCGAAGCAGCTAAAAGGCTCCATGCCACTTATCCACGGACGACCATTGATGTTTGGCAACTGGACATGGCCTCTTATGATTCCATCCAGGCGTTTATCCAGCGCGCCGAATCCGACCTGTCCCGCCTCGATATCGTTATCCTCAATGCTGGCAGGTGGACGTACAACTTCAACACCGTGCCTGGTACCGGTCACGAGGAGCTCTTTCAAATCAACTACCTCTCAACGGTGCTCCTTGCCATCTTGTTGCTTCCTGTCTTGAGGAGTAAAGCCCCAGCAGGGACTCCTGGCCGCCTAACTATCGTCAATGCAGCGCTATCTCTGACTGCAAAATTCCCGAACAAGGACAAGACCCCGTTGCTCCCGTCATTCGACGATCCAAAGGCCTTCGACATTAGCGAATCGTACAACACATCCAAGGTGCTGGCGCACATGTTTCTCTGGAAACTCGTGGAATATGTGTCGGCCGACGAAGTCATTGTGAACCTCGTAGACCCTGGCTTTGTCAAGGGCACAAAGCTCGCGCGCGATGCACCGGGTCTGTTGGTGGCTCTTGGGAACATATTTGCCGCACTCACCGCCAGAAGTACCCGGGATGGCGCTTCAACGTACCTCGACGCCTGCCTAATCAAAGGAGAGGAGTCTCATGGATGCTTCGTAATGGGCTGGCAGATTAAACCGTAAGTTTCCAGTGACCGTCCCGACCTCCTGTCTTTTGTATTTCTTTCCTGCTAATGGGATGGAACTTGAGGTTTGCGGCCATGCTTTATACGCCCGAAGGAAAACTTGTCACCGAGAAGCTGTGGCGCGAAACAATAGACGAACTGAGCTTCGCCAAAGTGCAGTCCGTGTTAGAGTCGATGAAGAGACATTGATTTTCTTCAGCTTATTCGAAAAGGGGTTTCGTCACCTTAGCGGTTAATTACTAGGTACAGGGCCTAAGATGACTGTGGGGGGATCTTCAGGCGCGACAAGTTGGTCCCTCTCCCAACTTCGTTTTCATGCTTCCCCCTCTTATGATTGATACACTGGACGTAGTAGATATCCCATTAGCAAGTACTCGGTAGAGAACTGGAGAATTGTCTCCCACAGTTCGGCCTCGACATTGGCTGTTGTATATATCCCACCAAGCCACGCGGAGAAAACCGAGATACTCGGCTAAGCCCAGGAGTCTCAGCCTAATACGAGCTTATCTCACTGCTGGTGGCGATCCCCATACCAACTGCCATCAATTTCCAATCAGTCTCTCCAAGACACAACTTCAGGCTTGTCAAATTTTGTCTTTTGATCGTGCAAGGCTCTACGGTGGTTCGTTTTGAGATTTGGAACAGCGCGACCGAGCGCCCGGAACCTCGACAAGATCAAGGCTTGACGGAGCAAAGATAATCATCATGCAAGACATCGAAGAGGCCACTGTCATCTTTCGCAAGTCCAATGTGAAGGCCAAGTGGCTGGCAAAGGATCGTCTATCTCTGCTGCAACTCGCAGAAAAGTCGGGGCTGACTCCTGACTACGGCTGTCGGTCCGGGGCGTGTGGAACGTGTGAAGTCAAGCTCTTGAAGGGAAACATCGACGGGATCTTGGAAGGAGATGATGGTGTTCTCATTTGCAGCTCTGTCCCAGCAAGCATTGAAGTCGAGCTTGAACTGTGAAGCAGAGCCTTCGCAGCAGAAATTTACTTCAGGCTTGATAGAGAGCTCGTAAATCATGGAAAGGCAGACGCTCGCTGGCAACCAGCAAAGGGGCTCTTGATCCATGCAGAGATCAGAGGCAGAGTTTATGATGCGGGCTTCATTGAACAGGCCAGACGATCACCACGCGAAGTCGAGAAAGGAGGAGGCCGACGACATTGGAAGTGATGATTGAAGGAAGCGGTGTCACGGTCACTACGTTGTGATATTTCTGAGGGCCAGTGCTGCCTGAGCGGCAAGTGAAAGACAATTGTTGAAGACGCCCGCCTCGGAACAGACTCGAGCCTCACCGCGGGAGACTCTCAGCCGCCTCTTTCTTTCGTCTGAAAATCTCACCAGTTGCTTCCTCACGATACTTTGGGTCGAAATTTCAGACAGACCAAGAGTCCTTCTTTCCGTCCTTCACCTTCCAAACGCTCCCTGTGGCACTGGCGGCACACTGCTCCTTACTGCCTGCTCACTGGAGTCTGCGGCAACTTTTGATCACTGCTTTGACCCAAATACACAGTCCTGAAACCGCTTTGTCACCCCGGAGCCTCTCCCTTCTCAAGCCCTTGGGCCTCTCGACACTTCTCTCTCATTGTTGTATCCACATGCGTATCAGTTTAAGCGACGATGCCGTTCCCCAGCCTGCGACGGCGGACGGTCAATGAAGCAGTCCAGCTGCCAGAAGAACACAAGTCCCCCTCCCCATCACCAAGAGCTCGTTCGGCGACCCTCCCTGCTTTGACTCCACGGAAGAGCTTGACATCTCTCATCGGCTCGGTCAGAAAGAGAGGCAATCCAAGGTATGTCTGGACTCTGGGAGATGAGTCTGCCGCTAAAAGGACGCAGCCCGTCGTCAGCTAAGCCTCAGCATGACAAGTCTCAGCCCGATGTTCTCGAACAGGAACTATACGCCGACTACGATGCCTCGAACCCTGACCACGACCCTTTCAGCGCTGGCCAAAGCCCTTCTACGTCAGACAAGCCCAAGCGGTACTATCGAACACCAAGCCCTCATCCTCTTAAGACGTCCGCCGCTTCGTCTCTATCGAGATTGTCTAAGCTCAGCCGCGGCACTCCGAGCAGCAGGTGCTCGGACTCCTCTCAAGCTGGATCACCTCCAAAGACCTTCCTCGAAACACTAGCTGACGCCATTCGGGCTCCGACTTCACTATTTTACAAGGAGAATAAGATCGATTCAAAGTCGGAGGATGCCAACGTTTGTAGCAACAAACCTCCCTCCCCGGGGAAGAGTCTCAGCCCGAAAAAGTCGGTCAGATTCAAGCCTGGAAAGTCAATCATCGAGGATGAACCCAGATCTTCACCCATTGACATTCCCAGAGCGACACCCTCACTGCCTCCTGTTCAGCTGGCGAGTACACCTCTCCTGCAGTTCTTCGGGGATGATCACCCTCATCTGATCCCGACCGCCAGGCCTCCTCAGCCGCGGGTATTGAATTCCACTATCAATTTTCGCCAAGCGATGGCTGCAGCCCAGACGTCCATCACCGAGGACAAGCTACAGGAAGTTTCATCCCTCTGCACCCCCGTCTCAGGACTCCCGTTGCCCCTGCCAGGTGCGACCGCCGCCGTGGAGAACGTTTTTAGAGATGCAAATGATGAGTGCGACTTGGAAATTAGGAGGGCTATGCTTCAAGAGTACGATAACCAGTTTAACAGCAAGGGAACAGGAGCTTATCAATCTGCAAACATTGTCATCGACAGAGGCTACGTCGCCAACGATGAGAAAGTTCAAGATCTGCCTGGAGGTCGTTCCACTCTGGCCACAGCGGCAACCCCTGGCTTGAATTTGTTGCCGAAACCAGCGAGAAATGGTGAGATTCTAAGCGAGCCAAAGCTCTCCAGCGAGATCAGTCCGTCTGAACTGTTTACTGGAACCGCAGACACGCTAAAAGACGATGCGTCAGAGCTAAAATCCGATGCATCAGCTGCTGCTCGAGATGGTACGGACTCGGATTATTCCGATGGAGAGTCAGTTGTCATTGCCGTTTCATCCTTGAGGGCAAGTGAAGACGAAGAGAAATGGACCGAAAATCCAACTCATGAGGATATTCGTCTCCGTTTTACGCACCGGGAAGGCTATGAATCCAAGGATTCTCGTGATACGGACAGTGAATCAGAGTCGAATGCGGGCTCGCAAGAAGACACTCGAATAAAAGCAGCTATTACCCCATTGCCAGACTCGACTACAGAATCGAGACCGATTCATATTCCAACGTCAGGAACTGCTGGTGAGCTGAGCCCGGAATCAAGGAAAAGAAAGAAGAAATACCAGCATTCGACATCAGATGATGTGAGTGAGAAACAGTGCGCTGGCCACGATAGGACGCTGATTCTGTTCCAGGACCCATACCTGTATGTGCCTGAGAATTTTCTGAACAACCCACCCTGGGTAGCAGAGCTCGCCCTCCGGTGTGACAGACCATTTCCAGAAAACAAACCGAGACAGGTTTCTCCCTATTTCCCCAGTCGCCAGACCAAAGGATGTGAGAGGTCAACGTCGCTGGCAACTATGACTGAAAGCGAACCAGACGGCCGGGCTTTCTTGTTTCCTGAGCATGCTGAAGTCAGCTTCCATTCCCTACCCCGGTCAAGAAATCAATATAAGTGCTAACAATGCATAGATCGAAAAGGAAGTGTCCACGGAAAAGTCGGGCAGCTTCAAGGTCGAACCACATTTCTGGCCACCGCTACCTTGCGTACAGAGTACGCCGTCTCCAGCATCCGTTCCGTTGCCTCTGTCTACTCGCCCTTCGACAAGAACTCATTACGGGCTGCATACCGACGAGTATGAGTCTAGTCCTTTTGAAGCCGACGGAGAGGAATCAAACTCTGATGGCGGACATGTTGACCAATGTGGTTTCGACGATCACACTGCGTCTGACAAGCATAGCCTGGATCGGAGCAATTGTGCTGGCCTATCGAGCATTTCGCAACACATTCCTCGTGATACAGAGGAAGAAAAGCTAGCAAGAGCGGCTGAGGTCTTACGAAAGTTCGCATCTCGCATGGCCAGTGGTTCGAGCTCCACGCATAATCCGACCACCGATATGGAGTGCAAATCTGCGCGTGAACGTACAACCAAAATTCCCCGGTTGAAACGTTTACAAGGTCGAAGTTCAGAGGCGGAAATAGAGACCTTGGATCACGGCAAATTGGTTCGGGGGAGATCGACTACGGTCGATAGCGGTTGGTCTGCAGAGAGCGAAATATCTCAGGACAGCGGCTCTGGCGCAACCCTGAAGACAGCGACTTCCACAGACCTCTCGGAAGGGATGGATGAGGACGAGCGTTGCTACAAGGGCATTGTTTGATGATGAAGGACATCAAGTCGTGTGCTGTGCTAGGTTCGAGAAACTACAGGTATCCGCTAGGAGACGTATGTCTTATGGGCACAGACCTTCGTTTTGGAATCTAGTGACAATAGTCACGCCCAAGCCCGGCGGTACATTGCATCAGGATAGCATGATATGTGAATAGGAAGCCCTTGAGGGTTAGGGTAGCGTATGGTTGGGCAAGCATCCTCTATCACGGTGGTCCTGACTCACTAACCCCATTTTCCTTGGCCGCCTCTCTGGCAGCCTTGTGCTTCCTCACATTGCCCTCCATGCCGTAGCGAATGGCTTCGGTGGTGCCGGGGATAATCATCTCGAATGTCTCCCGAACGACAGCATAATCATAATAGCCGCACCTTGCAATGGGTTGCGTTTTGGCCACATCGATTTTGCCATCCTTGGTCAAGACACGGTCATCGATATGGATTCCCACGACTTTACCAATGACCACGTCGACCGTGCCCATGGGCGGGTTCCCGGGCAAGCGCAGAGTGGAGTGATACTCGCACTCGAACCTGACGGGGGAGGCCTTGACCATTGGCACGGGAATTTTCAGGGTGGTGGACCACTCCTTGTCCAGGGACGCGCGCTCAAACTCGTCGACTCCGTAGGGCACCTGTTCGGCGGTGATGTTGACGGCCTCGCGCAGGTCCCAGGTGGCGAGCTGCCAGCAAAAGACGCCCGTGGCCTCGACGTTGCGCACCGTGTCCTTTTGTTGGAGAGACGGAGTCTGGTTCGCGGAGAACATGACGAAGGGCGGGTCGAAGGTGAGGTTGTTGAATTGGCTGAAGGGCGCGAGGTTGGCTGTTCTCCTGGTTGGCGGTGGTGCAGATGTCGCGGATGGGGATGGAGTTGTCGATGTGTCTGGTTGGAGAGGCGAGACGGTGCTGATCCAGCCTATTGGGCGGGGGATGACGCATGCCTGTGACGAGACGAGTGAGCATGAGTGCGGTAAGGAGAATAGAGAGGAGAGGAAGGGGGAAAAAAAAGGGAGGAGAGAGGAGAGAGGACAGAGCAGCGTTATGATGGACAGCAAAGAATCGGAGGCGGTCGTTGAGAAAGAAATGAGTTTGTCTCGGGGGTGCGAGCCATGGAAGGGGAAGACATTTCATGTGCCTTTGTTCTTCCTCGTCTGTCTTGAATGTCTTTTCTTCATCCCCTTTCTCCCCCTTCTTCTTCTTCTTCTTCTTCTTCTCGTTCGTGAAAATACTTGCAGCCATCACCGAGGAGAACCAGACAAGTGGAGATCTAGGTCTCGCCTCCACCAGACCCAGTGATATTAAGAGGAAGACTGACCTTGAAAGGATCATATGGCAAGTTATGCTCGGTCTTGCCTGGTTCGTAGAACATGACTTCAACTTTTTCACCACCTGGACTTCGATAATCTCAGTCCTCGATCAATCAGGCCAGGTATTCAGGGGTCTTTCTCTTTGACAAGTTCGACTTTGTAGATGGAGGGGCACGGGGAATCCGGTTCCTCGTCTCGAGGAGGAGGAGGAGATATAAATCTGGGAAATAAAGAACAGAGGGTTTGGTGAAAGTGGGCGAGCAACTCGAGGCCGGACACCACTATTTTATATCTGAGGCTGCTGCTGGTGGTATATGTATACGAGGTGCTCTACGGACGTAACTACGTATATGCTGATGGGGTGAGATGGTCGTTGAGGAGAGGCGTGGGGCGCCCTGGAAAGCCCCAGACTTTCAAAACTCCAGGATTGCAGAAACGGGTAGCTCTGACTATTTCTCCACGAACCGGATCGAGGACTCATCTAGTTATTTTGCGGGTTAAGCGGCCGAGTCGGAGTCATTGGGCAGCGAGATGTTGAGGCGGGCCGACCGAGCTACTTAACTCGGAATAGTAGGGGCCCCCCAAGGAAACCATGGAATGGCATCTATTTGGTTTCCGAGACGAGATGCAGTGCGGAATAGTTTTTTGTTTCTCTCCTGTACTGGCAGATAATGTAGATACTTGGTACGGCGGGATAGCAGGTTCAAGATTGTGATATTACAAAGCGTGGAACACAGGCCAACGATTACCCTCAGGGTCCATGCGGCGCCCATAGATTGAATCATGGCGTTCCTTTTCTCTTCCTGTGCTGGGGACTTCAAACGTCCTCCTCAGCATCGGGGGCATCTTCTTGCAAGAATCTTCTGGCTGATGACTTACCTTTCTTCCGGTCCAAACCACGCTGTTTCCCGGGCTTGTTTCCGGCTCTTACGTCCCCTGTCAATCTGTCCTCATCCTGGATGGCAGCGCCGGTGCGATGTGGCGGAGGGTCCAGCTCACGATGCTGAACCGAGACTGCCCAGCAATCGTCTGCTTGGATCTTGCGAGAGAGCTCCTCTGCAAAAGTCACACTGCGATGTTTTCCCCGTTCACACATGATGCCGACAACGAGGACTGACGGCGCCGCAGGTGGCGAAGGCGACTCGGCGGTTGGGTCCACGCCTTCGCGGGCGAGTTTCATCTCAACCATTTTCGTCTGCACGGCCCCGACAATGATGCCCAATCTTGCGACGGCGGCCGAACTGGCCATGACTTCCTTGCGCAGATGAGAGGATAGACCCGTGTGTGTCCTGCGCAGCTTGGCAGGTGGGTTCTTGATGGACCTCACGGAAAAGGTGAGCTGCTCCACGGCACCAGGGTCAGGGAGCGTGAGAGGGCCATGGGCATGGCCATAAGATATGATGACGAGCTCGAAGGTCGTCACGGCCTGTGTGGTTGCGGGAGACACCTCTGTTTCCGGGAGTGGGCCTCCATTCTCGAGATCTTCCATTGTGCCCTTGTCGTTGTCAATGGCATTGGCCGCCCGAAGAGTTACTAGAGCGTGAGCCAAGGCATCTTGCAGCCCGCGGCTATGGTCGGGCAGATACCCGAGAAAGCTTCCAAGGTTCTTCACGGGTATCCAGCACGGCTGCGAGTCGGTGTTGGAGACTTTTCTGTGAATAGCGGCCAGGTATTAGCCATGCAAGCATGTAATGGACTTGTAAGCTGGTTAAATTTGGCCAAATTCGGCGGAGGCAACTTGAAGGATTCTTGGCATGTCACATGACTCGGGCTTTTCCGAATTGGGTGCCGCTGGGAGCCCCCGGTGCTGACTGATTCTTACACAATCAACCCGCGGAAGGTTTTCCGAAAGCTTCCACGGCATTTGTTCATGGCCGTGTCTGCGCCGCAGCCTCACAACAACCAAATGCTATTGAAAGATCTTCATAAGCTGCAAACTGCCCGTGTAATGGTGATGGTCAAATTGTGCTTGCCTGTTCTAGCATATTCGACTTTCCACGGTGTCCCAAAGGTATAAGTAACTCCCCGCGCCTTTCCATGAGGCAAATCTACTCTTTCTTGATCACCATCGTAGCAGCACTTCTCATTGCATACTACTCCAGCACTCTGGCCTCCTCGAAGACGCTTCTTCAACAAGCCAGACCCGTGCTCAGTGACTTTATACATCGTATCAAACCAACAGCCGTCAAACATACAACAAGACCTTTTCTGGGACTACCTCTGATCCCTTCCCACCTACTCTCAACCACGACAGCAAATATGACGACTCCACGACAGATCAAATTTTCCTTCCTCGCCCGCGAACAATCAGAAGGTGCGGGTGCTGTGGTACGGCGCTCAATCGGCACACCTAAACTGCGCCATTTCACACCTTTCCTCATGCTCGATCACTTCAGGGTACCTCCCAGTGCGGGATTCCCCGACCACCCTCATCGAGGACAAGAGACGATCACCTATCTCATGAAAGGCGCCGTTCATCACGAAGACTTCGCCGGCAATGCAGGAAAACTCGGGCCTGGCGATCTGCAATTCATGACTGCAGGCCGGGGAATAGTGCACGCGGAGATGCCCTCGCCAACCGAAGATCTCAGCATCGGCATGCAACTCTGGGTCGACTTACCGGAGAATCTCAAATCCTGCGAACCTCGATACCGCGATCTTCGTGCAGAGGAGATCCCAATCGCCAAGTCCGACGACGGAAAGGTCACCGTGAAGGTCATTTCCGGCAAAAGCCTGGGCGTCGAGTCTCTGAAGGACCTGGCCTACACGCCTGTGTGGCTTCTTGATATCACAATCCAACCGGGTGGAAAGATCACGCAGGAACTGCCGCAAGGATGGAATGCGTTTGCGTACACCCTCGAAGGCGCGGTCACATTCTCCAATGGCTCCGATGCACACAAAGCAGAAACAGTCACACCCTACCACAACGTCGTCTTCGAGCAGGCCGGCGACTTAGTGACCGCTTCAGTGGAAGAAGGCGCTCATGAAGGTGCACAATTCATCCTCGTCGCGGGCCAGCCGTTGGATCAGAACATTGTTCAGTATGGCCCGTTTGTGACCACCTCCAAGGAAGCCATCTATCAAGCCATGATGGATTACCAGACCTCGTCCAACGGGTTCGAAAGGGCAGCAAATTGGGAGAGTGAAATTGGAAAGAGTATGAGATAAAGGGATACCGCTTTGACAATGTTGTGTGAAAAGCGCAAAAAATCTTATGGTATATCAAATTGGCATGGAACTTCGAGCATCGTGCTCTGAGAGGGCTTTTGTATAGTATAGCGCGGCGTAGGTGCTAGAGCATAGATGGAAATATACCCAAATAGAACCGAAAGTATCTGACGTGGTTACGTTTGACAGAATACATATCACCGCAAAGTCCTCACTAATGGGCATGGTTTCAGTCTCTCTGTTTGTAAACAAGATAGATGGTTATCTTTTTTAAAGATCCCACATCAGGGAGTGACTCTCTGTCTAGTGACTTTTTGAGATAGCTTTTTCCGCCTCGTCTATCGTCGTAGCCATGAACACAACACAAGGCGCAGCAATGGCTCTTCACCCAGCAGCATTCATTGCTTCGTGTCAAAGGCCTCTTTCGAGTCCCTTCGTAACTGACCACAGCCGCCACCTTGTTTCCGCTTGGTGGACACTCGTCGGGGAAGATTCTTTGCCTCGACGTGTCTTCGGCAGTTCTCCCTGCAAGGTAGGTGTTGGGTCCGCTTCCCCGATTCCTACAATACATCATTCTAGGGCCCGGGGGCAGATATCTAAGATGTTCGAGGTGGTGGTCCTATTTCGACAGCCCCGTCCGTTGGCGATCGCCTCGTTGTCGCAATTTTGATATTTTTTTTTATTCCTCTGCTTCCTCCCCAGCACCATCCGTCTCGCCTACCGTGCCCGTCATGGCATCGTCCTCGTCCTCAAAGGTGTGGAGGGGCACTTCGTACAGCCTGATGACCGGCTTATTCGGGTCCTTGACCAGGACGTATTTCCTGTCCTTTGCGGGAGCTGCTTCTTCCTTCTCACCATCTTCTTCTTCGTCCGCGGCATCGGACATGCTCCGGACGAGGTCGACGATGGTCCGCACGATACCCCACCCGTTGGAAAAGCCCAGGTTCATCTGGCTGGCGAACTCGCGCGGCTTGTAGCCGACGACGCCCAAAATGACGTGGTTGGCCGCGCTCTTGGGGTTGGCTCTCGACACGAAACCGAGCTTCATTTGATCCGCCTTGGCCAGAATGGCCTGGGTCGTCCATCGGGCCAGTTTGCAGCTGTTGTTCTTCATTTCCGTGGCGACCACGGCGCCTCTTTGGGAGGTGAGTTTGGTGCGCCAGTCCAACGCGCCGCCGCTGCCTTGGGCCTTGTGGTCGAATTCGTTGAGCGCCTTCAGCGTGAGGAACTGGTCCTCCCCGGAGATGTTGTTCTTGATGGCGGCGTCGAGCTCTGTGCGCACGATCAGGTTCAGCGGTTCTTCGTCGCGCTCGAGCGAGAGGTCAAAGCGTCGGTATTTGTAGGCTTTCGAGGCGAGCGGGTCCGTCTCCTCGGAAGCACTGTAGAACGGGTTGGGGTGAGGGAATTCGACCTTGCTGTTGGGGTTTTCGATCACGGTCTGGAAGGCAAAGTTGTGGTTGATCATTGTGGCTTCCATGGCGAGGTTGGACGGAGTATTGATGCTGTCCGGTTTGACTCCGGTTTGTTGCTGGGATGGCGTGGTTGACGTGTCTGCTTCCAGTGGGGCATCGGCAGCATTTTCATTGACCGTGACAAGGTCGATCGAACTGTCGGGTCGCTTGTCCAGGAAGATCTTGTCCCCGTGCTTCAGGATCACAATATCCCAGCTGTACACAGATCGAGTCGCGCACATGAGCATGGAGAGGATATCTGAGGTGGCGAAGATGATGGCCTCGTCTTTCTCGGCCAGTTCTTGGATCACGGGGTCGGCGGACGTGGTAACATTGTATGCGGCTCGTTCAAGGGACTGGAGCTTGCGTTCGGTGTTCTTGACTGGAGCTTTGTCGTACGAGCGGTCGTAATAGTAAAGGAATCCGTAGCTGTCGATATCTTCCCCGTCGGGAGTCTCGAGGTTGAGTTTTGCGAGTCGGTTAAAGTCGATTTCCTCCTTCATGACCCAGTCGGGGCGGATGTTGACTGAAGCATCACGATTTCGTTGTGGCTTGTCGTAGTCTCGCCACCCGAATCGACGACCTCTGCCGCCTCGACCGCCCCTCTGATCAAAAAACTGTCCTTGCTGTTGACCTCCAGTGCGACCTTGTCCAACTCTTTGGAATGCTCCTCTTGCTCCACGTTGGGCAGCTCCTCGCTGGCCTCGCCCACGGAAGACTGTCACTCCGCCTCTACCAAAGCCACGGCCCTTTGCGGTCGTTCTTGCGTTGTCGACAACGGAGAAGGTGGCTTCATCTTCGGCAGCTTGCACGGCGAAAAGAGAGGATGTGCCTGCGCCATAAATTTGTTGGTCTGGACACCTCTTGTTAGTTACGTCTTACTGTCGGAATCGAAAAAGATCTCACCTCTGTAATTTCTCCCATATTGTCTGCCGCCTCGGTCTCGACCTTCTTTGCCTTCTTGAGTCCAGTCGGCCATGCGACCTAGTTTGTCACTCTTGGAGTATGGGGCGTAAGGGACGCCATCGAGAGTTGTGGCGGTGGTCGTTGCTGGTCCCCATTCGTCGTTGACGCTAATTCCACTAATTGTTTCCGCAAGACTTATCTCGGACATATTGGATGCTGGACAGATGTCAATGTCTCGAGCCTCAATTTGTTCGTAGACAAATGTTCGACCAGCGCACGAATACCTAGGTAGTGGGGTGTAAATGCGAGCGCCAAGCAAGGAAATCTGTTTGCCGCGTTTTATTCTGTTTTTGGGGTAGCGCAGCGCTGCCCTTTGCAGACCGTCTCTTGGTGGCGCATCACCTTCTATCACCACCAATAATATATTGTGGTACTGTACGCGAACTAGTGAAACTAAAAGCAGCGCGGAAAGTGACAGCCTCGCGTAAGGTACAAATTTTGGATTGTCAACTGGTCCCTCCTTGATGCTATCTCTCTTGCTGCTGTTCTCCCTTCCTCACCCGTGAACTGTTCAATCGCTGCCAGACTGAAATAGGGCACATCTCGAGTGCACCTTTGCCAGATCCATCTCACGTATTCAAAGAGTGGTTGAAGAAATCACCCCATCCTCCTCGAAACACAGTGCACAAGCGCGATCAGGCTGCCTCTTCTATGCAGTGGCGGCTGCTCACAATGAGTTGACTAATGTCATTGATTGTAATCCAAACCTCATCTCAAGAATACAAGTCTTCTTGCCACGGTGACATGCTGGGAAAGCGCGAAGGTAACCATCTTTCCCACCAGGGGTTTGTCACACGCTTCGGTCCCATATCAATCATATCGTTTGCCTGCGGGTCTACCATGCTCCTAGTACCTAGGTAGGTTTAGGACGATTCACCGCCGGCTGCTGTTCATGTTGTTACACGCTCGCTTCGTGTATCATGCGTGCAACCCTTCAGCTGGCTGGCTTCGTCATCTTCAGCCGCTCAACCCAGCCTTACTCAAAGTGGAAGCCCGACCCGTCAACCTCCATGTTCACCGTTCATCCCTACCGTTCCTACGCACAGCGTGTATAAATACACACGGTTGCTTCGGATCTCAGGGTCGAGGTCTCCTCGACCCTGTACAGAGAGGCCCAAACCAAGCAAGGACGCCGGTCCTGTTACTCTATATCCAAACTCGTTTTGATATCGAACCAACTTCAAGGTTGGCCCCTAGGATAAGATGTTCTGCACCCTGTGGATATTCCATCTGTATCGGTGAAGGGTGATCGTCTGCTGCCTTGGTGGTATAGGAACTTGCGGTAAGTATCAAGGGTAGCTGACACAACAGGTGATCACCTGGTGTTGCCTTGCTTATGGGTATACGGGCTGATATGCACGTTCGTCCAAGGCCACCCGCGGGCTGAGATGCATGTCGCGGTGGTCCTACAGTCCCTACCTTCACCGCAACTGGGACTACAATGACTATATAAAGCCTGTGTCCCCCTTCTTCAACAGTGCATATGCGGTTCTTATCAAACCAACCTGTAACAACAACTCGTCAACCTCGACTACCTACTACATCCGACGACCATCCTTGTATCTAATACCTCAAAGATGCGTCTCATCGCCTTCATCACCATTGCTTTCGCAGCGGTGAGCTTCGCACAAGCATCATGCCAAACACGCAACGACTGTCCAGGAGATCAAGTCTGCGCTAGTACGCTTTTTTCTTTCTTTCCTCAATCTAAGCACCTCACCTGTTCATTACCCCAACTCACACCGTCGAAATCCTGATTCTTTCCCTATTCTCTCCCCTCACACACATAACTAACATGCTGCTTGGTGTCCAGGTTGCCCAGCACAGGAAGAACTGGAGATGTTTTGCGTCGAGCCCACTGATTCGATCTGTGCTGGGAGGGGTAACTGTGACGGCGGCGGCGGCTCATGCGATGTTTGTGGGAACCCGGGAGACTTCTCGAGATTGACGCCGTGCTCCGGGATTGAATTGTAAACGTGCACAAGAATAAGTTTGGGGAAAAGAGACGTGTTGACGAGGTCCAAACATCAGAAACGATAAGGAGGGTCTTCGTCTACTTGCTCAGGATGACAGCCCAGGTTCAGGTATTAGACGGCAATTATACATCGCCCACAATCACGTTTTCCTTCCCTGGTGCCCAATCATGGCACACATCGGCGTCCCTTGGTTCTTCTTTCTGTGATCAGCGCAATTATTTTATACATTTGTCTACCTTTCTTCGCCCATTAACCTTTCGATTCCTGTCTAGCCCCAGCAAGCGTTCACTTGTCCTTTCTATTCAGCTTCCTTGAGCTTCAGCCTCGCCAGCTCCGCCGGCGTGGTCGGTTTCCTGCCCAACAACCACTCCAAGACGCCCGGGTTGCCCAGCAGACCCCTCTTGTTGTAGTAGAGCAACATGTGCTCTGGCGCGTCCCTGAAGGACTGGTCCACGTCATCGGCCTTGTCAACCCCGTAAGTCATCTTGACGAACATCTCCGCAGCCTGCTCGAAGGGAGTGCGCTTGATGTCGAAGCGCTTGCCCATAACGGCGGAGATGGACTCGACGTACTCGGTGGTGGTGATCGGAAGGGTGCTCACGAGCTGGTACGTGGCGAAGAAGTGGCGCGCGCGCTCGCGGACGACCTTGACGGCGACCTCGGCGTGGTCGCGCACCGCGGAGAAGGACATGGGCACGGATGGGTTGAACGGCGCCATGAAGGTCCCCGGTTCCCCGCTCGACGAGTCCTTCTGGCCCAGCAGCTGGCCGATGAAGTTGTCCATGAACGTGCTCGGCTGCAGGATCGTGTACGACAGGCCGGACTCGACGAGGTACTCCTCGATCTGCCGCTTCTGGTCGTGGTGCAGCAGCTTGCTAGCCTCCGGATGCAGGGCGGAGCTGAAGACAAAATGGACCGCGCTGGGCTTGGACGGCGAGACGTCATCTGAGTCTGACCCGTTCGAATCTTGCTGCTGCCGGCGTCGACGAGACTCCGCCACAGCGGCATCGACCATGTTCATCCCCAGCGTGACCTCGTACGGATGAAAAGGCGGACCGACGTAAAACACAGTGGTGGCGCCGTCCACGACATCCGCGCACTCCTGAGGAACCTGGAGATTCGCCCGCACGACCTGGGTGTCGGGATACTGTTCCGCGAGCTGCGCCCGCGACTTCTCAGAGTTGACCACCAGGCGCAGCGACGACTTGCCGTACAAAAGCGGGATGATCTGGGTGCATTGCCTGCCGCTCGCGCAGGTCAGGACAATGAGCTCCGACTCCGACTCCGAGCCCTCCCCCTCGCCCGTTCCCTTGCCCGTACCCGTGCTCGTGGCGGATGCCATTGTTCTCCCTTTGAGACCTAGCCTTTCCATTTTCTTTTTTCAAAGTTGGTTTATGGGGGTCTAGGAAGTCAGGTCGGTGGACAGGGTTTCACAGTGGAGACACACTTTGACACTTGAGGATGAAGAAATATATATATATACCAAGATCTCCAGAAACCTTGACACCCACTTGTACCAGCCCACGCATATGTACATACTCGTCTATGAGGTCCACGTGTATCTTAGCGATCCATACGTAATATTCAGGTCGGGACTTCGGCGACCGACACGTCGATCGCGTCGATCTCGTCGATCATACATAGTTCTGTCAGACCCCCATCCTTTTCTTATATTGCATGTGCTCGCTCTCCGTAAGGTGTGGGGATACAAGTTCCTGTAATATTGCCCTGGCGCCGATTCTCTGCCCAGGTATTCACAGCCTATCTGTAACGACTGGTAGGGGTGCCAAAACTGAAAACTGAAAACGTAGCAAGAATACATGGAATCACACCTTGGAGCTCTGCCTGTTTCGACAAGAGTCAAGACCCCAAACATCAACTATCTGGATACCCGGACCAACAAGGGCAGTACATCTCATATCTGAGACAGCCATCCACAGAAAGAATCCGAAATCATCCAGCAACAAAAATACGCTGGTAGCGCCTCCGCACAAGCGCAGTGGTCGGCGCCTATATCATTCATCATGAGTACATCTCGTCGATTTCAGCCGTGTAATCCGTCCCCAGTTGGTCATATGTCTCTGGCTTGGTTGCAAAGATACTCGAGAGAGCATCGCGGAGTTCGAAATCTTCCATTACTGCACCGAAGCCATAGCATCGGACTTTGCTTCTAATGGACTCAATCATGCCCAAGACGTCCTCCCTCGTCAGAGTGGCGTAGTTTCGATGACCCTTGAGCGATTGTAAGGCCATTATGGGAGTCACTTGACCAGTCGGGATAGCGCTGCCTTTGAGTGTTTGGCTCAGATTGAGCAAGTTGTTCAAAATCTGGACTGACTCGGCGTCAGGCACTTTGTGCTCGTATGTTGGCACCAAACCGCCGCCCTCCGCGGGAACTCGCGCGATGTGGCTTGGGGGTGGGCAGCTCGCCATCAAGGCATGCCCAGAAAATAGCGCGTCTTCCTCAGTGTTGGGAGAATCCGCCGACCGCCGTACAAGATACTCCTCGTGATCACGACAAGTCTGCTCCAGCCTGATAGCATGTGGTTAGTCTAGACAACCAGAGTATGTGACAGCATGCCCACTCACTTCAAGATGAAATCAATGCCCAACTGGGGGTCTCTCTCGAAAATGCCGGGCATATCTGGCATGATTCCTTCTTCCTTCTTAATTCCGAACTCTTGTATTTCCGGTCCTTGAGGCGAACTTGCGTAGTGAGTGGTCCCAGGTGAGTGTCCTGACACGCTCATAGGGCCACCATTCAGATATGCTTGAGGGGAATAGCCACTTTTGGCGGAAGCAGCAACCGCTCCGTACCCGACCGACCTGGGCCCTATGGATGGAGGACTTAAGGTACTAATCGACGAAGGAGTCATCGAGTTCTCCTCTCGCTTCGGCTTCAGCGCAAGCATGGCTTTCCGATTCTCGAGTTCGTTTTCGAATGCGATTCCCCGAGATGTTAGAACCTCTCTCAACGCCAAGTTCTCCCGTTGCTGATTCTCAATCAGCATCTTTTGCTGCTGAATGGTTGCGTCACGTGTATTCTGCTCGAAGATGAAGACCTCGCGTAGGCGTGCAAGCTCCATTTCTAGGGCTTTAATGTAATTCTCTTTTCGTTCTCGATGCGTTCTGACCGGCCGTCGCCTTAGCAAAGAGTCCAAGGGTAGGAAAGAACTTCGCGTACCTCTGAGCTTGACGGTTCAGCTCCTGTCGTCGGGTTTGCGCGGGTTTACTGTCTGGTTTAGGACCTCTCCTCTTGGCAGGTTGCCCGTCTAGCTGGGGTCAGCTTAAACTAGAATATGTGAAACCACGGATGCAGACCTCTTGTGATTCTTTTCTGCATCCCGCCAAAACCCTTAAGAAATCCCATGTTCACGGTGCCGCCGGGCGTTTTCGCATCACTGGGAACTCCATTGTCTAAGTATGGATGACTAGTCAGCAACTAGACTGGCAGGATTCGAGAACAACAAAGAAAAGCCTTCTGCGGTTGATTCGAGCATCCCTTCACCACGTTTGTGTTTGACCAACTGAGTCCCCAGTAAAATGGCATAGCAAGCTCAGGATACGCGCGTGAAGATCCCTCATCAAGCGCCGCACCCAAACATGCGACCGCCCCGGAGCTAGAAAATTGGAGAGGGGCGAGACGGCAGCGACTCACGATAGGAAGCACCAGGCGTATAATCTTGACCTCCCCAAGGGTCCATCTCGGGAGATTGTTGCATGTTAGATCGCACCCAAGCCGGGACGCGATGAGATGATAACAAATAGGCCTGCTTTAGCAGCTATAGTAATTAATTTGCAATCCGCGAGAACAGAAAGTTGGGGTAGATTCTTGGACTCTGGGCCCGATTGGAAAGAAGTCGGCCGCAAAAGAAGCTCGGAATTGGAACGAGCCGGTTAGAGCTTGTCGAGGATAGAAGGCCGTAGTTCTTTTCCTCGGAGAGGCCACGCACGCGTTTAGGCCACAAATGCAAGTGAAAGCCAATGACGAAGAGATCGGATTGAGGATCTGGCAATTAGCATGTCGTTCTGAGACTAATCATGAGACAAGGGTGGAAGTGCGCCGTGAAAAGCCAATGTGGACGCAGCAGGATCTGGATGGAGGGGTCGAGCGTGAGGCGATATTTTATGGCGGGACAAGATTGCTGATCGTGGTAGGGAAAATCTGTGCAACAGTGCTGTCGCAGATTTCCTGGCGAGAGCGATTCGCAAGCCGACAGCGGACCGATGGCGGTTGTAGTCAATGACGGCAGAATAAGACGTGTTCGAAAGTTGTGAAAGGCGGAGAGAAGAAGACGTTGAAAGCTGAAACTGAAGCGGCGTGATAGAGCGAAAGGCGGCGAGGCGGAACCGGGTCAATGCGAAGCCCACACGCCCTTGCCAAGATGGCGCTGCGTTGAAATTCGAGACCGGAAGCACAGAAAACGGGCGGATGTCAGAGGACAAAGGACCCTGAGGTGGTCGACTCTTTCCGCTGCTTTAGAGGAGGGACGGCGTAGGGTGGATGCTTCGCAGGGATGGAAACGCTCGTGATGCTGATGCCAGAGGAGCCAATTGGCTGGCAGGATGGTGTAGCGCAGCGTGTAAGTATACCTAGGTTGGCGGCGAGGCGGGTCTATATCGCTGCACCTGGGGACCTTGAAGCGGCGGATGCAGGCACGCAGGGTTGTAAGGGGCGTTTGAGTAGAGGAAGAAATTCCCCTGCAGGGGCTCCAGCTCGTCTTGGTGCTGCACCACAGAATACGGGGATGAGGAGACCGGCGTTTCTCCAGACGAGGACGATTGACGATTGGTGGCAAGGGAGGGCGATGATTGTCGGAGGATGGCTAGATAGTGGGATGTGTAGCGTTACACGGTTGGGAGACAACTTAGGACGGACGCGAGCTGTGCAACGTCTGTCGTGATCGGATGCGCAGGCGGCGAGGCGGATTGAGGTCGACGGCAATTAAGTAGGTAGGCAGGGAGGCAGGTTGGTGGGTTGTCGGTCGATCATGCTGAGTGCTGCGGATGAGCGAGAGTAGAGGCACCAGGGAGGCAAGGGTGCTTCTTCCTTATCCTGTTCAATTTTTTCGTGTGGGTATAAACGAAGTGTACTGTCAGCACCCGAAGCCAGTGAGAAACACCACTCACTCATAGCCCATCAGAATGCATATGTCCCAGGCACAGCCACAGTGACAATCGTATACCTACCTACCTAGGTAGGCAGATAAGCACTTAGCAGCCTTGGGCATGGATGGGCAGAGCCCAGAAACACCAGGGTCATTCATTCATCCGGCTCGCCGGCTCGCCGGCTGCGCCCACAGTAGACTCAGTGTAGAGACGTTGGCGAGTCTCGGCCTGGATGGCACTAGGTATAAGGGTCTACCTAAGTAGCGAGGTAGCGAGGTACCTTGGTAGGCACAGGCCCACCCGTGCTAGGTCAAGTGCCTACACGCAGTTAGTAAGGCTAACGAGACCCACGTCGTATAGGCGTCATTGCGTCAATTGTGCCCGCTAAATGGTGCCCGGAAAGGCTAGTGACGCCCTAAATCGCCAGGTAAAGAAGAGCCTCGCAAGCCCGGACGAGGCCCCGGGATAATCACTCAGCCCAGAAGCCGGCGCGGCAACGTATAATAGAAATCAGGACAGACCTTGCAGAGATCTTGCCGTCGTCTTCATACATCATGCCTGCCGGATCCGGTGAACTTGTAGAGCTTGCAACACCTGGCAAAGGAAGTTATAGTAGCAGAGTGGTTGAAACATCTGGCAGCGGTGCCGCGATCGATCTCAAGCATTTCACACGGACGTCGACAATCCATGCAGCCTCTTGTCGACCAGAATGCACTCACCAGCTGCCCCTTGCCTGCGTCTACCCACCTAGGTTCCCTGAGTCTCTCAGGCTCCGTGATCGTTGATGGCGAGCGACCTGTTCTCGACCGTCTTCACGTCGTTCCGATCCCATTGCTGTTCTGGCGGGTTCTTGGGCCGAAGCCTTATGTTCCCACGCTCTGTTGCACCAGTCGTTGTGCAACATTCCTCGTTTGGCGATAAGGAAATTTCTTCCTCAACTCTCGTCACTGTGTGGCACGGCCATCATGGTCTGGTGCGAATAATTACCAGAAAAGGGATTTGGCGATCGTTGTGTACCATCGTACCTCGCCCTTGTCTGACCTGGCAATCCGCACTCAGTTTCCAGGGCTTTGAGGCTCTCAATTCTTTGCGGAATCACAGCTGTCTTCAATGTACGGTTTCCAGAGCCCACCAGTCGTCAATCTGCCAGTTGTTCGTTGGTCTTCTCTTTTTCGCGGCAACATGTTTTCAAAATTGAGGCATAATAGTGTGGGTGCAGAAGCCTAGTACGCAGCATGGGAGTACCTGAAGATGCTATCGGCTGTGTATATCGCATTGGGGCTCATTCCTCATGGCTTTACCTAGCGAACCGGAATTTTTCTGAGTCGATGCCATATGCCCGTTTTGTGAAGGGACAAGTTCCATGACGTGGAAGTGGCTCTTGCCGGTCTGCATTCACAGGGATGGTGCACTCGAACCCACTCTGGACAACTCAACAGAAGTCTTTGCGAGGAGGAGTGAACGGGCATGGTAATAAAGAAATGTCTTGGAGGAAAATATGGAAAATCGATCACCTGGTAAGAGAAGCATCTCTGGATTGGACTGCTGATTATCGACCAGGTCCAGTACATAGCATTCACAGCAACCTGCTACGCTAACTCAACAGCAGCCGCGGAATATCTTGAGGGTAGGTACTAGGTATATAAATCACCAACGGGGAGAAAGCGGCTGACAGGGGGGGGATACTGATTAATTATTGACACAGAGTACAGAGATGCATCCCTGGCCTGAAGATATGCATCCCGCACGTCCTTTGCATACCAAATGATCTGACCATGGCCATGATTGGTGGGCTGGGCCAACTCATTCTCGGTCCGCAGTCTTGGTTTGGCTGAAATTTGGAATTCAAACACGAGCCACTGCCACCATTGCCTCTTGGAGATGCCGACGAAGACGCAACACGTTGCTACACCAACTTCCCTCGTTCGCATTCGCTAATCGGAGACGGTGAATTGACAGTCCCATAAGTGAAGTGGGATCCTGCACTACCATCTTGGGTAGTTGGCTGGCTTCCCTCACTTCTGATCCTCTTCTCTCTGACGCCGATTTTGTCCCATTGGCCAAACATGGGCAAGAGTCGCAAGTGGTTTCTACAATGGAGACGGTCGAGAACGAACTCCTAGTCCATATCAATGCCCCCAGCACCGCACGAGATGACCGACGCTACATCTCCATCGCAAAATCAATCCTGGACTTCAGGCCGGCTATAATCACCAAAGTCTCTGGCACCGATCCTCCTTCGCTGCTCTCTGCTTGTGGAGAGGAGTTTGATGGTGATGATGAATACGAAACATTGGGTGATACTAGGTTGGTATCCAGTGTCTGCAGATCAGCGTAATGTGACTTATATCGGAATGACCCCGCGGCTCACGACACGGCGCATGAGCATTGGTTCTGTGAGACTACTTTGTATTGCTACAGAAAGACTTACTATGAAATAGGAGATCCTTTCCACATCGACCAAACCTGCCTCGTCCGAGCACTGCTCCCGAACTGACCTCAAGCGGCCACCCGGCGAGACTACCTCGAACTTTGGCAGCCCGAAGACGTGCATCTTCTGAGACTTCTTCCATCAGCAACTCCTTCCCTGCACGTTGCAAGCCGAATACCGGCGGTGCTGATGTGCGCACACAAAGTGTCGAGAATACGTCTGCCTCTCTATCGCAGTCTCAGCCCAGAGTAGCTCCGAGCGAACCCCCCCTGGCTCCCAGAAACAACGAGCGGAGACAAAAGAAGCCACGGACGGAAATTGAGTATTGCAATCTCGAGTTTGTCGAGCGGTCTGCACCCATAGCTTCTGATGGCGATGAGACAGATTCCACTGAGTCTGCATCGTCGTCTCAGCTAAGGGTCTACGGTGCTTTGAGGGTGGAAGCCCGCGAGCCCCAGCCAGCAGACACTCGCTGTGTGATCGATTTGACATCTCCAAATCGCCACGACAGCCCAGTCTATGTTGGTCCCGGCGCTCGACAAGTGGAGGTGAACAGTTACCACCCTCCAGCATCGCCCATAACCAGAAACGCAGATTCTGCTCCCGGTCTCCAGCAAGTCGACCAGCAGATAAGACTCCTGCCTGCAGAGGTCCGATCTCCGAATCCCCAAGGTGGGCAGCCGAAGTTTACGACGCATATTACCAAGACCTTGAGGAAGCTGACAAGCGGGGAGGCACCCTTGCTCAAGCATTTCCGGCCCGCATTTGTTTATCGCGACGTCAATGTTCTTGAGCGGGGATACTGGCAATTCTCGGTCAAAATAGCAGAGGAGAGCATCGTGAAAGGATCAAGACAACCTCCGCGGGCCACACTGAAACTTCTGGGGTCCACTGCTCGCAAGAAACGCAATAACTCTAAAGTTGTGCGGGATCTAACGAGCCCAAATCATGCTCGGTGGACTGAGGATGAATTCCTGCAGTTCTGGAAGAATATGGCTTTGGTCGTTGAATCAGGCAAGGTGGGATGGGCGACACGTATGACAAAGGAGCTGGAAGGTGACAATCTCTGGAAGATCAGAGTATTCACCTGGGGAGAGTTGCTGGGCCATATCTGGATGTTGTTTTTGGTTCTTTCGGATAGGCTGATCAGGAAGGCATCGATGGAATGGATCTCCGGGGATGGCGCAGTGGTCGTTGGCATGTTAGATGGCAAACATCAGTCTGGGGTATGGATGAGAAAGGGGCCGGAGGGGGCGTTAGGGGTTTGGGGTTTGGCATAAGGCTGAGGCAAGATGCGTGGGTTGGTTTGAAGATCGACGTTGATGTTTTTGGGGGTGGCACGGGCCACGGACAATGTACGTAGTATTCTGGGATATCAGTCTCTATCCATCCAGTTTAATAAGATTGTTCTTGTAGGATCCAGCATTTCTTGTCACCAGGCACGGCTGCTACTCGGTTTACGAAGCAGTTCCGGATCATCATCGCTCAGGATATGGATGCGGACGGTTGGAGCGTGGGTAGCATGGGCCGTGGATAACCTCGTGGTCGGGTCCGGGGCTTGACACAAAGAAGCGGGAACTGGTGGGATGATTGGGATGATTGGATGATTGGATGGATGGAGGCATGGAGGCATGGATTGGCATTGATGCAGGATGCAGGATGGTGGAGGATGGATGGGTGGATGGTGAGCAGCTGCGGCTACTACGAGGTACTAGACTTCAGACTGCGCTCGCAAAACCCACGACAAGAAAATCGCATGTGAAACTTGAAGATTCCTGCGGCTTCAGCCATTGCATTGCTGCTAGCCTCCTGTCAACATCTCTTCTCTAGGTGTTGACTTGGTATCAGACATTGGAAAAAGCCTACTGTCAACCCTTCATTCATTCTCACTTCATCTCGCGCTCGCTACACCTTCATGACTACCACCTCTTGCCGCATTCTACCAGCTCCGCGGCCCGTTCTCCAGCCCGTGTCAACACTTCCCAACAGATCCTCCAACTATTTCTCAGGCCTCACTTCATCGTTATCTGCAACCTACGACCTCGACTCGATGCCGTCTCCCGTTTGACAACTGTTGTCTCCTCCTGGCACTATCTTGTCGTTCTTCGTCACGCCTCCCCTTTGTCATCTCGCCCTCACCTCGCCCTCACCTCTTCGTCAACTTTGTCAACTTTCCGTGACATTCACCAACCCGCCGAACTAGCTCCTCCTATTCTGGTATAAATACATCGACTCGACCGGTCTAATTACTGGTTATATCTCACAAGTCTAGGCTGCTCGGCGCAGCCTAGGAGAAGAGGTGGAGGCGTTGCGTGATTGATGTTGGCGACTCAGAGAATGTCGTCCCATGGCGGACAACAGAACTTCCCCTTCGGCTGTACGGCCTACACCTCTCATTTCTCTCCCTCCCTTCACTTCCCTGTCGCTGGAGATCCATTTACTTACGCCTATTCATTAGACCAACCCGAAAACCTCCACGGAATCGGTTTACCTGAGTTCATGACCCCGGGACCCCCTCCCGGCCAGCCTTTGCTTAATGCGCACGAGAATGAGGACCTGGACAACTTCTTCCAGGGCTTTGATCAAAATGCTGCGGCCAATAAAGCACTTACGCATGCTCAGTTCAATCCCCGCCCCGGTCATGACCAACTCTTTGACATGCCTCCCATGTTCGTGGGTTCGGATACCGCGCTGGCCCAGCGGTCCATCATCGACCAGCATCAGCTAACAGGAGCTGGATTCCCATATGGCGATGGCTTTCTAGGACATGACATGAACACCGTCTCACAGACGACTCCACTGGTCAGCGGAATGCACGGTGTTTCCTACACTGATGCAACATTCCCAAATCCCCTCATTGCTCAACTGCAATCCGCCGCATCAATGCAACCGGCATACACTCAAGGTTGGCAACAACCCTATCCCCCTCATACCGCAATTACCATGCCTCCAGCAGGTCGCCTGGGGATGGACTTTGGCACGGACTCTCGGTTTCAACCAACTGGCTATGCAGCGCCTCACAATCCCTTGGATCCTGACCTGCCCCAAGGACTGCAGATGAATAACCCCATTGGCGAATGGCTGGAACCAGCAAGTGGAAGCACTACTCAGCCGAACACCCAGCCAAATACCCAGCCATCAAGTCCCACTTGGTCAAAGAAGAGAAATTTCGACGACTTTGCAAGAGATCAACTGCCTCGCAATGGCGTGGTCGCCTCTGTCCAGCAAACTACCATGACTCAACCGTCTCCATCGCAATCCAACCCTCGCAGGAAACGCTCTGAGACCAAGACTGAAAAAAGAACATCAATATCTCAGCCACCAACACCGCTATCCAATAGCAAGCCGCACACCCCGCTCAACCCTGACAAGCCAGGAATAGGCGAGCAGGAGCCAGATCCTGAGGCAGAAGCCGAAAGAGAGGACGATAATGACACCACAGAACAACCCAGGTCACCCTCTCCAGCACCCTGGCCAGCGTCGAAAGCTCGTCCCCCTAAAAATACAAAGGCTCCTCCACCAAAACCGCCTCGTAAAAAAACACCAATCAAACCCAAATCAAAGGTCCAGCGTCCCAGCATCACCTCTGCCCGCGTACCTCTTAGTGTCGAGCAAAAGAAAGCCAATCACACAAACTCGGAGCAACGACGTCGGGATGCAACAGCTCGTGCATATGCTGAATTGTACGACTTGGTGCCTGAACTCGAAGAAATGGGGAAGCAGAGTACAATGAAAAAGCTCGAGGTTGTTGTAGCCAAGGTCCAGCGTGTGAAGCAGAAAGTCGAAGAGCTAAGAGCCAAGGTCGGCATCGACCCTATCACTGGGAGGCCAGTCAGTGGTTCAAGTGGAGGACAAGGAATGCTCTTGTACAGTGACGTTCCGGGGTGGCGCCAATGACCGATCAAGGATATGAATTCTCTCCCGCTGCACCAGTGCAAGAATACCCATGTATTCTCACCATCCAGCGGCAGGTGAACAACTGGACGTTGCCGGATGACCTACTTCGCACACCGGGAGTTGAACCAGCCATTAGGTCAACCAGAAAGAACCAAACGAAGTGACGACCGCTTTACGATACCTTTTCCAATCTGTGCAAATCGCTTTGCCCTACATATTTTCTCACCTTTTCCACTTCTTCAAAGATACCCACTTAAGATTATCCTAGCTTTTGACAACGCAAACGGCGCGTTGGACAGAACATTTGTCGCCAAGGGGCGGATTATTGATTAGGAGATTTCTGACCAGGTTTGAAAAAGAAAAAAATGAACAAAAGAAACGTTCCCGCCCTGTCGGCAAATGCACTGAAAGCACCGATGCGACATCATTTTGAGCACGCCTCTTGCGGGAGATTGAGAGAGTGTGTTGAGACGATGGTCTTGGTCAAATAATGTCCGCACCCATTCTCGCATTCTCCAATGGACAAGAGATGGCAATGGATGACAGTCAAGATGGAGGAGTTCCAAGCGACGTTGGACATGTCAAGGAGAGTTTGACGCACCACACGGACGCGAGATGGAGCGGAATGGTGTTTTCCCCTTTCCGCAAAAATCTCGAAGTGCTGGCTGGCATTGCAAAACATGACCGATTTTCGCCTTGGACTCTCAAAGATTTAGTTGGAGAGACAGGACATGCTAATATCTTGTACAAACAATGGAACGCTGAAAAAACAATTTTTCCATTTCCTTCCTTGAGCTAAGCGAGGAGGTGATCCCCACTGCTGGATTGCAGGTGGTTTCATGATGAAATCTGCAGCTTGAGGTCCTTGTTCCCCGTATTTGCTTGATATTCCCCCACTGTGGTAGCCTTTCTGACCCATGTATGTATGGATGGGGTCCGTGAACGAACCAATGTTTGGAAAAAGTTGCAAGAGGATGAAAGCCGGATGGCAATACATGCCCGCATTGCACCTCCCTCTTCTCCCACCCACCTACCCTTCCGGAGTGATGGAATGCATCAAACGTCCCAGTGCAGTTTCCGACATCTCTCGCGGAGGACCTGTGCCAGCATTCCCGCATCGGCGCCGCCGCCTCGTGCAGTATCCATCATCGCCAGGACGTCCGCTATCTCTACGGCCCTCTTGGCCCAGAACTGCGGTCTCGTGATGGCTTGTCCGCCTTCCTGGTGCTTATCCCCTTGATCTTGCCCAACGCAGACATCGGCTGCCGGGGATTCCGATGTCGACGCCGACGCCGACGCGTAGAGATCGATAGATAGATTGAACAGCGTGGCTGCGAGCCACTCCAGTTCTTCCGGCGGATACCCTTGATCTTGATCAGGAGGAGCGGACCGCCGCCCCAGATTCAAGGCATGCTCAGTGATTTTGGCCACGGTGCGCAGACCTTTCGCTTTCGCTTCCCTCGTGCCGCCCGCGTTCTTGGATTCGTGGTGCGCCTGGTGCGAATACTCCCGCCCATCAAGAACAACCTGAACCACACACCTCACCCATCTTGCGGCTTGGCTGGTGTCGTACCCCGGGTGGTTTCGCAGCCCCGATATCAGCTTTGCGATCAAGTTCGTTGTCGTGGAGATTGGCAGCACAGATCTAGTTGGACCTTCCTGACCAAAAGGATTGTTGTTCGAGTCCATAAAGGCGGAGAGGATCATGTCGGCAAAGACCGAGTACGTTTTCTGGGGTGGGTTCAGTTGCACCATCTGATCGACCAGTCTAGCAAGGGAGAGTTCATCATGAAACTGAGCTTCGCCAGAAGGAACATCGGCTGTGCTTGTACATCCCAGGAAGAGCACTGCTTCGAACGCTAGGGGAGCCAAGGCAATGAGTTTCTGCGCGATGGCCTCGAGAACTTCCTGCTTGATGAGGCCCGTACAGTGGCTCTCACCCAAGGCATTCCTGTGGCTTTGAATTTCAAAGTAGTTGGCGATTACATTCCTGTACAAAGTAGACTTGATTTCTGTCGGCGAAGATGGTGGGGCCTTGCCGGCATATGCAGTTTTCGGAATGGCTTCAGTTGTGTCCGAAGCAGCGGCGGCCCTCGCCTCGACAGTGTACAGGATTGCCTGAATGTACTTTGCGTCGACTTCATGGATGAGTTTCTCACATCGGACCTGGACCGGAGCATGGGTAGGAAGGTGTATCTAGACAGGTGATCAGTATCAGGAAAGGAAAGAGCCACAGATGCACGTACTTGGCACGAATAGTATAGAAGATCGATGACATATTTCGCCGGCCATGACTGGAGGTATTGAACAGCAGTATTGTAGCTAGTCTTCTCAAACCACCTGCTTTCTGGCAGTTGAGATTCCAACGTCGCTCTTTCGCTACGCTGTTTCTGGGTGAATAGTGCAGCTGGGCTGGGTCAGCTATGGCAAACATGAGCTCTAGGTCTCATACCGGACTTGAAGATGCCGCATAGCCGAGACAGGAGCTCTTCGTCAACATCGTCAGCTTCCGAAACTGCCAAAAGGAGAAGACGAGCTGTACATCTCCTCAAATTAACAACAAGTTAATGTGTTGTTCATTCCTGTCTCACCTGAGAAGGGCGGATGCATCGATTTCCGCGGGTAGATTGTCTTTGTACTTGTCCAGAATGCGCTGGAGTAGTTGCGCTCCCTGGAATTTGCTACCGTATCGGGTTGCTTCTGAAACAGCGGCAAACAATAGTTTGTTCCGGTCATCGTGGACGGTGGCAAGGGACGCTAGTGTTGATCTCGCTGCCCGGCCATTACTCTCACAAATCACATGGCCAGGGACAGGCGGTCTTACCGTCAGCTTCATCCTCACGCCGCAGAGCGAGGCAGTATCGCAGATATCGGGAGAGCGGGTGCTGTCTTCTTGCTGGCGGCATCTTTTCGAGGGTGGCATAGGCAGCTTCAAGGTTACAGAGATCGATTTGACATTTGACAATTTTCCTGAGGCCACACATCAGTAAGCGAGAGGACCGAATAGACACGACAAGTGTCAAACCTCTCAATTTTCCCGACGTTGTTGTCTCCAGCCTTGGCCAACAATTGATGTAGTGCAACCTGGCACCATTTGGTCGTGTTATCCTTCAACCCCTTGTCGAAGGTATGTTCAATTTGCTTCCACAATAGCTGCATTATCAGCAGGATTCCCTGGTGATAGCGATAGCAGAACCTACAATCAGTGCGCCATGAGTCGCCTCCGCACTAAGGGCTCTGTTCCAAGCTTGTTGGATCTTGTCAAATGCTTCCTCGAGGGATAATGGGTCGATATTGTCGTGATCACTGCTTTCCACAGTCATGAGCCAGATCAATGTGACGATGGCGTTTTCAGTCCATGTGTATTCGTCACTTGGGGCAAGTCGCAGGACAATGTATGACTCCAAGACTCGGATAGCATGTGAGGTGCTGATTTCGGTCAGCTTGACTCCTGCATTGCTTGCTAGTCGCACCTCAGAGTTTTGAGATGATGCACATAGTGCAAGATTCTGATGGCCATAAGAAAAGCACATATCACCCGTTAAGAGCTAACTCACAACTTATGATTTGAGTGAATTAAATGAACAGATCGCACAACATTTAATAGATCTTCGGACATCAGGGACAATCATCGACGGCTTAATGGGAGGAACGGCCTTACCAGCAGAGAACGCGTCCGGATTGGCAGACGGATCTTTTGCAGACAGCTCTAATTGGAGGAGGATGACAGGAAGCTTGTGGCCGAATTCCTGGAACTTTTAGATCCTATCCGCGCCGCAGTTTAAGATGGGAACAGGTTACCTCGCGAAGTCCCTGGAGGATTTGAAATGCCTCTTGACCAGCTTGCGGCTCGTTGATCGCTAGAAGAGCTCGGACTGCTGGACGCATGAGTGTTGTCGCCAACGTAGACGAGCATTTTCCCCACCGCAAGTGTGTATGAGGGCAAGTCTTAGATCAAGGATATCCACATCCTCAATCTGGGTTCCACATTCAGTCGTGAGTTGGAAACCTCTCTTCAGCCATTTCACGGCCAGATTGTGATTTTTCTGGTTGAGCTGATCATTGCCGATCTCGTAGCATAGGTCAAGAAGTTCTCCGATCCGAACAGAACATAACTGAGGTTTGAATGCCTCAAGTTGGCTGTAGAAATGCTCGGCTAGGTCTAGTCGTCCTTGTTTCCATGCCTGTTTCTTTAGCCGATACCCGTCCAACGTTTGGGGTTGCAGACCAATATGATGCGCATCAACAAGAATTGTGCATTCAAGCTTTCCGTGATTCTTCCGCTATCGAACTCTTCGTGGTCGGCCCTCTTGAGAGGAGCTTCTAGTTTTGAGGCCAGCTGTTCGATGACCTTGGAGGCGATGTCAACCAGGCCGGCATCTAACGAAAGCGCCAAGGTCAGGCAAACGGCTATGCCACTGGCACCAGAGATCCTACCAAGACAGCTTCTGCTGGCCCTGAGTGCACTTTTAAACAGTCGAAGTTGGCCTGTGGCTGAGTAAGTCGAATTCTGAACCCAGGACGGTAATGTGTGCACTCTTCCACTTCGAACTCGCTGAACTTTCGAGGAGGAGATATGAGAATGCTCGAACTGAAGGACAAGTCAGATAGAAGCATTTTTGAGGTTAGGGATCATACCCTTTGCCAGGTTGACGCGCAGTTGCGAACTTCCTTCGCTCCTACTCAGTTTGCAGCATGTGTTCCAGAGCACAACGCCCTTGCGGTCGAATTCTAGCCGCTGGCCCGGAGCGAGAGCCTTACGGGGGAGTGGAAGAGCATCCAAGTAAACGGAGAGGTCAGGAAAGCCTTCGGCCGACACGTTCACTTCGTTGCTGAGGGCAGATTCAAGGTGGGAGGTGAAGTCTAATTTATGGTTAGTCGAGTTGGCAGCCGAAACGGTGGCAAGCATACCAAGAATGGATCCAGCCGCACTCGCTTGGTCCTTTGGTGACATTTGAGAAATCTGGCTAAACGCAAGAAGCAGAGGCAAACTCTCTGTGGAAGAGCAAAGGGCCATCGTGAGAAAAGCAGAAGGTGACCGACACGTGACTTCATCATCAATCGCAGCCTTCAAGGGACCACTTCGTACGCAAGACTCAGAGCACCTTGGAGATACTCAAAATCGTGACATTTACATCATCAGGGGCTGCTATACACTACCTAGGTAAACACAGAGGCCCCTATACTTCAACGTTTTCCAGAACTCATGGGCAAGAAATTGCCCACAATCAGCGAGGGTCTGAGGAGAACGGATCGATTAGCGAGATGGCAAAGCCGGAAGACTGCGAGACTTACATATTGTAGTTATCTCTTCGAATCGTGAAGGAGAAGCAGCAGTGGATATCCGCAATGTCAGCGCTTCCCGTGGGATTGCGCAGGGTACAGCTCGTGAGCATAGCCTTTTGCTGTTGGTCAAAGCAAATGGCACAGAACTTCTCCCAGTAGCTGACCAACTGATCTTCGACGATGATCTCATGTATGGCAAGCTTTCCCTGTGCTTTTTGTCAGTCCTAGGCTCGGCCGCTGATGATTCTGTCACTCACATCGCGAAGTGATTCGATGGGCACCTGGATCAATTCTGCCATCTCCTTATTCCCCCTGAAGATTTCGCCTGTCCTTCTCCAGCAGCAGGCTGGGATAGCCATGCTGGCAAAAATCCTGTCGTATTCCATTAAACTCCTCTCAAACCACATCTCCACCAGGACCAGCTCGATATCGGTCAAACTCTGCATTCTCTCTCTAAATTTCGGCCGGAACTGGTCCAACTGCATCAAGATCTTGTGACGCGAATGTGGCTTCATGTGCTTTTCCATGTACTTGTTGAGCCTGGCATATCCATTCACGTAATTGAACGGTCGTAGCATTCCCGCGTCGTATTTGGCTTTGAGGAGCTTTTGCATGCGCTCCTCCGGCGGCTCAGCTCCCGTCGGATCTGCCGCCATCATGTAGTATTTCTCTCGCGCTTTGTCCGATATTGGCTTTACACTCGGCGGTCTTGATATCAGGGCCGCGTGAGCTGCGTTGTTCTGGGCGGTGGTGGTGATGGTGGTGGTGGTGGTGGTGGTCGTTGTTGTTGTTGTTGTTGGGGCACTGTTGACGTGTTCCTGTGGGAGGAGAGTGTCGACACCTGCGGGCGGAAACGAAGAAGCAGCCATAGAGTTCATAAAGGATGGATCATTGAACGGACCCTGGAATTCTTCAGTGGAATACATTCCTGTCTCTTCAAATAGGCTGTTGCTGAGAAAGTCGTTCAACAGGTTGAATTCGTCGGTGACCTCGTTTGCATTGAACATGTAATTTGGATGGAAGGCGTGCATGTCATGAAACCGATTTTGAACTCCGGCCCATGGATCATTATAACCGAAGTCTGCACGTCATTAGGGACGACATCTCTCCCAAAAAAAGATTGAGACACACTTACGAGGATGAGTATTACCATTGATGCCAGCACTCGGAGCAGCTGCGCTCGAACTAGAGACGGCCATGTTGTCATTTGTGGATGGTCTCAGTCCAATATTGTCGTCCTGCAGTAGATTGGGCGTAGAGTCGTCCATCAAGGCGGGACCTGGCAAGCTTGGAGCCGTGGAAAAATCATCCCGTGTAGGAGACTGCTCGTCGGGCCCAGCAGTGTCTGAGTCGGTCTTGGACTTTTTGTGATAGCCATGTCCCTCTCTTGGTTCGTCATGACACAGGTGCCCGATGTTTCTCTTGATGCAGCGTTTACAAGGTCGATCCTGAGACACAGTCCCCCAATAGGAGGGTTGCGTTAGCCAGAGAGGACTTGAGTGGATGGTGTTGAGCTCGACACCGAGCGCCAGGGAGTCGTACAGAATCGCAAGTCATATGCTGTGTATCCCACCAAAAACAAGCAGTCAGCCCATACTGTGTCTTGCCATGTCCTCGAATCTCGGTTCTTCCGCGCGACAGAGGTCAAAATAGCTTACCGAACGTCGACAGTAGACGCATGCTGAAGGAAGATGTCAGTGCGGGCCATCACCACGACTCCTGGGAATGGGTACCCACCATGGTTCACTTTGCGCTTCTTCTTTGGCTGGTCCGTGGACGGCGAGGTCTGGCTCGACTTGTGGGGCGCAGTCGGAGAGATGGCTTCGTTCGAATTGTTGTTTGGCAGCGAACTTCGGCCGTCGAACGACTTGTTCATGCCATTGCCTGCACGGTCAGGCTCATCTGCGAGATCTGACATTTGCCGACAGGTTGCAAATTGGACGGAGGCTTGAGGATCCAACAAGAGAGCGTGGGCAGAGTCTGCGTGCAACCCGATCGCATGGGCTCATGGTCTGCAGGAAGCGGCACAGGGTACCTTTACGTGAAATGGCGCAGAAACACCAAGCACAAGGTCGAGAAAAACAGAGGAGAATCAAAGGCCTCAGTCCGTAAACCTGAGGCAGAAGAAAGCAAGAGCCTCGGGAGCCAGCTCGCCAGCTCCAGGTACACTCGTGCCCTAAGGCCGGTGCCGGAAGGCTGGGTCTTGGAGTTCGATCCCGTGCGAGGCGGCGGCGAGGCGGAAACCCCGCAATCGTTGGGCCCTGGGCAGAATTTGGGAACAGGAACTACAGCTGAGTGGAGCTCGGCTTGCTGCAGCCACGGATTGATCTCTGTTAGCCTGAGCCAGATGCACGTCTCCAGAATGGGGTACTATGCACGGAGTACCCTCGTACGGAGTTAGCTTTTCAATGGTATTTTGTATTGCTCGATGATGATGATGACAGCATTATTGCAGTTCTCCTGCGTCCAAGTAGTGATGGCAAGCCCTCGAACTATTTTTACAGATGGTCTCAAACCCATCTCCGCGCTTCTTGAAGCATCTAGACGCTGCACCACACTCGGACTCGATCCCCGAAAGCAGCAGCGCCCAGGTCCCAGAGGTATTGAACGTCGTTAACCCGAAAATGAACCGCCGATGCCACTGGTCGGTGATAAAACAGGGAAAGATGAACCGGTTAAATGTTGACGCTTGGGCGCATCCTCTTCCTGCCTTTGGTTCCCCCCGGGGTGCCTTCCTCCTCTCGTTCTCTCGCTCTCTTCTCTCGCTGGTCTAGCACTAAACTCAGAACGTCAAAGCCAAACTGTGGATATTCCAAACACATTGCCTTGAATTCGTCCTCGGCTTCGTGGCGCAAAACGTGGGATCGGGTGGCCCAGAACGCAGCGACGGGTTTGCGGATTGTTACATCGTCTGCCGGCGTATTGCCATAGACAAAGCGTGCGTATGCAATCTCCCCAACAGCGGTGGAGTTGATGCGATGTATCTTGGAATGCGCCAGAGTCTTGAGGTCGGGCAATCCAAGCTTCTGCGCCAATGTGTAGACGCGAGCATGTTTGAGCAGCTGTGCGCCGGTGCTGTCTATGGCTGGGACTGAAGGATCAGGCTCCAGTCCATCAGGCGAGTCTGCAAGACGTCGAGGGAAGTATTCGCCGGTATATTGGTATTGGAGGAAACAGCCAACTGCATCTAACGACTCGTCCGGCAGCTCAACAACGAGAGCGTCGTCGTCAAGGGCCGAGAGTATTTCGCTGAAGTAGGGGGATTTGGAGAGGATGGCCTTGTGGGCAGTTAAGGTAGTTTCGTCGTCGCCGGCGCCCACAATAAGCTGGACAATGGGGGACTTGAGGTATTCGAGGAACATAGTTTGGGGATTGGACGAGGTGTTGCCGTTGGCGACCAGGGTGTCATTTCCTGCTTCTTCCCCTTCGACCTTTTCATCTTCCCCCTCTTGCACCTCCTCCATGGTGCCCATCTCCACGTCAGCTTCACCGGACTCGGCGGCCTGGTCTTCGCGATCAGCCATGATGTTTGCGACCTGCGCGAGAAGGGTGCGCCGTGTTTTCCTCGCGCAGACGGCTTATCTAGAGTTTTGTGTCGAGTACGTCATTTATAGCGCAGGTACCATACACAACATGGAAAGAAAATAAAGAGCGACTCATAAAAAACATGCGCAGTGGATGAGAGAATATGATAGCGCTGAGGATGAAGAGCGTGAGAAACCAGGAAGGTTGGGGAGCTCCCAGTGTTCCCTGGGAAAACTTGAGCCCCAGCTGCGGAGTCGCAGGCAAATGCATCTGAGATGGCTGGAGAGGTAACCACTCTCGCTCCCTTCGAGACCATGGCCTATTCTTGCTCGCCTCTTGCTAACGAGCTTTCATCGACACCGCACAATCCAACTCCAGCTCCAGCCATAATCTTTTCAAGCTGTTGTCAGGCTGCGTAGACGAATTCATACATATGTAATGTGCGGCAGAACACTTCGAGTCACGTGCTTTCCAGGCTTTGATTTTCGCGTCGTGCGCAGCAGGTTCCTCGGCGATGGGAAGATTCTATGTCGATAGCATAGCAGATCAAGTACGCAAGGTAGTCGGTAGCACGATAAAAGCTATTTGGTATTTTGTTGATATATGAGTTCTAGGCCAAAAAGTGACCTAGGGTTAGACTGGAGCTTCCAAATCCCCAGAAGTGCTAGAAGGGAACCACAAGTAAACAGGCGTCAAAAGTGTATCTGCAACTCAAACTCTAGCAATATGCGATAGAGTGTCAGGCAATGTGCGGAGGCAAAGGCTGAGGCTTCCTTTGAGAAAAAGACATTGAACAGATACGAGTCCGGTTGGATATTAATGGAATTGTTTGCTCGATAAGGAAGGGATTCAGTGAAAGTCAGGGGCATGGGGAGGAGGCCTCACGTGGTTGATAAGGATTGTCTATCTTGATATCTAGGGACTCGCCAGAGACGATTGCATGGCATTGATTGGTGAGATGAGAAACAAACGCGGGGAGCGAAACAGGTGGGTGCAGGTCCAGAACAAACATGTCGAGGCCAAGGCTACGAGGCTGACCGATCACCACCTTCAATCTCACATTTCAGATTGGACGGTGGACACAGATCCTATTTTGGAAGCCAGAGTCCTGACTCCTGGGAACACAGGGCAAGCACCGCTACCGGGTACCGAGAAGTATTGCAATGATTTTTCCCGTCAGAAGAAGTCGTGTCTTGGCAGCTCATCGGCCTCCGTGCAGCGTCGTGTCCGGCGTCCAGTTTGTGATACTTTGGCAACGGTACGAGGTACTTTGTAGCAGGACGGGGGCTCGTCTGGTGTTTTCCTGTGGCACAGTCATCCAATTTCCGTACCCCGTCTTCTTTGACTTTGTGCCAAATGCAATTCCGACAAATCCCACGAATGGCGGATCTCGTCGTCGAGGGAAGATCGAAAGGGAACAATCACCTCGAAGCGGCAACTGAAGCGACGAATAGAGTTGGGCTTGTGTAGGGGAAGGAAGGGAGACAGGGAGACAAGGGGATGCAAGGGAGATGCAAAGGGGTGTTTTGATTGGGAATTTGGGGGCCTTCCCCTCTTTAGCCTTGCCTGGAGCAAAAATTGATAGTGGTTAGTGCCCCAGCCGTGCATAGCCGAGCAGCACCCCTCCCTCTACTAGGTACCTACGCCCAGGGTTCACCGTCCCAGGCACCCACCACAGGCGAGAGCAGGCTGCAGGATCGGAGAACCGGCGCCGCTAATTCCAACGTACAGTAGGATAACGAGCACTCGTATTATGTTCCCTAATCCGAAAGTACTAGTCACCCGGTAGTAGTCACCCCTAGTAGCCACGAAATTAGGAGACGGTGTCTTATCATCGACGCGTACTAGCAAGAAACTGTGGCACGCTGGTAGCATCCAACGAGGTCGGTGTGTGATTTCACCGCCTTGACTTGTCCGTTTGTGGCAAACAATGGCGTGATCGCACTCGGAGATGTTGTCATTCCTTCTAGCAACCACCTTGGAGGGTTTTCAATGATGCCTTACGCGTTAATATTATGCTATTGTCGCCTTTGTAACCTCGGAGCCCTCTCCATCCTTGGTCCTCTTCGTCATCCTGTGTATATACCTCCATCATAGGGTTTGCCCCTTCTTACCAATTTCTTTTGCCGGGTGCCACGACTCCCAAGACGTTGCCAGCGAGCCCGATTCCTCATCCTCCAAGAGGCAGGGGGTGTCAGCTCTTCCTGCAATCACACAGACTGACGGCCTTACCGCCTTGCAAGCTGCTAGCTGAGTCGGCCAGATTGACCAGATTGAATAATAATGAATATCATCGTCCCCACATACGCCATACCGGGATCAGCAAACCTTGTGGGTAGCTGCAGGCCAAATTCTTCTTTTTCGAAACCACAGCCGTCCGGTGACAGTCGCTCCGTATTCACCTTGTTTTCTTCGCGGCCTTCCTTCGCCTTTCCGACTCGGGGTCAGTACCATTTCCTTTGCATTCTAAACCTCGTCCTCCTTCTCTGCTTTCCTTTTGTCATTCCTTCTGTTTCTTGATTGGGGAACTGGACGTGTGACCCCCGAGAGTCTCACCCTGCCCCTCGTTCTCATAATTCTGTCGACTATATCTGTGCGCTTCCCTCCCTCCACGCTTTCATACTTCCTCCCCTTCTTCATCCGGGTTACAATCTTTCAAGCAGATACAAGACCTTCTGCTGCATTCTTGACCCGTACAGCTATCCCCAGATACAAGCTATACATTGAATCACTGCCACCATGGGTTCTTTCAATCCTTTTCCTCAGTCTCCCCCAGTGTCGCCTCCCAATGGCTTCCAGGGTGTCCAAGGCTTTTCGACGCCGTTGTTCCCGGCCAAACCGAACATTCTCTTCATCATGGCCGACCAGCTTGCTGCCCCGTTGTTGAAGATGCACAACCCCAAGTCTCTGATCAAGACTCCCAATCTCGACAAGTTGGCAGAACGTTCAGTCGTGTTTGACTCGGCATATTGCAACTCTCCGCTTTGTGCGCCGTCTAGGATGTGTTTGATCAGCGGTCAACTGCCTTCCAAGATCGGCTCGTACGACAACGCCAGCTCCATTCCGTCCGAGACACCGACATACGCGCATTACCTGCGAGCCGCTGGCTACGAAACCACTCTGGCTGGCAAGATGCATTTCATTGGGGATCAACTCCACGGCTATGAGAACCGTTTGACTTCTGACATTTACCCTGGTGATTTCGGCTGGGCGGTCAACTGGGATGACCCAGACCGAAGACTCGAGTGGTACCACAACAGCAGCTCTATCTTACAGGCTGGGCCGTGTGTCAGGACCAATCAGCTGGACTACGACGAGGAGGTTCTGTACAAGTCAAAGCAGTATCTTTACGACCATGCAAGGGCGCCTGCTGGAAAACGGCCATTCGCCCTTACAGTTTCCTTCACGCATCCTCATGACCCATACGCTATTGAGGAGAAGTATTGGGACTTGTATGAGGACGTGGACATCGACCTGCCGACCGTGAACATCAGTGAGGAAGACCAAGACCCGCACAGCAGGCGCTTGTTGCGTGTCTGCGAGCTTGAGGGCCACAATTTCACAGACGAGCAGATCAAACGCGCTCGTCGAGCGTATTATGGCGCTGTGAGCTACGTCGATGATTGTATTGGCCAGTTGCTTGACGTCCTCAAGAAATGCGGCATGGAAGACAACACCGGTAAGCAGAGATTTTCCGTCCCCAATGGTGATACAAACTCACAGACTGACGTCAATCAGTTGTCATGTTTTCCGGTGACCATGGAGATATGCTGGGCGAAAGAAGCCTGTGGTACAAGAGTGAGTTTGCCCTTTTCCCCCTCCAGGGACATTTGTTTGGTCGGGTCGAGAGGGCTAACGAACGGTCTGTAGTGTCGTATTTCGAAAATTCCGTTCGAGTACCTATGTTGATCAGTCACCCAAAACAATTCCGTCCCCACCGAGTCTCTCAAAATGTCTCGACTCTAGATCTCATGCCGACTCTTGTGGACTTGATTGGGTCCAAGCTAGTTCCCGGATTGCCGATGGATGGTCTGTCCTTGTTACCTCATCTCTACGGCAGTGACGGTGGCCATGATACCGTCTTCGCCGAGTATATGGGCGAGGGAACCGTGTCTCCCCTGATGATGATCCGACGAGGCGACTGGAAGTACATCACATGCCCAGCCGATCCTCCTCAGCTGTTCAACTTGCGAAATGACCCGCTTGAGCTCACCAACCTTGCCACTAGCCAGGACCCAGAAACTCTGGCCGTCTGCAAGGCTTTCGAGGAAGAAGCAAATAGGAAGTGGGACTTCAAGAAAATCACCGACGATGTCCTGAGGACTCAGCGCCAACGTCGACTGGTATGGTCTGCCTTAACCCAAGGCCGCTTTGAGAGCTGGGACTGGAATCCCATCGATGATGGCCGCGTCAAGTACATCCGTTCACAAATTCCCCTGGACGAACTCGAACGGCGAGCTCGATATCCCATGCACACAAACGTGCCGGCCCAAATTTCTGTCAACAACAAGGCCGAAGTGGTCTGCCTGCAGCCGGAAAAGCTGACCGAGATTGCGAGCGAACCGGTCCACTATCGCTGAATCCCATGACCATGTTACGACGACTTCCTTTTAGATTATGATCTGGCGGGCGTTCTGGTTCCAAGACTGCTATATGGGCTATTTGTCAGGTTGCCGCACTCGCAAGCGTGGGGTTATGGAGTCGGTATTGTGTCCTCCCTGCTGTTACTGCATTCGGTCGACGTCTTTCCTGCCTTGCGATACTTGCTTCTCTCTAGGATCCCCGTGACACTACGCTAATGGAGTTCGACGGGACTGGATCGGAACTGTGTATGACCTGGATATTCGGATGACAGGGAGGAAAGGAACTGGCTTGGGGCGTTGATATTGCTGGTGTGCAATTGGCCCAACTCGACTGAACATCCCACACTCGTTTCGACCGCCAGCTTGGGTTGAGGATACGAAGACGAGTGAGGGTGATGCACAGCTTGAAGAGGGAAGCTATCTAGCTAAGTACAGAGAAAACCCCGAAAAAAGGAAAAAAATCAAAAAGGCCATTATTGACCACAACGCATTGTCCATTCCCTGCATCAGGCAGTTGAGCATGTGCTTATTTCACTTTCATTCACTCTCTGCGGTTCGTTGTGTGGCTCTTTCCTATCGCACATCCCACTCATCACTGAATACGCACGACCACCTTCTGCATTGGCCTGCGCTAGAATTGCTTTTTCCTTTCTCCCCTTGTCCGTCTTATTTCCTTTTTCTACCCCATGGTTCGTCATGTGGACAACCTTGTCTGACTCTTGCAGCGCCTTGCATGGCCTTGCAGATACGACAGGATATTGCCTCCACGGCTGTGTGGGAGCGCCGCCAATCCGGTTATTCATCTGCAAACCTGTTGTCTGCGCAAAGGTGAGCAACCTGCCACCCGCATCAACATCATTCCTGGACTGACTCAATCCAGGAGAAGTGGCAACCATTGGGGTCCATTCTTCCGTGGACAGCAAAGTCGAGACGGTGTGTTCAACAGGTGCCGCAATGCCATTCGAGGGTTCGATCTCGTCATGGTTCCGTCACCGCGCAGTGCAGCAACTGCGAACCCTGTTACCACATGTCGAAGACCTACACGAGCCCGTCCAGCCACGTCGACACGATTCCGCACAAACCTGCACATCCCGGAAGGCATCGGCGATATGAGATTTGGGAGCCTAGCCATCTACATGGGGATCAAGAGCGAGCCACGGCGAGAAAAAATTGTTTGCCGCCGGGAAGCGGGTTCTTCCCCGTCATACGAGACATTACCGTCATCATCATCATGGGACACATCGACTGCCCTTCTGACCGCAGTTTCCACGAAACATGGCAGCATTCCTGACAGCAATGGCAAGGACAGACTCCCTCGCCTTGAGCGTCAAAGAGAAGGACTCAACACAGGTCACACCCTTGAACAAGGTCAAAAGACCCATGAAAGTCTAACGGCTAAGTGCCAATTGAAGATCCAATCAGAGTGCCCACATACGCTAACTCGAATCAGGGCATGGAATCCATGTGGAACTAACTGACCGGACTAACTGGAGAGGAACTGACAGAGTTGCTAAGCTAGGTCGGAGTCTTATCAAGATTGCCACTTGTCCGTTCTGCCGCTGGAAGGGCCTTTCTCGCCTCCAATGTGGTGGACGCGAAGGCCTGGAAACATCTCCTACACCGGACTTTATGAGGCTGTGGACTGGAGTGTCTTACAAGTCGTGTACGTCTGCCCAACAAGCTGCAGCAGAGTACAAGGGGAGGCATGAGGACAAGGGCAAGCAAAGCCGACGGCCACGACGCATCCCAACCCTGACTCGAGCAGACCAAGGAGGGCACTTGCAGTCGGGCCGCATGCGACCTAGGCTCTTCGAGACACTGGGCTTTCCGGAGCCAGAAGCCAGATGTCAGAGCCTTGAGCGATCATCTGACCGGCTCGTCTGGCTTTATGCCTGCCTTCCCACCACTCCCGGTCCACCTTTTTTGCCTTCGCCTACCGCACTCCCCGTCGCTACCTTCATCCCTCACCCACGCCAACTTGCGGTGACTAACACAAACCGCACTATCAGCAGAAAGCCGACCTCAAATCCAGCAAGGGGCACGAACACACCTGAAAGCACTGCAACACTGTCCAATGGACAGAGCCTTTTCTGCCAGGCAAAATCGCCATCATGAACCCGACTGTCCCGGGACCCATGCTCGCCATGTACTTCCCCGAAGCATTCAACAAGTTTGTTCTTTATCTCAATCCCGTTCGCCGTCCACGTGACCCTGCTCCAATAACGCCTTACAGGCATCATACAGTAGGTTTTGAAGACTTTTGTCAAGTGTCGATGTGGATCTCCGAGGCAGGGCATACTTGAACCGACAGCTAGACACTCTTGGGTACATTATACCCGAGCTCGTCCACTTGTCGAGGAGTTAGGACTGAGGGGAGGACTGTAGACCAAGCCGATCACGAGAAGAATCATCCAGCCCCAGCAGAAGTAGCAAGGAGTCTTATCGGCGGCAGACCGGCTGGGCTCGGAGAGCCCGAATGCTCCAGAACAGACTCTTTCGGCGCGAGACAAGACTCGGGCAAGCAAAGGACGAAGCGACAGCAAACCACCGCAATGTTTATTGACTCAATTAGGCAAAACCGGAATACTGCCACGCATGACATTGGCCACCGCCAGCACAATGGACAACGCATGATACTGACAATGGGACATGAAGAGCGTCCCTCCTTCCTTCCCACAGAGCCCAGAAGATCAGGGGAAAGCAAACAATATGGACGTCAGGTGTATCGGCATCACCTTCAGTCCTTGGTACGAGGTATCTTATTGTCTCTTGGTACTCGAGCTAATTCATCAGGTTCGGACTCTTATCTTCTTTCGAATCTCGTGTCATTTTTTCCTCCAAGTCATTCAAAAGTACTTTTTAGCTGGCCTATCGAAGCAGAGGCTTCGAAACCGACGCCTTGTATACATAACTGGTAAGGTGGTTGTCCGAGCCCAACCATGGATCAGCCCAACAGAGGGGTCTGCAACTCAACTCCCAACTCCAACTTACCTGCCGTTTACTCCAGTAGAAGCATTTTCTGATGTATGGTAGGTACTCTTCGTTGTTCCGGATCCTCTCTTGGTGGTGAGAAGGATGTGCTCGCTCTGTGGCTGTGCCTCCCACCTCTCTCAGATGTCTTGACCTGTCTTCGCACGATCGTTCGCTCGCACTCACTCAGTTTGGCCGTGTTTCGTTCCAAAAAGGATGCGGGTCCCCCTGTCTCCATTCATCCTCTGCTCGATTTCCACGTCGCAAAGTGGAAGCCGATGCAGCCCAAAGAGGCAAAGAAAAACACGGTGCCCGCTCTCACTTCGCCTTGGTCCCTTCGTTTGGCGGTTGCTTGCTCGCTCGCTGGTTCTTTCCGGCTTAGGAGAGCGGCTCGCTCTCCCTGCCCAATCTTCCAGACCCTTCGATCGGAACTCGGAACATGTTGCGAGATGAGAAGGGGAGCGATCACTTTGCGAAATGCAAGTCGTACCCGAGCCACTTGCGGGCATTCACTTGCGCGGGAGTCAAGCCCGGCCAGCCGTACGTCAGGGGGAAGAAGAAGTAAAACCCGTACAGGACGGCGGCTAGAATGACGGCCGTGGCGATCCAGGTGCCCAGCATGCTCTGGCCCTTGAGTCGCTCGGCCGCGGTCTGGAAGTGTTTTCTCGACTTCTCCGGGATGACTTTGCCGGTGACTTTGTCTTTCTTCTGTTGCACGGCGTGGTGGGTCTCGTCGTCAACGACGGGGTCGACGTTGAATATGAATTCAACGAGGGCGCCGGTCACGAGACATGAGGCGAGGTGGGCGGGCAGATAGTGGTGCAGGAACAGTTGACGGCCCATGAGGTAGAAGGGGAAATAGTGGGCGGCCCAGCAGAGGAAGAAGAAGCCTGTCGAGTTATACAGGCGGGAGCGAGTACCTATGGCCACCCACAGCGTGATGATGGTTAGTTAAGTTTCTTTCCCATCGGGTAGACAGACACAAGAAAAGAACTTACGACGATCAAGTGCATCAATCCCTCTCCTCAGACTCAGTTGATCCGCACCCATAATGCCGGCAAAGACAGCCAACAGAGCACTCGCGATCCAGTACCCGATGGGATTTCCCAGGAAATAAATCTGCTGCTTGGTCGAGTCCTGCGTCCAGAAGCTGACCCCCCTCAACAAAAACGGCCACTGGTAAGGCAGCGTGGCGTACGGGTGCGAAGCCGTGAGCGCGTTGTTGTGGTAAAACATGGCGCGCTGCAGTTCAATGTACTTTCTGTAAAAGGGCAGGGATTTGGTCTTCTTCACCTCCTTCTCGCGCCGTGGCGAATCCTCGGGGAGGCTGGGGATGTCGTCCACGTACCAGATATTGGAGGACTGTTGTGCGTTTTTGTTCCCATTGATCTCGGCCTGTTTGAATGCCCAATCCGGTAGCGGAGTGGTGTGCGTCCACATGGCGACTTTTGTCGGGTAGTGGATCAGTTTGAATTGGCCGGACATGGTCTTGAAGGGGGACCCTTTTTTCCCCTGTTCCATTCGGATCTCGAACAGGGTGTCGTTGTGCCGGTCCCCAGAGGCGACCTCGAGCGGGACGGTAGTGAATTCTTGGTTGGTGGGAAAATAGGGGGATGCGACGTCGTGGGTCAGAAGCATGGTGTTGGTCACGACGTGTCGGAGCTTGACAATGTCGCCATTCAAAACTGGTTTTCCGCTCATGGATGGATCGGGGATGTGGCCGTTGGGCAGGATCTGCCATTCGTTGTTGGTGTCGTTGAAGGGGTAGCCCGTGACTTGTTGACCTTGACTCGAGATTCGGCCGTCGTCGTATCTCAGAGGGTACTTATCCGGGTGACTGTGCAGATAGACCTTGGTGTCTTTGTGGCGGAGAGTGATGTAGTCGTAGTATTGGATGTCGACGGACGCTTGATGCATCAAGTTGTCGCTGAGAGTTTCCTGGAATTCGGGCGTCATGAAGTCGTCGCCTGGACCGGACCTGGTCAGAATGGCGAAATGAACCTGGAACCAGAAGAGGTAAAAGAAGAAAGGTATGATGATCAAGCCGAGCGCGCGGGCCACGAAATGCTTCCCGAAAGTGAAAAGATCCAGGGCGCCTCCTTTTCGGTTGATGTCGAGCAGATCCCACAAGTCGATGAGCACTGCACATCCAATGGTGAAGAAGGTAAAAGCACCGACGTATTTGGTGGAGATGACACAACTCATGCAGAAGCCACACAATAGGAGCCACTTCCACCACTTCCTGCCAAAAGGCTCGTGCCGCTGCTTGTAGAAGCGAACGTAGCAATAGATACTGAGTGAGACGAAGAAGACCAGAGTTGCGTCCAGCAGAATCAACCGAGTTTGGCCCACGTGGGAGTTGTCAAAGAGAACCAGCCCAGCAGCTAAGACACACGCCGGGAGCGAGTACCCGGATTCCCACATGATCAGGTAGACGACCACCACGGTCAGGGCTCCGAGGAACGCAGGCAATGCTCTGAATGCAAGGTAGGGGACGTTGTTCGTGATGTAGGATTCGCCAATGTTGTCAAACAGGAAATGTCCATCATAGCCAACGAGCCAGCCCACAAAGGCAAAGAGGAGCTTTCCAAAGGGAGGGTGGACGTCGAAGAAATAAGTGCGCTGCAGGTAGTAGGATGCGAACTGCGCGTAGTCGCCCTGTTAGAGCTGGTGTTGTCCGAAGCCTTTGCCATGTCCACATACCTTTCCAAAGTGCACTTCGTCGAACACGACTTCATTTGGATGGCTGATGCCAAAGAACCGGGTTACGAATGCAAGGGTGGTGATTATCCCCAGCGCCAGCTTGTACTCCCATTCGTTGAACACACTCTTCTGCGCATTCTGGAGTGCGTCATTCAAAACCGCATCATCCTTGTCCCCGCTAACTACAGCTTTATTTTTCTCTTTTGGTCCCCTGTGTCGCAGGGTCGAATTGGGGGACGACATGTTCGAGGTCTCGATGGTAACGAAGGGATTCGAGCAGTGCTAAGGCTGAGGACGATGTCGAAAGGTGGGAATCAAAGAACTTAGAAAGTAAATTAGTTGCGAATGAAGGTGGTGAAAAGAAGGATCAGAAGAGGTTCAAAGCCCTCGGAATGAGGAAGAGCATGGCATGGACGTTGAAAGGAACGGGGGAGAGGGATGGGTCTCACTTTAACGTGTCCTGAACTTTTTTGACGCGACATTACGAGTTCCCGCCAAAAGGAGACGTGGCCCGTGCGCCAGAGCCTCGTCGAAAGGGGCCATTCATACTGTCCCTCATACCCCCCTTATACACCCCCTTACAGCACCACTCAAGACCGCTTTCTGCGAATATTTTGCTGCCATTCCAAAGCTGCCAAAACTATTTACAACACAGAAGTACTAACTTTCACTCATCCAGATCCAGCAGACTCAGAGTTTCCAATTCCCTTTGCACCATCCGCTCAAATTCATCCCGGGTGATACCCGCACTACGGGCCAACCGGTACATGCTTTTCATGCTGGTGCTGATATGCTGCCTAATTCCAATTTCTGATGCTCCGTACCGCTCTGCATGCTCTTCCAGCCGGGCCACCGCGTCGGATCCCCTCGAAGACGGTGACGAGGGTACTGGGTGGTTGACCTCCACTTCGATGTCTTCTGGATCATTTGCAAGGTCGGCCAATCCTCCTTGATATGGAGGCGGATCTGATTCTGTCTGTGGCTGCTGGTGTGCTGGCAGCATCTGCTGCAGCGCATGCCCATTCAAATGGGGTTCTTGGATGCTTGCCATCTCCTCATCCGGGTCGTGATTGTCCATGGCAGGCTGGACACTTCCGTATCGAGCGTAGTAGTCGTCTTCAGAAGGACCTCCTCGCGGAGGTTGAACCGATTCTTTCCGAGCCGGTGTCCTGCTGGGCGTGTTGTCATACATGGCCCAGTAGTCGTCCTCGTTGGGTGGTGGGACCGAGAGGTTTCTCTGACTTCTCAGGTTTACAGCGTCGTCGGCTTCCTTCAAAGCTTCGTTCACCAACCGCTCCCTGGAGCTCTCGTTTGCTTCTACAACAGAGGACGACCATGAGGGGTCATTTTGGAGGTCTTGATCCAACGGTAGCAACTCTGCAAGCTTCCACGCATTTCCCTCCTCACTACCGGTGCACCACAGGTATAACGCGGTAAACGGCCAGTCCACCAGAGGAATCTGTGCCCGTAATGTTTCTTCGTCGAATCTCTTGTATTTAATCTGATGCGTGTCGCCAACTTCGATCTCACCAGAAGAGGGGTGAGGCTCGAAGGTGGCGCCTTCAATCTTATCCTTCAGCACTTCGCCTTTTTTTGCATCCCAGCACAATAACGCAGCCCAGTTGTCGCGTGACGAAGTCGAGGTGTGTAGTTGTAACCGCTGCCGTAATATGGGAGACAGCAAAGGTAGCAGAGCGGGCGGTGGTCTAGGAGATGCGAAGGAGGTAGGTAGACATGCGAGCAAGGGAGGGAGTAAAGAGATGGGATCAGGAGGAGGTATCAGCTCAACCATGCTTATGCCTATTCCTGGAGGTTTCAACTCGAGAGGACAGTCATCTGCGGGAGGAAGATCGGATCAGGGAGGAGAGTTGGGACACCTGCAGCGAGGATGGGATCTATGTGGCCGGGGGAGCAGTCAGCGTTAAATATGGTCAATCTGTGTGAGTGCGAAAAGTAATGGGGACAAGGGAATGTAGATGTTGAGCTTTGGGAACAGCAAGGCAGGATGCAAACTCGGGGAACATCGAATCGCAGCGGAAATTCATCCATGTACGAGCGATAGGCGGTAGTCGGTAGGCGGCAGGGCCTCAATAGTGTTGGTTTGGTCTGGATCTGGAGATCGAGGCTGGACACAAGGACACAAGGACACAAGAGACACCCGAAAGGTTGCATTTTCCATTCGCCCGGCCGGCTTCGCAGTGTCACGGGGACGATTCGGAGGAGATGTTGATTGGCCACGAGGCATCAGGCTGAAACCCACGTGCCTTGGTAGCGTGTGAGGCTGAATGGCTGCCCGGCAAGTGCCCGTTGGCTACCGTGGCTACCGTGGCTACTGACATGTGCCACCCACACTCTACGTACAATCTGGCTTTCGTTGCTCAATTCGCTCACTCTTGTATCCCCTGCTACCAGAGCGACAATGGAAGCTTCATGACACTGGATGTCTTGTTGTCAAAAACTCAAGATCATCCCAGGAGCACCCAAATACCCCACCGATTGCTGGTCCAGAGACAGCGTACATAGCTTGGAGCTAATAATACTAGGTACCGCTCTTTCACATGCTCAGACCTGTTATTCTGCCTCGCAGCAGAGCCTCAGGTATCTGTCAAACACAGTGCCGTCCACCAAGGGAAGTTATGCACGTGCTCACCGCAATAACCACATCCACCCAGACACCCTGCCACCCTGCCACCAGGAGATGGCCTCGACATGGCGACCACCGTGCTACTCATGCACTGATTACCGCTATCGCACCCGCTCTGTTTATCGCCCTCGCTTCCCCGCACCGTCTCTGTGACAGGAAAATATACGGCGATCATTTTGCCGCACATTTGTCACCCTGTACCACAACCTCAATATCACCCTCTTCTTGACAAGTCATTTCTTGGTTGGACATTCGCTCAGGCCAGCCCTCATGGCCCTCGTCTCTGGGAAGAAACAAGTCGTGGAAAACCAGTTGGAACTCCCGCGCCCTATTCACGTCATTGGCACCTCCGATGCAGGTTCTTCAGAAAGAGATTCGAACGAAAACCGAGACACAGAAGTCAACCATGAGGCGCTGCAAAATGACCCAACTCGCGCCCAGGCAGAAGCTCGCCTCCGTCGCAAAGTTGATCTGCGGCTCTGCACTATTGCTGGCATTCTCTGCAGTCTGAATCTACTCGACAGTGGCATCATCTCCTCGGCGGCTGTCACAAGCATGCTCTCCGATCTAGACCTCGTCGGAGATCGATACTCTGTCTCAATCTTCATCTTTACCGTCGCCTCTGTCGGTTGTCAACTTCCGGCGACCATCTTGTTGCGCTTCGTTGGGCCTCGGTTGTTCTTTTCCTCCATCACCTGTGCTTTCGGTATAATCACCATGTGCACAGCCGCTATCACCAACTGGCAACAGATGATAGCCCTGAGAGTCCTGCTCGGTATTTCTATGGCGGGCATCTATCCAGGGCTAACGTACCTGATTTCCACTTGGTATACTCGCCATGAGCAGCAGCTCCGATTTGCTCTGCTGCAATCTGGAGAGATCATCATCCTTGCCACCGGCTCTATTGTCAACTTTGGTCTGAATCACCTCGATCATCACGATGGCCTTCGAGGGTGGCAGTGGATGTATCTTGTCCAAGGCTCGGTCACTGTCTTTCTCGGCTTGATCACCTATTTCTGGATGATCGACTTCCCGGACCGCTGCGAGAACTCGTTCCACTTCCTTACCGAGGATGAGAAGAGCCTGGCAATCTCTCGGATCAATGAGGATCGCCGTGATGCAGGGAAACCCGAACCATTCAGCTTGGCTACGATTCTGATCCATTTTCTCGACTTGAAGCTGTACGCTTTCTGCGTGTTGTTCTTCTTACTCAACTTGGTATCCACAGCTCTCTCGTACTTCTTGCCCATCATACTGCAAAGTGGAATGGGTTTCGACTCCAACAAGGCGATTCTGCTGTCATCCCCTCCATACTATTATGCCGTAATTCCGGTCCTGCTTTCGTCATACATTGGCGACAAGTACAGAGTCCGAGCGCCGGTCATCATTTTCAATGCAATTTGCCTGATCGTGGGGTTTTGCATGTTAGGATTCAGCAGTCAGGTCACTGTGAGATATATTGGCACATTTCTGGCTACAGGCGCTTACATTTCCAACTGGGCCGCATTGAATGCCTATCAAGCCAACAACATTGTGGGCCAATGGAAGCGTGCCACAGTGGCAGCAGCCGTTTCTGGTTGCAATGGTTTGGGTGGCATAGCCGGCAGTTACATTGTCCGCCAACCAGAGGCCCCGCGGTATCTGACAGCAATATGGGTGAGCATTGGGAGTCATATTTTGATGATCGTCCTGGTTTCGGCGTGTACATTGTGGTTCTGGATGGCCAATCGTAAATCGAAGACGAAGGGAAATTTGATTGAGGGTGTTGCGAACTTTCGCTATACTTATTGAGGTGAGTTCTCAAGACGCCACCCGAGGTCAATTATCAGACAGTCTGCAAATTGGAAATCCTCCTCGATCTACCCAGTGAAGTTATCAGGCATTGTTTATCGGCTCGGTGAACATCCAAGATGGTATGGGAGGCGAACGGCGCCATAGGATAGAGGTGATAGTTAATACCTACCTAGGTAGGTACCTAGTCCTTGTCAAACACGAGGAACGAGACACATATTCGTCTAACCGTGTTAGCGTTAGTCCACTTCCCCACGCTAAACGCAATTTGTCAGACATCAACACGAGGCTCGGTTCGAAGGGACATGCGCGCTTCACGACCGGTCCCTCACAATCTGTCGTCTCAAGGTGTCTGATCGCGCGAGCATTGCCTCAAGCGTGAAGCAATTCTTGTTCAGACGAAGAGAAATAATGGTCGCGTCAAAGCCTTCTGCATCTCCACCCACCTCGTCAAACACCAGAGCCGGAATGGCGACCCTCGAACCGCGCATAAAGCAAGTGTCACAACACACGATCCGCAAGAAATGGAGACCACTGCCGGCTTCATCACAGGAGAAAGTCCGACAAATCTTCCTGAATCTCAGAACGAAACGATCTGGTGCTGGGGGAAACGGCAGGATCCCACCGGTTGGCAGGTTGCGTAGTACCAATGCGAAGGGACAAAGAAAGAACGCGACTGCGGCCAGCATTCGAGAGGAAGAGTATGAGAAAGCTGTGGAGGAGGTAGCTGACAAGTATGTTTTGATTGTGCATCTGTTCGTCGAACCAAACTACGTTGACGATTTCTCTGCTACCATCGAATGCGTAACCCTTCACACACGCTGATATCTATCCACCCTTACAGACTCCTCGCCCGCCTACCTCGAATGCCATTCCCGCAAACAAACACCTCCACAGCCGACGACTCTCCGTTTGACCTTTCCGCCACTCTGGCTCGCATTGCGACTTTGCAGTCCCAGCTCACGACAAACCTGCAATCGACGCACCTCCTCCGCCGCCAAATCAACCGGGAGAAAGTCGCGCTGAAGAGGGACCGTGCACAGTTGAAAACGTTGGAGGAAGGATTCAAAGGAAGCGAGGCGCTGAGGAGGAAGAAGGAGAGGGGCCTACATCCGATGGCGAGGGACTTGCTGCACAAGGAAGAAGAAACAGAAGACGACGAAGAGAATGAAGACGGCGGCGTCGAGGCTGGGCGCAGGAGAGAGGAGATTGAGCGCATCAACAACGTTGCCGGAATCATACGCCCTGGTAACAAGAGATTTTCCGGCGCCTTAGAGTCTAAGACTTCCTCAATGTCGCCGCCCACTTTGACTCTCGACTCGGAAAACGACCCAGAACTGAATTCGCTGCTCAATCAACTGCGGAACCACCTCCTCAGAATGCAGAAGAATACGGCGCCCATGCAGCCCGTATTAGCAGCCATGGACGAGGCGAAGGCAACATTGGATAAGTTTGTCGCAAGACATGGGATTCCGAACAGCCTCGGAAACACATGATGATATACATCGAAGCAAAAATGTGTGATAAACTACATTACGTCGCTCACATTGTATCAATCCGGACTTGCACGAGTTTCCCTGCCGTCTACAGTCCCACTCACATATGCGGAACCCATGAATATAGATGTATGTACACGCTGTACATAATAGCCCCTCCCCCCTTATCCCGCCCCGGGGCCTTTCTCAACAGGTCAAAAAGAAACATCTTGAAGAATAAAACCATGAGCATCCCCGGAAAAGTTGACTATGAAATTAGCACCGGTACCAAGTTACTACCTATTAGTGCTCGGGTAGCCAGGCACGCCAGGCACTACTTAGGTACCTAGGCTCGCTAGGTAGCTGTCCCACTCAAAGCTCCAAAAGCTAGCACCCACCCACTTCCCCATTATCTTCTCGATAAGCCCTCCTTAGGTAGTCTGCTCCCCTACACAATAAACAATGGAGACCACGGAAATCCGAAGAGGCGACTTTGTCTACAAAGACACTCTTTTTGTCGACCTGGGCCCCAACAAACGCCATCCCCGCGCCTCAACAACAGATCTTAAGGAGTTGTTACTGCCTAAGCGAGGCACCACCCCCAAGGACCAGGTCGCGCACTGGTACGAGGCGCAACTCCTTCACTATGGCCTCCCACGCTCCAAGGACAAAAACACGGCCAAGGTACGACTGACCAATGCGCTTTCGGCCAAGGCTCTGTCGGTGCCCAAGGAGATTACGCAGATGGAGACGGAGATGAAGAAGGAGTTTGCCAGTGCTTTGAGGAAAGCGAAGAATGTGGTAGGGAAGCCGGAGCAGACCAAGGCCAAGGCTGTAGAGAAGAAAGCTACGACGGTTGCGAAAGGGACGAAAACTACCATTGAGCTGGAAGTCGACGGCGTCAAGGTCAAAATTGACCGTGACATGCTTGACGCGGCAAAGAAAAAGTCGACCAAATCCAAAGAGACCTCTGCCTCTGGTGGTGCGTCGTCCAAAACCAAAGGCGACAAAGCATCTTCTTCCACTCCCAAGCCTGCCACTGCGCCCAAATCTAAAGCGGTCTCTGCTGGTGCCTCGTCCAAAAGCCCCAAAGGTGCCAAAACATCTTCTTCCACCCCCAAGCCAGCAGCAGCAGCACCCAAATCACCTTCCAAATCAAAGGCCTCACCCTCCGCACCACGACCTCTATTCACCGCCCGACGAAGCCAGCCATTCCCTCGCAACACCAGTGCCCGGCCTGTTTCAGACCCCCCAAAACACGTCTATGACCACACGCCCGTCTCCTTCCACCATGATGTTGAAATGGACGACGCGCCTCCAGCGTATGAGTCACTGGGATTCGATGAAGCTGACGATGACGAAACTTCAGAACGCTCCAGCGGGCCCGTCCAAATATCCGGGACCTACTTCATCCCAAATAAACCATTCTTCCCTTTCGATCTCTCACTCCAAATCGACCACCGACAACAGAAACTCTGGGGACGGTTCAATGTCGGCTCCAAAGTCGGGGTGCTCCGTGCGGACGACATCACCGACATCACTACAGGAGCCGCGGTGTCGTTCGGATGGCGATCCGAGGATGAAGATGACGGCAATATGAGGTTCGGGCGGGGTTGCGATGGATACGTGGAATTTGATGGGGAGGGATGGGTGCAGGGCCGCTTCCGGGGGCTGATGCACGGAGACGATGTTGACTTCGCAGGGCATTTGGTGAATGAAGACGGATTGGATGTGGCGGATATGAAGCATATCTGGGATGAGTTTCCCAGGAAGGCATATGGCAGACACTGAAGTCTTGTAGTTGATGGAGTTGGGGGGTTTGTGTATGCCATTTGGACGGTGGCTAGTGTCTGAGTAACGCGGAAGGCTGCCTGTACGTTAGGTACCTAGGTAGGCACTGCAGGGAAACTTCTTGGGACAAGGGCATTGTTGGAGACCCTTGGGCGGCGGTTTTGTCACAATATTGACCATAATAATCGTGGGCTTTTCTGGTTGATCCTCTGTGTCGGCAACTTCACATTCATCATTCTTCCATCTGTTTTGGTATCTTTCACGAGGACATACTCTCTTCGTGCTACTTGGCCAAGTACCGACACCTCGTATAGCGGCTGGCACACACTAGCCATTGGCAAAGATGGGATGTTTTCGCGGTGTCGAATCGGCAACCCCTGATGGACAGGGGTTTCATGCACGTCGTCGTCTTGGTAAAAGTCAAAGGTTCTAGACCGAATTCTAGGCCAGGTCGCCCACCTCATCCTCGTCAGCCTCGTTGGGCGCCACAGAAAGAGTTGCCCAAAAGCAAGCCATCGGAGACTCCAAAAGGTGTCCATGAGACAAAGAAAGGCCAGCCTGATCCCTCAATGGCTTCAAGACGATCTTCGACCTTCTCGACACGGTCCGTCAAACAGAGGAAATACTCGACCGATCGACACCAGAGGGGAGCTGAGCTCTCGATCCGCATTGAAGAAGGGCGACCCTTGCGGCCGCCACTGGTCAAGGAGGAAGAGATCTCGACGTCGTTTGTGCAGGATTTCTTTTCCAAGCCACCGGATCCCAAGAATGTCGCGGCTTCGTTGAGCCATGCCGACACCTTCCCGTGCCCCCTGGACATCCACCCGGGCCAGCGCGTCAGGGGCTTCTCAGACGCCTTCGACGACGTCGAGCAGAAACAACTCGGACTCGGACTCGTCGACGAGGAGTTGTCGTGGCCGCTGGGATTCAAGAACCCGTTCCCAGAGCCCAACCCGCAACAGCAACTTGAGATCGAGCAACGCGCCGCCGTCTTTCGGCGTGTCAACACCGACATCAACGCCGAAGAGGCCCAGATCCGCATCACGCGCTCAGCGTCCGACGCCGTAGGGCGCGCCGGCGCCAATCGCCCCATCGACCGCGTCAGGAGGTGGTTGGGCATCAAGTCTGCCATCAAGCCGGGAGCCATCAGCGGTCTCAAGTACGCCGCGGGCCTGGCCACGACTCATGCGACGGCCATCCTCTCGCAGAAACCGGCGCCGCTGTTCAAGCGGAGAGCCCTGTATGTTTTGGAATACGACATCGGTGAGTGAAAAAATACTGTTGAGACGGGTACCTCGATGTTATTTCGATCTCCATGACTTTGCCTCGTTCTCTCTTGTCCCATTTTCCTAACGCTACTATCAAAAGACAATCACGGCGTCCTGCTCTGCGCACCCCCGAAGCTATGCGAAAACGTGTCCAGTCTACGAAAGCACTTGGAGGAGGACGAGCAAGCGGACTCCCTTCTCCGGCTGATCTACGTCTGCAACAACGAAGAAGCAGTCAACTACCTGAGCAGTGCGTATGGCATCAGCGGCTCCAGCACCGAGACGGGCGAGCGCAGCTTTCGTGACTGGATGCAGGACGACCGCGACACGCGGCGGGCGTCACACAAGGCCATCCGATGGCGGCCGGCGTTCGACATCGCCAGAGGCGTCATCTGCATGGCGTTCGGGCTGGATTTCGGATCCCTGGTGGTGGCGCCTCGCCCTGGGACTCCCTCTTCTTCTTCCTCTTCTCACAAACAACAGCAGCAGCACGCTCAGCAGCTGTTGCAACCCACCCGAGCCTCGCTCTACCGCCAGCGCGTTTCAGTCTACATGCAACGAGCGTCGTCGCAGGCCCTGCCTGGTCCGCGCGTGACGCGCTTCAACTCGGGCTCCCGGCACCTGCACGACATGGCCAAGCGCGACACGATCATCATTTGCGAATACTCGTCCGGCGAGGCCGGTGAGATTGTCAGTGCCAACGTCCTGCTCGGTCTGAACCCAGGCGCTTTCCCGCCCCCGCCTACCCCTACGTCCACTGCTTCTCCTGACGACGAGGAGGAGAACGACGACGACAACACCACCACGGCACTGGACCCAAGACAGCGTGCGTCGACACCCACTTTGCAGGCCGTGCTCTCGCACATCTTCGATGGATTGTACCAGCTCTGGCGCGACCAGATCGCGCTGATCCACGAGCCCCACGCCTCGCTCGAGGACCACATCTACGCGCACCCGTCCGATTCATCCAGGGCCCGCGACGTCTGGGGCATGTCGCAGCGGCTGCACAACATGCTGAAGCTGGTGAACCGGCACTCCAAGGTCATCGAGGCCGTGCAGGACGACTTTGCCGTCTTCGCCGAGATGGAGAAGTTTCAGGACGGCGGCGGTGGGGGAACCGAGAAGAAGAGAGACGGGTCCGGCGGCGGTCGTCGCGGTCGTACCAGCAACTCCGGAAGTACCTGGTTGACGCCGCTGCTGGACGACTTTGAGGTCCTGGCCGACAATATCGGGACGGATTACCTCGAGCCTCTGGACTATATGATTGACTTGGTATGGGGAACCTTTCTTTTTTCCCCCTTTCTTCTCCTGCCATCTCGCCCCGAACACAGGCTGTCCCTTACTATCCCTTAAACCCCCCCACCACCCACAAGGCGGACTTCTATTGACTCCATATTTCTTTTTGTGTGTGTTGCAGATGTACAAATCCGTCACGATCCGCGACTCGAAGCAATCCCTCGAGCTCAACGCCAGCCTGTGGCGACTCAGCTGGATCACTTTCATTTTCCTCCCCTTGACATTCCTGGTCGGCGCGTTCGGCATGAACGTCGATGCACTGAGGCAGTATCCCAGCCTCAAGTGGTACTTCGTCGCCGCTGTGCCTTTGGTATGTAACCCATAAAACGTCCTCTTCCCCTCCCCCCCCC